CCCCCCCCCGCATTTTTCTCCGGCTCCCCACAGACCACCCAGCGCGCCACGCTAGCCCGCATGCGACAATGGATATACTGAGGAAGAATTTGAATAGAACCTGCTCTATGGCCATAAAAGAGATTCAACAAGTGCCCTCTGGCCTGGCTATCTGGCCTAAGGATGGTCTAAGCCTGCATCTTCTCTCAGAACAAAAACCGGCCCTGGAACGCCTTATACAGGGAGCCAGGGCAGAAGTCGAACAGAAATGGGCCATCTTCGCCCTACCAATGGCACCCCAGCAGTACACCAGCTATGATGGGACCCAAGTGCCCATAACCGAGCAGATGGCTCTGGATGAACTCAAGCTTCAGACAGGCCTGTCCCCTTCAAAGTTCTACCGCTCAACCAAGAACCCGCTCTCCAGCACCCTCATCATGGCTATCCCTGAAGAACAGGCCAGAGCAGTCCCTAAATGGACCAACCTCTTTGGCAGGAATATACAGATCAAGCTGAAGCCCTTCCGAACCCGTATAGAGCATTGTACACAATTCTGGGACTATCACAACCCCCGGACCTGCACCCGCACACCCAGATGCCGCATTTGCAGCAAAAGGGACCACACTGAGGAGATACATTCCTCTACCAAGGATGAGGAAACACCAGTCCCTTGTTGTGCCAAAGCTAGTTATTAGCATTCCGGGCCTAGCCCCTAACAAAAGCAGACTATACAATCGCGGATAAATATTAGCAATGCAGACTTTCGTCCAGCCCACCTCATACATCCGGCAGCCATTAATCGGAGGATAGGATTCATCCTTCTCCTCTTCACAGCTATGTCCCTTGTCAGAGGATATCGCTATGGAGGGGTGTTCTATGGATGATGTTAGGCGGTATTGTCCCCTTTCCTCTCCCTTTATATATTGTGTATACACTGGGCTAATGATGGATGCTAGACGACACCGGAAGCTAATGTACTCTCCATATGGTGATCGTTCTCGCGCCGTCGCCTTCCGGGTCATAGTCCAGGAAGCCGGTGCGGACAAAGTCTTTCAGCCGCTCCATGAATTGAGTCCATCGCGAGGAGTTGTCATGGTAGTAGCAGGTGCGGTAGATAAAGAAGCCCCCTTTTTTTTTAATATTTATTTTTTATTTTATTTTTTATTTTATATCAGGGATGTTTTTGAATCTTGAAAGGTCTTCGAGATATTCTTGGATGCAGGTGGCATCGGTACGGTTATACATGCGGAGGACTACCATGGTGTTGGAGTATACGATCGAGTATCTCTGATGGCAGAGATTTGGACTCCTTCTGTCGTCTTTGACCGCCCACCAAGTGAGCCAATCGGTAATACATAACTACGAAGATGAACCAAGGATAGAGCCGTACAAACCCGTAGTAATGCAAGTGTCCGAAGGCAAGGAAAACACCGAGGGAAGAATATCGCGAAGACCAAAGTAGAACAAATCGAGAAAAGGTATCAATTCGATTCCGAATTCACGAGTCCGGAAAAATAACTGAATGGGAAAACTCGTTCATTAAAACTTTTTTTCATTTCATAATCGAACTCCCATTCTCAACCACGCCATGCCATTTGCCATTGCCATTACAGCAAGCAACCCAATTCCTCACTTAAAAATTTTTTCGTTATCTCGTTCCGTTCCCGGGAAGAAATTCCATTTCTATTTGTCGGGGAAATAAAACAACACGGATGGGAAATAAAAAAGGACATCGAGTAAAGGGATCAAGATAGCGGAAATTTTTAGTGACCACCAACACGACGGGCCTCGGCGATGACGGTTTGCATGTCCTCAACCTTTCTCTTGCCACGGGAGAAGGTACCGAGCTGTAGAAAGAATGTTAGCTATGTTCGTTGTGCTTGACAATGGGGTTTGGGCTGGTTGGTTTAGTTGCTGTCCTGCTGCTTGCTCGATGTCGGTTTTCGGTGTCGTACCGCGTTGTCGGGGGCCGTAGATACCGTTGTCGAATGGGCGTAGTATCCGTCACGTACATGTCGGGACGTCGGATTGTACGGTCATCAAAGTCGTAGAATCGTATCCATCGTCGGGAAGACCGGAAATACTGTCGAATATTTTCCTCCGAAAAACCAAACCGACCGAACGAGCAACAGGACAAGAACCACTGCACCATCCAAACCACCGGAACCAAAACGTACCCTCTTCTTAGCGAGCTTACGAGCGCGCTTGTCCTGAGTGTTTCTCAGGAGTTCGATGATACGGCGCTCATAGGGGGCAAGACCGACAACCTCGCGGGTGATCTCGCGGACGAAGGCAGTGCGGCGGGAAGACTGGCCCTTGGTGCGGCTGATCTTGGTCTTGGGGGTGTTGAAGGGGGTGGTTTTCTGTAGACGAGATCCAGGTCAGTAAAGCGTTTCGGGGATTTTGTTGGTTTTCGAATTGATAAGATTTCACGCTTCATCCTGCCAATTCGAACCGGGAATATTTGGTCGTTCGCGATGATCCCTTCACACAGCAAAAACCTCTTTTTCCTCCCTGATTCTTTATCCCCGGGGACTCATCGCAAACAAAACCAAATCCCTCCGAGCTCGACCTGGGGATACCGCGGGAAAAAATCCAATCCAACACAGAAAAACGAGAGTAACACGGGGAGAATCAACGTACGTGGCCCTTGTTGAGACCAACCACGATTCCGGAACGTTCCTGCGCCATCACGACGGTTGATGACTTGGGGTTGGCGACGACGGTGGTTGCTGAAGGGAGTTGTCGAAGTCGAAGGCTCGTCGGTGCGGTTGGATTCGCGATACACTTTACGGATTTTTGGTTGGCCGCCCGCCGTAGTGCGTAGCGAGGTGTAGGGCTTAGGGCATGTTCTGTGATTGGTTGACTTTATTTCCGGATGGGGTTAGCGTAAATTACCGGATTGGGACATACAACTACGAAGTACATTAACATCATATATGCGTTGCTATACGGCACTTACAGGATATTCTAGCAGAATGGAATTTTTCCTGTTCAAGGATGGCTTGCTACCATGAGTTGCCAACACAAGGGATGTACAAGTAGAATTTCGGGGTCCTACTCCGTACCAAAGAGCATCATGAACATTATTTTGACTTTCATTCGACCGGGGAGTACGGAGTAGACTGCTTCACTAAGACAGCTTTCTATTTTGATAACATCTTTCAAGGTGGTTTGTCCCGGCACCATGGTGATCCTTCGCAGGCACAATTGCACCGACGCAACTTGTATTCGAGAACATCTTCTACGCATCAATGAAAAGAAATGGGGCTTCTTCATCTACCGCACCTGCTACTATGATGATCCTGGGCGATGGAATCGGTTCATGGAGCAGCTCAAGGGATTCGCCCGCATCGGCCTCCTCAACTATGACCCAGAAGGCGACGGTGCGGCAATCATTGATGACCTGGAATGGAATGTCCAAGACGATCCCGCTATGGAGGGATGTCCGGTAGATGATGTTAGGTGGTTAGCACCATTCCCTATCCACTGTTTCTCTGTGCACCATGAATCAACCTAGCTAATGAGATAGACTACACCGAGATCTGATGTGCTCTCTATACGGCGCATTTAAACCTGCGTTTATCCGTCATAAACACCCAATATTTCATCGACAAGGAATCTGTAGATTCTGTTCTAGCAGGGCCAGCGCCAGGTACTTGGCGGGCCATAAATTATCGCAATCCAACAGCATATGTCATTGCCATGAATATGCGGTGGTGGGACCGCCAGGAAGAAGAAGCCAGACGTGGTCCCCAGCCTGACGATGACGATGATGATGATGAGGAAGGGGAAGAGTGTTATCCTTTGATCAATGGCTGTCAGAGGTATAATGTGGGCTGGACAAAAGTCTCCGTCTCTGAATTGTACCCGAGATTGTATAGCCTTCTCGTGGGTAGCGATCTTTGGCGTGTTGTCTATAAACGGCCGCCAAAGATCTCGACAGGAGGACCATAATGTTCGGAGATCAGGGTTTCTGTTTGAACGGATCTTTTAGTCTGGAATGCTCAGAGGTGACGTTCGTTTTCATTTTCAGGTCTAGTTATTTAATTAGAGCGGAATTCTCACTTGTCGTTTTCCTCTATATCCTATCGTATTATTATCCATTCTCTTCCTTCCTTTTCTTTAAGTACCTGCTTGATATGCGTCTGTATCATTTGCCAGCCTGAGCCGACTCACGATGATCATCCAATCACTCGACTGGTGAGATCTTCGGCGGTCGTGCATAACAAACACGCCACAGATTCCCATGCCCCGAGAGAAGACTATACAACCTCGGGATAAACTGATTGACGGAGACTTCATCCAGCCCACATCATACAATCGACAGCTGTTGATTGGAGGCCAACCCTCATCCACCTAGCCATCACCATTACCCTTATCGTTATGATCCAGGCAATCCCCCCACTGGATATCAATAATGATGATATATGCAGTTGGGTCAATAAGATCCTGGAATCTCCAGGTCCCTAGTGCTGGACTTGAAAGGACAGAGTCAACAGACCCCCTTTGTCAGCCAGTATAGGGTGTTTATCGCGGGCATAGAGCGCATTAGATCTTGGTGACGTCTATCTTCATCGTCAATACATACATTCGTCTCCCTTTTATAAACACAAAATACTGGTACCGTCTAACATCATTCACAGAACATCCTTCTAAAGCCGGATCCCCCTGGACGTTCCACTCAAGCTTATCAATAATCGCCGCGCCATCCCCTTCAGGATCGACACTTGAATCAAGGAGCTTGGTGGAGGCGAATTCCTTCAACCGCTCCATGAATTGAGTCCATCGCCCGGGGTTATCATGGTATTAACAGGTGCGGTAGATGAAGGAGCCCCATTTATCTGCACGGCCGGATTCAAGATATCCGCGAATGTTGGTTGCATCATTGCGGTTCCGTCTGCGACGGATGACTACCATGGTGCTGATTGACTTGATGTATCTGGTAATTGGATTTGACCAGAGATTCCCGGATGATGTCTTTCGTCACATGAGTCTTCTGGCGAAAGTTTGGTGCCACCCTTGATGAATGGTTCAGATCTATACTAGGTACGGAGTACTAGGTCTCAATGATCGAAGATGCAGGCAATTACCGGAATTCATTAGGGCAAGCATAGTTATGAGGAGTTCATTGAACAGACACGCCCGGGTTACTGATCATTATCAATACCTTACGGTTACTCTCGAAACAGACCTTCGTTGATTCAATATACCACATATACCAGCTGCTGCTCATAGTCACGCTCACTCCCCCATCGGCTTAAACGAAACCTCAACCGGCTCACCCCCAATCCCCCTCCTCTTCGCCTCCTCCAAAATAGCCACAGCCGCCGACGCACCAACCCGACTAACCCCCAAACTCCTAACATGCAACAAATCATCCAACGTCCGAACACCCCCAGCCGCCTTAATCTGGACCCCCTTCCCAATATTCTCCTTCATCAGCTTCAAATGCTCAATAGTAGCGCCCTTGTAGTTGTATGATCCATCCGCTTGCTTCACGAATCCATAGCCTGTGGATGTCTTGACAAAGGCGACGCCCACTTCTGTGCAGATCTTGCATAGCTGGATGATATGTTCTGGTTTGAGGTAGTCGTTTTCGAAAATGACCTTGAGAGTCGCCCCGTTGTCCACGACTGCCTTGTTGATCTGCTCAATCTCACCCCGCACATAACTCCAATCACCACTAAGCACCTTGCCCACATTCACAACCATATCAATCTCAGCGCCACCAGCCTTTGCAGCCGCAGCAGCTTCAGCGACTTTAATCTCAGTCGTGCTGTTTCCATGGGGGAACCCGATCACAGGACAGATGAGGACGTCGGTGCCGTCGAGTTCTTGTTTTGCGAGCGGGATTTGGTAGGGTTTTATGCAGGCCGTTGCGACGTGGGTGTCGCGGGCGGTTTGGAGGCCTGAGAGGACGTCGGCATCGGTTATGGTGGGGTGGAGGAGGGAGTAGTCGATCATTTTGGAGATTTGGGGGAGGGATACGGTTATGGTGTTGGGCATTTTGGTGGTTTTGGTGGTTTTGGTGGTGTTATCCTTGGTTGGGATTTTGGTAACGGGTCTGTTGATTGATTTAGTTAAGAGAAGATGGGATTGTATGTTTTATTTTATGGAGTATGTAGATGGGGATCTTCTTGGTTTAAGTATCTGGGGTTGTACAACTCAGCATTGCATGCAGTTCCGGTGGATTCCCGAACGGGAAATTTGAACCACCGGTTAACTACTCAGGCAGATAGTTGCCTCAAGCGGAAGAAAGTAGGATGCCTAGGATAATTTGACCAATCCGATGTTATCAAGCCGTTAATTAAACACTATAGTGCGCCGATCTACTCCGGAAGCGTAAAACTATCCAATCCCCATATCCACGCTTGCTCCAACGACGGAAACACATCATCAGCAAACGGCCAGGCGAGATTATCGGAGCCCTGCCCTGCTTGGGAAGTGTGAGATGGGGATGAGGGAAGCATTGCTATGCCTTGGTTTGGTTTCATTGATTGAACAGAGTGGTCAATGCTGGACATACCTTTTTCGAATTCAGCTACGGCTTGTGATAGGGCTGTATCGGGGATGTACTGAAATGCCGTATCGTTTGTTTCGGGTGGAGAAGTTTCTTCAGGGCCAGCCATTACTGGTAAGTAGGTGTTGGCACTGGGCAGTGAGTCTGGTTGTTGTGGACGAGTATCTTCCTCTGCCGTAACAGTAGCATCACGGCCATACTCATGATAATTTGCTTGCTTAGCGGCGTCACGGCATGCTTGCATTGACTGTGAATGAGTCGTTGGGGTGATCTGCTGCTCCATCCGAACGGGTCATTAATCGGAAAGAGAGTAAGGGTCCGTTGACAATGATTCGCACATTCTCGTAGGCTAGCTGGAGGGTTAGCGCTTGGAGTTGGAAGATATGGCTTTCAAATACGTGCCGTGCCCGGATGCGCCGATGTCCAAGTCGAATTCTTCGCGGGAAGCATAACCAGGTGCGTTTGATGATGACGTCCAGCGAGCCTGTAATAAGGGCGAAATTTCTGCTTTCCAAGCTTCTAATTTCCGGTTGATACTAGCAACCTTCCGCACCAGATGCTGAGAAGACAACCTCGGCTTTACAGCGAGGTTATTCGCCGAAGCCGGCCCAACACAGTACAACCGACTCAGAATCTCATTGGTAACCACTGACAGCTTGGACATAAGATACTTATAAGTAAGTAGGGTCTTCTCGCATTGAAGTGACTCCTTAAAAGACGCCGGCGATTGCGCAGCTGGCAATTTCGCCGACGGATCCGGTGGCTCTACATCGCAATCAGCATCGTTGATAGAATACGAATATCATAGGACATGGAGCAAAAGGTTTCGATTTCATAAATAGCCCACCAGCATCGCTTGCGGGCTTCGTTTTAATTTCTCCATGCCATTGATGGTCGTTCACTATCCGTGCTTGGAGGCTGCTGCTTTCGATGGAAATGCAGTGCCTGTGCGATGTGGAGGGCGCAGCCGCAGACGGGTCATGCGAGTCCTGGATCTCCGTGGAATAGATAATACGCCCCTAATAAAATATAGGTCTGCGCGGCTTCCAAGGTCCAGAGGGCCATGATATCCAGTAGTGGTTCCCTCCCATGACCTCGAGTATCTCAAGAACACAAGTAAATACATTAATCTGACATACAGAGAGTCCCAGTATGCCAGGATTATATATTAGATTACCATCTCATTCATAATCATCAAACAGCCACCAGTCGTAGACTCATACACAGTGCATGTCAACATAGAACCCAACCGCAACAAAACCAACAAGATCACTATTCACTTCTTCTGTCCCTACCCCTGCCCCTTCCCCGGCGCAGACTCAACATCCACCTCAATAGTCCTCAGAATCCCCTGCGACGGATACGTCTTTTCAATATCCACGCACGACGCATCAGGCGATGCCCCCGTTGATGCTAGAGGCGTTGCATCCGCTTTCGCTTCTGCTGTTGAGTAGGAGGCGCCCTGAAATATCTGGCTCTGGCTTTCTGCAGGGCTTCGGATTTCGGTGGTGTTATTGCTGCTGGTGTTTGTATTTGTGCTGGGATTCGTATTCGTATTCGCATTGCTGTTGCTCTTGATGGTATTTGTGTTACTTCTGTTGTTCGAGGTGTTGTTGCTATTGTCATCATTGTTGCTGCAATCCCCCTCTAACTCCCAAGTGCTGTATTTGAGAATATCGCTATCCTCCGTCGCCATCCAGCCGCGCGGTGGCTTTTTCTTCTGCTGTTGTATCTGGCTAGGGCTGTTGTTGTGGTGGTGTCTCCTTGAACTGCTGGCGCTTGCTTCGCTGAAACAGGAGAGTTGGGTTGCGGCTCTTCGGAAGAGGTAGCGGACTTGTAGGACGGGGAGGCAGCTGGCAATGATGCCGCAGGTGACTTCTGCCGTTCTGTGACTGGTCAGCAGCATTTTTGGATGTTTTAAGGGAGGGGGGACTTACGTCCAGAGAAACTCGGGAAACCAGTCATGGGTCTTGTCGGCGGTGTTGCTGTTCTTGACGCTGAAAACTAGTCTGACGACGCTGGCGCAACAGCCACTGTTTTCTTTTTAGCAATGATCATGACAGATCAGACACGGGGAATGGGGGATGAGCACATACAATGAACCCGCCACAAAAATCGCCAATATTCCAATCTTCGTCGCCCTAGTCTTCTGCATCATATTCAACACGCACGCGATCGGCAGCAACAGAATCATGAAATCCGACGCCACATTGATAGCCGAGGTCACCAGAATCGGAATGTTGATGTTGATACACGACCCTTCCACAGATTTCTCCCAGATCTTATGCCGCGGTGTGCACTCGAAGATCTTGACGATGGTGTCGGCTAGGTAGAAGAAGAAGTTGAACCAGATGAGGAACTGGATGATCATGTATGTTGTTGTTTTCTGGACGATGGTTGTGAACAAGCGGATGTAGAGGAGGAGGATGGAGAGTTTGGTGATAAAAATTAGGGGGCCGTAGGCAATTTGCGCGATGTTTGCGATCTTTGTGGTGTTAGTGTTTCCATCCCTGGTACTTGTTGCGGTTGAACCTACCTTGGAGAAATCTTTAACGTCAGAATCGGCTACCAGCCATTGATGGATACCGCTACCGTGCTTGTCGGCTTCGAAGCATATGACCCCATAGCCAATGAGACCGAGCTAGTCTCCGTAAGTATTCTGAGGATTTCTGACAATGGGAGAAAACATACCCAGGCCAAAAGACAAGTCCAATCTTCCAATATCGGTTTCCCTACAATAAATAGCTTCGAAAACATTCGCAGCGCAACGCAAATCGTGCCGATGACCAGGCATACCACTTGGGTGACGATATCCCATCCTCGCATTGAATTCCGATAGTCATAAGTGAGGGTTTCCGATGACGGCGCAGGGCCGTTATTCGTAATGGGAGCCATGAATCATAAAAGTTCAAGTTCAGACAAAATTTTGAGTTTCAAAAGCGAAGAAGATGCTCAGCTCCTACTCTTCAATGTATCAAGATAGAAAAAACATCCAGCATCGTATTCATGAAAGCAACATATGACAATGACGACAAGTCGAGTCAACTGACCAGCAAGCAGTAATAGTCACCGAGGTTGAACCAGGTTCACAGCGCCAGCACCCGTTTATCAAGGGCCCAAGAAATGACCACACCGCAGCCGGCTTGCTTGCCATTGTCAAAGTTCCCGGCTTCTCCTCCTCTCCACGGGATGGAATGGCAGCTTGCCGTCGTACAACGTCCAAGGTGAGTGAGGAGAGTAAACGGGCCGATTGGGAGCGGGCATGGTTGACTGGCTGGAGAGGATTATGGGGAGCGAGAGGAGAGTTGGATTTGCGCTTCGCTGCATGACGGTGTAACGGTTGAATGTCGATGGGCAGGTTTGTGGTCTCTGAGGATGGGATTTGCCGGTGGATCAGATGCATGATATTGCTTTTTATCGGAGTCGGTGACATGGTTTGCCTGTCGAGAATGAAGATCGGGCCTTCCAGGTATTCGATGCATGTACCCATGACAAAGGATATTATTTGGAATATTCGGGAGAAGAAGAAATGTTGCATAGATCGCCCCAAAAGCACCGCACACCAGCCATCCAATTCATAAGACCTAAGCTGCAAGGCTAGAGAAGCGCCTGTATAACCCCAAATCAGGAAACGCAGCACCATCTGTACGACTTGCAGAAGATTAGCAGGTTACATACTTCTCTCGTCGTAAACCGGCCTGCTTGCTTCTGGTTAGTCAACTCGGGTACTGTGGTATCTCCCCGATGCGATGCACCAGTAACCCTCGCCTAGGCTACCTGCACCGTGTGGTGTTGGCGTTTATTGACGTGGTTTTATGAGCTGTCATATGATTTTACTTAGTCGTAGCAATGTGATAGTCTATAGCCGAGGAAGGTTGAAATGTCTGCTCATGCCATCATTCATACCGGTACAGGTAGGCTGCTACCTGTCCGGAGTTCAGCATTATATTCATTCATCTATGTGCATGCGTTTTCTTTCTGCAACTCCCTCTCACAGAGTCACCCCGACTAACCCCTCCAATCCTTCTTCCCAGCTCTCCATCAACTCTCCGGCAAACACTTCCAATGCCGAAGTATCGAGCGTCTTCTCCAGCGCATCGCGAAGTTCACCGGTCGTGCCACTGAGCACGAGATCGATCAACGCGCTCAGCACGCCCGACTCAGAGATACGAGACTTGAGATTACGGATGTTTGTCCGTACGCTCTCGTGAGCTTGACGGACGGATGTTGTCAGTTGCTCCAGACGGTCCTTGGGCAGTTTGGCGGATTTGGTGCCCTTCTTCGATGCGATGGTTGTTAATTGCGAGACGGCCTTGAGGGTTTCGAGGATGAGCGATGTTTCGTGGAGGAATCTCCAGGATGGCGCGGAGGGGGATTCTGAGTGGAAGGTGATGGCTGTGTTGGAAATGATTGGCGATGTCTTGTCGGTTGGTTCGAGGTACTGAGCCTTCGAGCTCAGCCATTCCTCCACTTGCGATAGCGATCCTTCGACCTCTTCGGGGGTGATCGATTTCGATCCACCCAGGTGAGACACCACCTTGAGCAGGTTAAAGTGGTTCTTCGCGGCCTCGACCTCTGCAGGTGTCATATCAGATTCTGGGTCCGATCCAAGAATCTCGTCGAGACTAGGCAATGCAGCCTCCACAGACACAGGTCTCTGGGCAGCCAGCTCCTTGAGGAGCCCGAAAAGTCGGTCTGTTATCCTACTCGACTTCATCCATGGTTCCTATAACCTATTAGCTGCCAGTCAAACATCATATCGGACGTGACCTACCTGAGGCAATGGACCCAAGCGCATCCGCTCTTCGAACGTTGGCTTCCCAGGAGCCTCGCAGTTCATGAACGCGTCAAATTTCCGCTGGTCATACATAGAAGACTCGTCGTTTGCTACAGCATTATCTGGTAAGCACGGTTCAACATTAAAGGTGTAAATAGTGAACTTACCAATCTCATCGTAGCGCCCCACCGGTTTCCCCCCGACCAGTCTCTGCGTGCGCCTCACTTCCAACGCATACATTCTCCGACAGATGCTGTTCTTCAGGCGCCTCTGAAGGTCGATGGTGCCCTCCACGTTCACGTAACTGCCGAAGTCCAAACCATTCGATCGGTTCCGGATGGTCGTGATATCCGCATTACGGTAGAAGTTGAGACCCTGCATAAGGGCGATTTGCGGATCAAAGTCCTTGTATTCTGCACCTTCGATCGGTGGTGCCGATTGTGGGTGGACGGTTGCAATGCGTGTGAAGAGGTTGTGGGCGACAGTTTCGAACTGGAACTGCTTGACGGAGAGCTTGCTGAAGGTCTTGAGAGCAAGAGAACCAGCACCGAGACGGAGATAGATCCGCACCAGCAACAACAATGCCTGGTAGTTGTGAGGCGAGTCGACGAGCAGACGATCCAGAATTCCGGCTGCGCGAATGAGAGTGGTATCTGGGATTTGTTCGCCTTCGTGTCCGAAACGCATCAAGCTCATCGCAGCGAGCAGACAAAGGTCATCGCTCGGTTGGCTCTCGATCACAGATTCGTCTGATTTCTGCTCCGGGCTACGAAGTTCACCGTAGGTCTTCAGGCAGCGGGCAATGTAATCCTCGGATTTTTGCGTTGTAATGCTGGCCTCGTCGGATGACAGTTGGAAGCAGTACTCCAACTTAAGGGCATTGATAACCGCAACGCCTTTGAATGGAGAGGTCTATTCAGGGTCAGCTGGTTATAAAAAACGAGAAAAGGAAGTCGTCTGACGTACGTCGCTTTCACTCTCTTCCGTCTTGAGTGTGTACTCGACAAACTTGGACAATCCATCCTTTTCCAATTCAGGAAGATACTTCTGAAGGTCACCGAAGCAGTAAAGTTTGCTCTTATTCCGGTTAAAGTACTCTTGACTAGCAGAATAAAGGTCATCCTTCGTTAAGCTGCCCGACTGAACACCCCAGTGCATCAGATCCAATTGAGCCAACTGCACGTTACGAGACTTGGGCACTGCGTTGAGGAAGTCTTTGATGAAAGTTTGCGCCTCGGTAGTGGCCCTTGTCTCTGTCAGTGATTTAAATCATCGCCCAGGAATTCAAGTACTTACTCTGCGTTGTTGAGATTCCGTACAGACGCAACAAGCAAATTCCAGACAGCCCAGTCATCACGCTCCTGCAGAGCCTTCCGCTCATTCTCATCGGTGGGGATTGCGAGCAAGCTCTTCGCGTAGGCCAGACCCTCGGTCCACATTCCAGCCTTCTCCAGACCGTCCACCTTGGTTCCGACAAAGGTCCAATCGTTCTGGACGATCTGCGAATTGAGTCCGAGGTTTTCGCTGTCAAGAAGTTTCACGATCTCGGAGTTACGGTCTTGGGTCTCGAGGATCTTGACCAGCAGAAGTAGCTCTTCGGTGGTCTGGATGGCTTTAGGTGGACTAGGCGTTTCTTTCTGTTGCAATTGTTATCATCATGCTGTAACGGGGGGGGGAGCACGGAGAGCATACGGGATCGGAGGGAACACTTTCGGCGGCTTTAGAAGCCATGCGGTATGCCAGAGTACCAAAGAGTTTCTTCTCGGCCTCTGAGCTCTTCGAGTCGGTAGCGGTAAGATGGCAGAGGAAGATAGCCCAGAAGTAGTACTTTCGCGTTTTCGGGAAATTGCTCTGAAGACTCATGGCAGCCTAAATCCCAGTCATAGATTAGTCCCGTCCACCAAAACCATATAACCTCCAGACAAACCTTCTGCGCAGACTTCCAATCATCATTCTCAAACGCATATGTAAACCACCGCATCTGGATCTCCAGCTCCTGCGGCTTGGCCTTCGCGGCCTTCTCCCAAAGTCCCCGCTTGGTATCTTCCTGATTGCTCATCTTCTCCAGGGTCTGCTGCAGGATATCGAGGGTCTCGAGGTCCGTCGCGGGGGGTTCGGCTTTGCATAGTTCGAGGGTCTCGGTCACACCACGCTTGTGGTGGGCTTCGTCGGCATGGCGGAAGAGGATATGGGCTTTCCATGCCTATTCAACGATACTATTAGCGATACCAACAGAACAACAAAGCTGGTTTCTATTGCGAGTGTATGTACACAACCGGAAAACACAACCGCACCGCAAATTAAAAACAACCCACCTTCAAAAACCTCGTATCCTCCCCCTTCTTCATGCGTTTCTCGATAAGCTGTAGCGCCTGCTTGAGGTTCTGCGCATCAATGGCATCCTGGATCTGGTTGTTGCGCCGCTGGAAGACGGCGTCGTTGGTGGTCGACACCATGGCGAGGTCGAAGTCGGACTGGGGGCTCTATATACGCGATTTACACACCGTTTTATTTGGAAGTAGCGCGGGGGGAATAAAAAGAGAGTATTCGTATGCTGCGACGGGGCACAGCACACGCGTGCAAATGGAGAATTAAAGCGATATGGAGGGGAAGTTGATATTCCGATTTGCGGTGCTTTTTTGTCGGCGGGGAGGTGAAGGCGGTGATGGGTTGACTGCATACTACAACTATGAACGTCAAGTAGAAGATATTCTGGTTTTCTATGCTTAGGAATGAGATAATTTATATTTTCTGGGAATTCGATCTTTAGAGACATTTCATTGTAAGTAAACTCTAGCCATGCCCATAGCTCACACCATCTACCGTGAGCATCGCAGACGTCTATTTATATCTTGCGAGTCGAGAAGGGTAAGATGTTTTTTTTTTTTTTTTTTTTTTTTTTTTTTTTTTTTTTTTTTTTCCGTACAAAGAACTGCACATAGTAAATTTCTCGAGGAAACCGTGACAGGAAAGGGGTATATTGAAGTACAACTCGTAGTATACAGATAGCTCAAAAATACAGTATCATCTCGTCTAGCCCCTCGAGCAATCGGGATACCAAGAAAGAGCCCAATCCATGACAAACAGACAGAGTCCCCAGACAACATTCGAGTAGTTGAAAGGGCATCTATTCGAGCAGAGAACTCATAGGCCTGGCCGGATGGACAAGAAGTGTGATTTGGGCGTTATCCATGCCTTTCAGTCCGGATTAAGCATCATCGGAGACAGGACCATGGAGACGGGAACGCGGCTTTCAGAACGCTGATAGAAAAGTAATCGTTTAATATCACGGCGCTGACAACCAACGGCGCGATTGAGGCTGAACATAGTCGATAAGGGAGTAACGGTTCTCGTTACTTCTGGCTAGTGCCAAATCTTTTCTGCGTCATCTGCTCTATGTTAACGGATGTACTCTTCCATGGAGATTGGCTAGATCGATGCCTCGTCGTTAAAGACATCGGGCCTGAGATCCAGGTAACTCACCCAAGTCTTCTTACAATCCCGATAAGCTCTGCAAACATCGTTAGCACATGCACAACATTGAATAACAGTATACATTGCTAAGGACAATCAACCATAGCCCCGATGCAGCACAGAACACCTGCTCCCAATAACCCAACTACCCTAACACAGAAAACAAAATACAAATACAAACAACAAATATATACTCACTGAAAATAATCCCCACACATCTCCTTATCAAACCCATTCCGTCTCATACACTTGAGACTCCGGTCCGCGAAGTCCTGGCACGGATCATAGTACTCGCTGGCGCTCTTGCTGTACACAAACGGCAATTAGCATCTATCAGTCAGAATCACGCTAGATGAGCACATTGCGTTGTGTTGGCACAGATGTAGATCAGGTGGTGGTGGTGGTGGTGGTGTCGGACGGATGGACGTAGGTGTATCATTGTGCTCATAACTGATATGCTTGAGGTGTGACAATAGCCATTTCCTTAAGATGGGGAATAGGCTCTGCACCAATAACCAACATCCGACTCTGATCACCACGTCTCGACAATGGACTCCAAGGAACTGTTCAACATAAAAAAAGGGCACATACTGAGAAAACTTCCTCTCCGTCTTATTCACATCCTCCACCGGCAAAGTCTGCCCCTGCTCATTTTCATTCGAAGCCATAATGGATCCTCAGTATCAATTCTTTACCAACTACTACTAGTACTACAAGTACATAACATGAGGCATGAAGTCCCCCACGACATCGGAACAACCCGGCGCCCGCCGATCGGATACCGCGGCATGCCGGCATTTCACCGAGGAAATGCCGCGCCAAGCGCGGAGAGACGGTTTTTGAATGGCTTCATTTTTTGGCCTAACGAGGTAAGTGAGGAGGCTCTGCGATGACTGGGATTTGTAGATTGGATTTAAAGTATGCTTGGTTATATAGCTCAGACCAGGATACTGCTATGTACGGAGTACAGGTACCTGTAGGTACTCCGTACTGCGCTTTGGTTGGTCGTGCAGATACTTCTCCATAGTGAAAATTTTTCTACTCCGTCTCGTACTTTTCGTACTACGACTAGACTAGCGCTAACGAGTCAAAATGCCACCGGAACCGTGGACTCGCACAAATCCCGTCCGTCCTAGTGACTTGGATACGCACACTGCAATCGTCTCTGTTGCCACGGCACTGTATTGCCACATGCGCACACGCACCGCATATCCACGGAGACACGAGAAGGACAAGAACGAGATGGTTTGGGTCGTAGACTCCTCTTTCTCCTCACGGCATTACCCCTCCTCCTCATTGAGGATCCATCGTTCAAAACTTTCTTTCTTCCGGTGCTTCCTTCGGCCAGCCATCCCCTTCCGTTGCTCCCGTTGCTCCCATTGCCGTTGACATGTTACCGGCACATTCGTTATCAATCTCATACCTACTCCGGAGTAGTAAAAAACGAAGCAACCGGCGAATGCTGACCGGCCCGGGGTATTGTAAAATAAAAAAGACGGAAAAAAAAAAAAATAAATAAATAAAATAACCCAATCTGGAGCCATACATCTGCGACACACTTACTACGGCCGGTCCAATTTTCTCTCCAATCCTCCAACAAGAAGCGCCACCCTAATGTAAACCGAGGCCCCGCCTCTGTTCGAGCCAGGGTTCCTGTAGGCCGGTTGTGAGATAAAGGTGACCCTCAGCACCCGTCACGAAACTTTATGGCCCGAAATTGTTCTGTTATTTGCCAGAGAGTGGATAGCCTCGTTTTTAACTGCATTGTTTTTTTCTGGTTGAAGGAGAGATGTTGAATGGCTTTGTGAACCTGCTGGATGTGGTGTGTGCATACGTACTCCCGTAGTCTGTATCGCACCGCACCATGCACTATGGAGTAGGACGTGTGTTTTAGCTAGAATCAGTGCCTGAAGAATTAGGATTTAGTGCTCCGTACTCCGTAGTTACGGCACGTAGACTTCCTCGGGTAGCAAGCCTGGTCTTGGAAATAAGGAGAAACACAAAGTGGCTCATACTCGGAACATCTCCTTAGATAGACAACTAGCCGAAAACACGAGACGACTCCTCGATTTCATTCTTCTGCTTTAACGCAGTCCAGACAAAAGTTCATTACTCCGATAGACGCCCATGTGCAAGCTGACGTGCTGAATGTCGACTGCATCTGTACTCTGCAGTCTGTGCTGTATCCTGATCTTCAGCGGTAGCGCTGCCTGACTGCCATCCGAAAAAGGCAACGCACGACTCCATCAAATCGTGGCACTATCCCATTTCGGGGACGCTGTTCGCATAATCGCTTTGCGTAACAACTGAGCGGGAGGGAGCCATGAATCTCCATCGGGCAAGCCTTGGGTCTAGTGCCGTTGTAAGTCTGGTCCAGATTTCCCAAACCCGTAACTCACTCTGGGAGAAACTTCGTCGGACCGCGCGCATGGCTGAAGATTTTTTTGGCTTTTCCCTTTTTGTTTGTTGTCCATAGAAACCTTTTTTTCCTGCTAAACGCTGATTGGTCCGTCGTTTTCAATAGAACAACCATTCCAGAGGCGCAACTTCGTCGTCCGGAATTCCCTCTGCACCATGTACCGAGTCGAGCACTGCAACATTTTCCATGGCTTCCAATTCACTCCCTCGTAGTTCTCCGCAAGCCTGCACATATCAATCAATCCACCACCATTGTACTCATTGTACTCCGTAGTGACAATGACAATGATCGCGTGGATAGAACCACCCACCCGACGGTACTCGGAAGTTTTGGGAACGTGGGGCCTTGTCCTAGCCACCCCGTAGAAAGTGGAAGAATCGTGTCAAAAAAAAAAAAAAAAAAAAAAAAAAAGCACAGGCCAAGCATGATTAAGCAAAGAGTCGAAGAATTCGCACACAATTCCACATCTGCGCCCCTCTAGGTACGGCCCATCGCGAGGTATTGGGTCTATACGGAGTAGATATAAATACCCCCTTTTGGAACGGTCTCTGGCTTCGTCCTTTTCCCTCCTCCTGCCGTGCTTCTTCAACACCCTGGTTCATCGTCATCATCCCATCTTCAACAAGCCCATCTTAAAAAGAGCCCCCCAAAAGGCCCCGATTCCATATCTTATCGTATCTCCTCCCTGCCCTCTCCCCACTTGGGACTCTCCCGAAAAAATTTCTTCCATCATCCAGTCGAGTAAGTCGCCTTGCCGTCCGGAACACATATAGACCTCGTTCGACAGAAAAGTGCATCGCGGCTCATATTAGCGTAGAACAATGGCCACCGCAGAGACCATGACTTCCACCTCCGTGGCACGCCTCCAGCTCAACGGCGCGGAGACTCCCCCCAAGTCGCCCGTCTCCGTCTCGGAGACCCCTCAGGTTACCTTCGACCCGGCCAAGCACCTGCAACACACTCCTCCACCTAAGGTGTACACGATGAACGAGCTCGATTACCCTAACAGCCGTGGTGTTTCGCACGTTGGTGTTTCTGAGCCGTTCCCGTTGTTTTCCGAAGAGGCTGTCGAGCAGATGCGGAAGGAGGTCTTGAGCCAGGAAGTCAAGGCCAAGCACGAGTACTCTAGTGACCTTGCACAGAGCCAGCTGAGAGGCTTCGCTCCCGAGTGAGTAACTCCAACGACCTGCCAAGTTGGAATCCATCGTCCTTGTAGACCGGTCGATGCTAACGCCTGATTCCTCCATAAAGTTGCGCTCCTTTCGTGTACGATGCCTGGAAGAACCCCGAGACCCTTGCCATCATCTCGAAGATTGCTGGTGTTGACCTTGTGCCGGCGATGGACTTTGAAATCGGACACGTGAACCTGTCTGTCACTAGCGAAGAGGAGAAGGCTCGCGCACTCGCCTATATCAAGGAGCAGGCTGCTGCTGGCGTTAACTGGGAAGACGAGAGCCCCATTGTCGACTGGCACACCGACAGCTACCCGTTCGTTTGCGTGACCATGCTTTCGGACTGCACTGACATGGTTGGTGGCGAGACTGCCCTGAGAAAGGGAGATGGTGAGGTTACCAAGGTCCGCGGACCCCAGAGGGTAAGTTTATATTAGTATCCAGGCTATCATCACGCAAGCTCACAAACCTCTTCAGGGATCCGCTGTCATCCTCCAAGGTCGTTACATCGAGCACCAGGCTCTCCGTGCCCTGGGAACCACCGAGCGTATCAGTATGGTGACTTCGTTCCGCCCTCGCTCTGCCGCCATCAAGGACGACACCGTCCTCACCACTGTCCGTGCCGTTTCCAACCTCAACGAGTTGTACCACCAGTTCGCCGAGTACCGCTTCGAGATGCTCGAGGAGCGTTGCCGCAACATCAACCGGCATATGCGTGACCAGAAGCGTGCCAACCGTGCCTTCGACACCCGCGGCGTGAGGGACTTCATTCGTGAACAGATCGAATTCCTTGAGCACATGGAGCGCGAAATCGTTCCCAACGAGCTCGTCAAGAAGGGTGTTATTGGCGACAGCCACTTGATCTCCGAGCACACCAAGCAGGAACTCTCCCGGCGGCGCGGTGCTGCTGCTGGCGAAGAGTAAACTGAAAAAACCTCGATAAGCGCTACATCTTCCGGCATATTTCCTTGCGTTCTTGCATTTTCCTTTTGACCCCTTGTTCTTTTGCATCTCGTCCATTTTCTCCATTATAGACGCCTGTTTTATTATTTCCTCTGATGACTGACGACTGATGATGACTGCTATCGGGCTTGCGGCTCGGATAATCGTTGCATATTGGGCCACCAATTTTCTTTCCGACTCTTTTTCTCTTTGGCGCTCAGGCAGTATCCTTTTGGCGTCTTGTCGCATGGGAAATGGCCGTTCAATGTATTTACTGAAATAGATAATGTGCGAAGTAGATAATTGAAAAAAGTCGTTGATTTTGTAACAAAAACCGTTTCATTTGTTGTATCTTTCGAAATTGATTGCTGACTGACCCTAAAAGCTGAACATAAATCCTGTGGTATATCGAGAAGATGATCGGATATGTCGTTGGGACATTCCGTTGGCAATTAGCAAATGAACAATCTCTCTTCGCGAGGAAGAGAAGACTGTAACCTATCTGCTTAGCACACTGGCGTATTGCCAGGATCTCCCAGGTCTATGTAAAAACAACGAATGTCCAGATATCTTACCAGCCAGAACCACATAGCTGGAGATAAAGAGGTTGAATGACAGACGACGATGATGCTGAAGACGACACTGACTACCTATAAACTAAGGTGATGACCTAGGCGGACGGTCAGTTGATCCAAGGCAGGCCTCAAGGACCCGAGATAAGAGAGCGGTGGTCGGTTCGGAGACCGGAGGTCAGCGAGGAGATATATGTGAGAGGCAGCCGAAGCCAGCCCGAACCGGGGCAAGAGGCCTTGCATCCAGTTAATATACCCTCCCTCCCCCTCTTGCAGAAATATAAAAAAGAGCGATAAAGACCTGCATCGAATCACCGCACGGTTAGGACCATACCATCGATACCACCCAGTCAAATCAATGCCACCACTCCTCCGCACTGTTGTAGCTGCAAGAAAGACCAATCATAGCACAAGCGAAATAACATGCATGTATGGCGACTACCCAACGAACCCCGTGCGTCAATTTCGGTCCGTAGCGAAAGTACGCTGTCGGCTATTGCTGGTCAGAAACGTCAAAAAGACGCGTTAGTGAAAGTGTCAGCTGTCTGAGGAGCCCTCGAAACACGCTGAGACATGAGAAGTAAGGTGAGCAAGTAAGCAACGATAAAATCGTCTATTCTGGTGAGACTCGGTTGAAAGGAGTCCTGGTCACTGTACGGAGTAGACCAAAGTAGCATTAGAAGAATGATAGACAGGTTCCATACCAGGTTCCTCCTCTTGAATCCCCAACGCTCACAAACAATGCCTTTGAGAACGATAGTGTTGAAGAAATGGGATGCTGAGAGGTGGAAGAAAGAAGAGAGAAGAGAAGCAGAAGAGAGGAGACCTGTTTAGTTTTCCGTTTCCCGAGGTCGACGCGGAAGTTTACCGCGGAGGTCACCTGTTCCTTGTGTTTGCACTGTTTGTCATGTTTACCTAGTTTGTCCTCAAAGAAAGAAAGTCATGTTCACGTCGCCCGACACGACTACTCTCTTCAAGACGTGAGTGCTACTGCTGCGGCGCTTGCTCGACGGTTGTCAAGTCTCTCCTTTCGTTTATCTTACTCCCCTGACTTCGTTCATTCGCGTTACTTCGCTACGTTCTCTGCAACTTCTTCAGTGGGCTGCTCCGGCATGCCCGACGTGCCTTGATTGATCCGAACTATTCACATCTATACTCGCCCCAGCGCGGCTGATTTTTCCCTTCGGATATTTTCTTTCAAGAAGGCTCCCTCGTTAAGCCTACAAAATGCCCAAATCAACGAGCTCCAAGACTGCCAAAAGCGCAAATGCAAATGGTACGGCAACCACAAAGAACTCGGAGGTAGAGTCCGGAGTAAGTTGGAACTTCTGACCCGGATATTTGTGCATAATCTTGGAGTGCAGTCGCTGACGTGTCATTCCTAGCTCCTCCAAACACTACAGGGACACGTGGACGACCTTCGACCGTTTATACAATGCGGAATCTGCATTAGACCGTTATACGAACCCTTCACTCTCGCCTGCGGACATACTTTCTGTTACACCGTCAGTTCCCTTTCGCTTGACAATTATGCTTGATAGTTATGTCTCTGACACTTGCTAGTGTTTGACATCGTGGTTTTCCGCAGGAAGGTCGAATAAAACATGCCCAGACTGTCGAACCCCAGTGGTAGCACAGCCGGCGCCGGCTTATTTGGTATGTCTATAGAAATGGACGTTCAATGAGTAATGTCTAACATCTTCTAGGTTCGTGCGATAGTACAGTCATGGATGAGCCGCGCCGAACTTCTTGAAAAAGGAGAGACCACTGCAGATCACATCAAGAACCAACGCGAAGAATCCGACAAGGTTGACCAGGACAAGAAGAACGAGCATCCACGGGAGGGAGGGTTATTTCGAGGCGCATTCAGACACCCACCAATTACGCAGCCTATTGTCGACCTTGAAGACAACGTCATCCGCTGTCCACAATGCGGCTGGGAACTTGAAGATGACGTTGAATGTGAACATTGCGGATATATTGGGGACTTAGATTCTGACGCGGGTGATTCACAATGGAGTGGAACAGAGGAAAACTCGGAAATGGCCGATTTTCTTGACGAGGAAGCCCAGGATGATTTTGACGGCGCCGATGCTTTCCATGGCGATCATGGAATATTTGCCTCTTTCTTCCCCCCTGGATCTTTCAGTCGTCCTTCTGAATCCCTCGGCTGGCGCGATACACGAGTCATTGGCGACAGTGAAGACGAAGACCCAGAATTACGCAATGAGTACGATGACACGGACATGGAATCTTTTATCGACGACGATGAGCATGTCGAGTACGAGACTGGATCGGACCCGACTACAGTGGTTGGCGGTCATGGATTCAGCACGCAGGACTACAGTATCCAGGATCACAGCACACAAGATCACGATTCGCATACGGGTTCCGAAATTCCGATGACTCAAGAAGATGGATATGCCAGCTTCTCCTCCATGGACGAGGGTTCAGGAGACGATGAAAGCGATGATGGCAACGAAGAAGAAGAAGATGATGATGACGATGACGAAGATCCCATCCGGCCACCTATGACTGGACTACGAAGACCAGTTCCAGGGCCAAACGGCAGTTTGAGGAGAGGTACCGACGTGAGAGGGCGTCTTGGGAGTAACCAGCGCAGCACGCATTCCAACACGGCAGGATCATCCACTCATAATACGATTGATATCTCGGACGACAGTAAAGGTTCTGACAGTTCCAATGATCCCGACGATTCTGACGATTCTGACGACTCTGACGAAGGGCCAGTGGCACCGTCCAGAAGGACAAGGGGTCGAATCAACGGAGCCTATTGATCTCTCGAGTCCATTAACTTTAGCGGATCGATTTCACACTTCAAATGTTGGACTGCTCCATCAACGAAGGCTATAGAGTTTTACGATGATTGGTTTGGTCATGATTACGGGCAGCGGGCCTCTGCGATTCGTTCTTTTATCCATTCTCTTCCGGGATTCATCAATACGGCGCTCGGGTATGGCTTACAGAAAACAGCAATTCGGCAGACATTATGATTTAAGAAAACTTCACAAATACCCCTCTTTGCATTGTTTTGGAATTGGAGTCTCAGCGAGGGATTATGGTTTGCTTTCACGGAATGTACTTTATGGCGTTAGTCCGAGACTATATCGGTAGGCGAAAAGCCTTGGCTTCAATATATTATTTATAGACAGTGCATCATTGGACATGCTTGGTAGCGTTTACCACTCCATCTTTGTGTTTCACCAACCGTACAGCGTCTTCGGGTTTGAGACCATCATAAGATGCCACTCTTCAGCCGACAACCACGACCGTAGACTCTTCAGCCATGCCAAATCATCAACGACCAGATACTCCGTCTCGCGCAGTGCCTCCTCGCGCGTCCGCACTTTCATGTGCGGTGTATGGGGCCTTCGTATTCGTAGTTAGCACCGACCCCAATACCAAAAAGATGGCGAGAGAAGATATACCAATCACTTCCCCAAAGAATCCGCTCCGGATTCGCCTCCACAAAAGCCCTCACCACCGGTCTCAAATCCTCATATCCCGGCGCCAGATTACTCACCCGGTACGGCGCACTAAGCTTGATATAAAGATGTCCAGCGCGGACTAACTCCAATATCTCCTTGAACCCAGGCTGCTGCGTCACATCCACCTTCCCATTCTCCGAATCGATGTTAAGCATGCTACCCCCCTTAAGCAACGCGAAATGATCAGTCACCAGCGCAATCCCCGCTGGTACCAACACCTCTTTCACGATAGGGCCGAGTTCGCCCCAGAACTCAGGATGCGTATGCGTAAACGCCAGACTCCATCGCCTCGCATCAGCATGGCCTCGAATAGCGCGTGCATGTTCCCGTAATGCAGTATTCTGCATATCCGCTTCATGCATCGCCTGGTACTTGTACAGATTCACACGTATACCGCGCACCCCTGCGGCATGCATAGCAGTTAACTCATCACCCGTTACAGTGGAGGGATCGATCACGCCCACGCCCTTGGTGGCCGGTGCGGTGGTGTTGAGTTCTGCGACGAAGGACTTCAAAGAGGTACAGTCTGCGCCGTAGGAGAGGCCGTGGGTTAGGACAGAGTTTGTGATTCCTAGGCGGGTCTTGAAGGCGAGGAATTGGGGGATTGTTGCGGGGGGTGGGGTTAGGTGGCGGTCGGGGGCGTAGGTGAATTTTGTTGCTGTGATCTTGAGCATTACGTTTAAGGGGGGATGTATGGGTATGGCATACGGTCGAAGATGTGGTGGTGGACGTCCCATCCTCCGTTGGGGAAGAGGTCGGAGGCGATGGTGCTGGTGTATGCGATGGCCATTTTGACTGCAGTGGTTGATGTTTACTTGATCGCATCTTGCAGGTGAGCTCTAATATTAATATATCACGCATTGCGCATTGTAGTGCTAGATCACTTCGGTAATCTATGTTCTCGTCTCATCATGTTGGGGTTGGGGTTGTTATCCCCTCACGGAGCGCTCCGGGCACCCGCCTCGGAGCATTCCTAGTCGGCTACGAGCAACTATATCGGGATGAAGATAGTCGGCGTGTTATTCTAAAATGCGCCTTGGATGTCATAGCATGAGCTATAGCATCTACTTTGTTTGGTATAAATGTCGCATACTGCTAATTGGTCGGATTGGGCATGCCCTAAACTTGACGTCTCTACTTGATATACGGCATAATGTCATCAAAGCACCAAGTCTCTCCATGGCAATAAATCCTCGCTGGTGGTGCTGCCGGTGGTGTGGAGAGTCTCCTCACGGTCTGTACCTTGCAGCCATCTACAGAACTGTCATCGCTGACTATATCAGTATCCCACGGAATACCTCAAAACCCGCCAACAGCTATTCCAAGAAAACGGCACGGCTGTCCGCCAATTACCCCTCCGATTATTGACGAGCACAATCAGACAACATGGTCTTTCGCGGTTATACACCGGAAGCTTAGCCTTTTGCGCCTCCATCGCATCCAAATCTGGCGTTCGATTCGTCACCTTCGACACCGTCTCGCGCTTCATGCCCACTGAAACCGTCGCTGGGAAAACGAAGACAACGCTTCTAGGTAATTTAGGAGCCGGGCTGCTGGCAGGTATTGCAGAAAGTGTACTCGTCGTCACACCCGGCGAGACACTGAAGACCAAGATCATCGATGACCAGGCCGGGCCGCGAGTGTACCGTTCTGCCACTCATGCAATTCGGACCTGTCTGCCGCAAGAGGGTGTATCTGGGCTATACCGCGGTGTGGTGCCAGTGACGCTGAAGCAATCGGCGAATGCAATGGTACGGTTTACCAGTTATCGATTCTTCCTTGGGCAGATGGGTGCTATGTTCTCCAGAGATAATGCTTGGCGCTCTCCAGTCCATGAACACGTTTGTTGCGGGTGCATTGGCAGGTGTGGTGACGGTTTATGCGACTATGCCATTCGATACGATCAAGACCCGATTGCAAGCTCTTGGCGGTCATCAGCGGTACCGTGGTTCCTGGGACCGTTTGCGGACCGTGGTTCGGGGTGAGAGCGTTTTTGCTCTTTGGCGAGGGACGACGCCTCGTTTGGCGAGGTTGAGTGTAGGTTCATCTCCGATGTATGAGTAGTATAATATTGACGTGTGGGTAGGTTTCTGGTGCTGTTAGTTTCACTATTTATGAGCATGTTGTTCAGTGGACGGAGATGTTGCGCTTGGGGCATGGGAGGGCCGAGATGTCTTATTAATGCTATGTCAAGGCAAACTTGTTGCAGTCTAATCTATAGAATAAATAGAATCTTTCCTGAAGACTAGACCAGAAATGTCCACGTGAATTGAGGTCCGTTCCCTGTTGCTGTTGGGTACAACATCTTATCAGCCAAGGCACACAAGCGGAGAGGAGGATATCAGCCACGCCAATCACCTCAACGCCCTCTGCCAATCCCATCTTCTTCAGGCCTTAATGTGGCTGAATCCTATACTAATTCGCCATTTCTGCAGCCATTGGCCTCCCGAGTCATATCTTGGCTACCCCCACTGGGGATTGACATTAGGCTTGCCTAACTTCGTTAGTATGCATCCGTCAGGATTCAACGCTATGCTTGTTCGGACCGTAGACTCAACATCATCTAGCAGCACACGCCAATGGGAAGAATTGGACTGATTGCCGGATACGAGCTGTTGGCTTATCAACACTGGTTCTGGCGGTGCTAAAAGACAACGCTAAAAAAGTGTTTTCGGAGTCTCGGCGTTGCAAAAGCTGTTTGTATTTGATTGAGCCTCACCTCCTTTTCGCCAAGTCTGACGTTTTTATTCTCTTCTTACAGTGTGCATCTCCCGGTGGTCTGGGTTCTGGCTGCAATTTCGATACTTGACTTATGTTTCTGAACTAGACGGGACCCTCAGACACTCCACAACCCAAGATGTCAGCCACTAGTACAACCAGCAGCAGCACCCGCACCTCAACGACCACAATTCCCCTGACCACCGTCTTCACACCACCGACACAATGCGCGACTGATTGGCAATACGAACCATCTGCCTACAACGACAAGCGTGATGGCTTGCTGTTGCAAAATGTCGTCTCGGTTGTCAGTTCCTGTTTCCCGACCGGATTCGCCATGTCGGGAAGAGCCCAAGTACCCCAGGTCTACAGCCCGGGTTGGTGTCCAGTGGGCTACACCTCTGCGGATGTGCACATTGACGGGAAGACCACTTCGGCCGTTTGCTGTTACTCGTACGTGACATCTTTGTCTGTTATACACCCGAACGATGCTAACAGTGCCTCGCAGGAACTATTCGTATTATACCTCAACGAAGCTATATTCCGACCTGCCCCCGGCCATCTACGCAGGATGTCTCAGCACGCTCCCATCGCCTAGCTCCACCATTGTCTCCGTCCGTGATCCAAAGTCGAACCAAGGAACACAGGTCTCGGGCCCATTGACCATGTGGGCGCAACCTATCTCCATCCAACTCCAAGCAACAGACTCGAGCCTATTCGTATCGGCAACCACCACCGGCACCGGGGCAACTGCAACATCGACATCAGACTCTGCCGCATCAGATTCCGGGTCAAGCGGCCTGTCGACAGGAGGAAAGATCGGTGTCGGCGTAGGTGTTGGTGTCGGCGCCCTCGCCATCTTCGCTCTGCTTGCATTCTGGTTCCTGCGTCGTCGTGCTGCCAGCAAGAAGAACGCCACTCCTGATATGGCGGCGGCCGCGGTGCCTGCATACACGAATCCTTACCCGAACCAAGGCGCAGCGCCTTATTACGGTCCTGTTCCTGCTGCTAGGTCGGAATTGGAGAATACGTCCACGAAGTTTGCACCGCAGCCACCGCCGGCCGAGTTGCAAGGAGATACCAGAAGACATAACCACGTTGCAGAGCTTTCTGGTTGATTGTGTTTTTTTATTATTATTATGTATATATATACTCATTTTCTGAGTTTTCATGTGTCAAGTTCTGTGTATACGAGTCTGTGATATCCTGTAATAATTAATGTCATGTACATACGTTTAGAATGATGACATTCACTCACAAGTACTACTGACCAATTGGGGACCCTGCATTGTCATCGGCAAGCTCTGTCGGGATTCAGTGGAAGAGATGTAGCCAAAACGTCGAGGGCAGCTGTCAGAAACCATACGACCTGCACAACCAATGCAATGGAACACCGCCTGCAAAGAAGGTCCGTGTGGCTTGTCGCAGATGCCGAGCCAAACGAGTCAAGGTACGTTGCGATATGCCGGGAACGAGTGCATGTAACTGACTTAGAACCAGTGTGATGGAAGTCTCCCAGCCTGTGGAAATTGTGCGCGAGCAAATGTTCCCTGTGTCGATGGGAGGGAGAGACTTGGGAGGCGAGGTTGGATCATAGTTATCATAGTGGGCAGATTCGGTGGCTGAGGGCGGGGAGTGCGCTGAATTATATTAAGACTAGGGCTCGGTAGGATGTAGAATAGAGTGATAGACGTATTTTGATTTAGTACAATAGTTTTAAAATATCATATTTAGTAGCTCTAGCTGTAATACTGAATACAAAGCCATGACTTCCGCGGTGACTACCGAGAGCATCAACCCATGTTGAAATGACGGAAGCAAGGCCAATATTCCTTCCCCCGGTGTGATTCCAGTGATTCCATTAAAGACCTGCCCTTACCCCACAAAACTTAGTCCCTCTCCAGCGAATAATTGCCAGTCACAGCCAACCATTAGCAATCCAGCGCCCTCTCGGGGCACTCCAGAACCCCGGACTACTCCATGACATGCCATCGACGGCTCTGGGGTGACGCAACTCCACCTCTTCGGATCTATCCAGGCTTGGTCTATGCTGCATTCAACGCGTTGATTGACGCATTTGTACTCGCTTGTCGGTTGACCGTCTGTCTGTACTGCGCGCATGGGCCTTACGGCTGCACGGTACGGCCACCGGCAACCAAAATGCGTCTAGCTGGGGTTGGAAGGGAGGCTAGGTCCTGGAGAAGATACTTAAGGGGCTCGCCGTAATGCTCTCGATCTGCATTCATTCTTCAGTTGCCAAGCTTAAACTGCACCCCGAATTCCCGTTTCTTGACTGCATTGTTTGTATCAGTTTCACTCTCCTTCCCGCTTTTGTCTATATCGACATCCGAAAATGGGCGCCGGCGGCGGTGGTCTTTCCAAAGATGCCTTACAGCGCGTCCCTCTCCCTGCGAGGAGGCCGTATATCTGACTGGCGACTATATGGGCATCCTACTGTGGAGGGCTGCACGGGTTTAACACGGCGAATATCTCAGGGGCGATGAAGCTTGATCCGTTTGTGAAGGAGTTTGGATGGACAGATATTCCTGCGGATACCGAGTCGAATTATAAGGGGTGGGTTGTGTCGTCGATGATATTGGTTTGTTAATCCCTACCTATGTTTGCCTTTGACAGTTAGAATGAACGCTAATACTTGCTTGCTTTCTCGGTATAGGGTCAAGTCCTTGGAGTGATTCTCGCAGGTCCTCTCGGCGAACGACGCGGACGCAAACCGGTTATCCTCCTGTCGGCTGTTTTCTATACAATCGGGTCCATTCTCATGGCTGCCAACTTCGGATCCTTGTCTGAGTTGTTGGTCGGGAGAATCCTATCTGGAATAGGCTCTGGCTCTGGAATGTCAGTCGGCCCTATCTACATATCAGAGGTGGCTCCATTAGAGCTTCGAGGGATGATGACAACATTCTACAACGTGAGCATCATGGCTGGCGTTGCGGGAAGCTACTGGATAAACTACGCCTCCCAATCCGTCATATCGGCCGAATCAAACTGGCAATGGCGAGTCACCATGATCCTGCAACTAATCCCAGCCATCATGCTATTCATCGGTCTACCATTCTTCCCCGAAAGCCCCCGATACCTAATGATGCGAGGCCGCATCGAAGCAGCCAAAACCAGCCTCTCCCGACTCCGCGGCGGCCTCGACGAAGACACCGAATACTTCGCCAGAGAAATGGCCGAGCTCCGTGCCAAAATGTCCGCCAATGCAGAATCCCAGGGTGCCTGGGACAACACAAAATCCCTAATGAAACTCTGCATCCGCCACCCACCAACCCGCAAGGTCGTCCTCTTCGTAACCCTAATCCAGCTGTTCTTCATCTTCTCCGGCGGAAACTCTATCACCTACTACGCACCTACGATCCTCCAGTCCATCGGCCTTAACGATCGCCAGGTCCTCCTCTTCACATCCATCTACGGCTGCATTAAACTAGCCTCTGTGTTTTTATACGCCTTTGCATTAACAGATCGTTTCGGCCGCCCCCTCCTCCTCATCGGCTCAACAACAAACCTCATCTGCCGAATCTACCTCACCGCCTTCCTAGGCACAACGGACATCTCCTCGTCCACCTCCGCATCCCCCTCCCCAGCAGCATGGGTCGCCATAATAGCAATCTGCATCTTCGCAGTCGGCTACGGCTTCGGCTGGACGCCCGCATTCTCGCTCACAGCATCCGAGATCTGTCCCACGAGTATACGGGGTACAGTGGTGAGCATCGCATTCATATTCCAGAATCTGCTGGACTTTGGAATCACGCGCGGGTTTCCGAATATGACGCTAAGTATGCATGCGTATGGGCCGTTTGCGCTGTTCGCGGCGTTTACGTTTGTCGGGACGGTTTGGGTTTTCTTTGCGTTTCCTGAGTGTAAGGGGAGGAGTATGGAGGGGACGGATGAGTTATTTTCGTTGCCGTGGTGGAGGATTGGGTTTGCGAGGGTTCCCGAGGGGGGGTTGTGGGTAAGGAGGTTGAGGGTGAGGGCGAGGTTGATTTGGAGAGGCAGTTGTCTGAGAAGTTAAAGGATGAGAGGATTGAGAATGTGGAGGTTAGTCGAAGGGAGATGTTCATTTGCTATTTGCTTTGTATGGTTTCGGGTTTTCATATGTTATGAATAGGTTATGACCACAGATATTTGAATGAACCTGGATGATACGCCTTGTTTATCTCAATGCAGCCTGGTTAGGGCTAACTACGTTTGTCATGTGACTGTAGATGGTGAACATAGTGACATCGAGCTATCCAAGCATATATACATACATGCAACATACAATCCCAACGCCGGACAAAACACGAGAAGCCCCCTTTTTATAATGCACATAAACGATACACTCCCCTTTATTCTATTAAATTAGGAGGGCTACGAAGAAGCCTTCTTCGTCTGGACAGCCGTGAATGGAACCTCAAACACCACAGCGCCATTCCGGCCTTCGGGAGTAGGACCCTCCTGGAAATTGTTGGTGTAGCATTTCCAGCGGCCCAGGCGGTGTTCTTTCCCGACGGCAGCGACGATACACAGGCCTTTTGTCTCGGGTTCCTTCGACTTGGACTTGGATTTCGACTCGAGAGGTTGGTCTGGCCTGGCGGTGTCACCCCGGCGTTCGAAGACGGCAATGTCGTTGATGACGCCCTTGATGAGCGGCTCGGCTTCCTTCACAGCACTGGACTGCGATACGGGGGCGTTGTCGATTGCCATGTTGTCCTCGGTCGTGGCGTCGAATGCGAGGTTCTGCTTCAATTGGAAAGAGGGGGTATCGGGTTCCAAGGAGGCGCCGCCTCCTACTGTGCCCAGTGGAAGGATAACCCGCTTGTCTTCGGAGATTTTCCATGCTCGGATCCAGCCGTCCCAGCTACCGCTGAGAACTATGTCTGTGCCAGGGACAGTGGTCAGGGCGGTAATCCAGCGGGGCATGGGACGGAGGTATCGAGAGTTGGTTGCGGCTGTTTGCTGATCGAGTTCGGGCGAGAGGTCTTCGAGAGGAGGTACAGGGTCGAGGCCGTGAGCGAGAGGGATGACATGTAGCGGCTTCTTCTTGTGGATGGACCATAGGGCCAGAGAGCCCGAGTCGGAGCCAGTTACAAAGTGGCTAGGTGGGAGAGGGGCAATGCAGTCCAGGTTGTTCTCGTGATAAGCCGCATTCCTGGAAGCTCCACCGCGGAAGACGAGTTGTGCTTCTTCCACCACCTTCCACAGTCGAGCGGTGCGGTCCCGGGCGCCGACACTGATGCATTGGTCGATAGTCATGGCCGCCAGCGAAGATACATTGTCTTGGTGACCAAAGAGCGTTTCCACATAAGCATGTCCAGCACTGCTCACAGACCATGTCTTGATCGTACGGTCATACGACCCAGAGAACAACTGTTCGCCCGAGCTCATGGTAGAAATGTGCCGGGCAAAGGCAAGTCCACTAACGGTGTCGCGATGTTGTGTAAAGGTCTTCAACGGCGTCAACGTCGCTGCGTCCCAGATGATCAATTTATTGTCCTCTCCACCGGTAGCCAAAAACTTCCCCGATGGCGACACAGCAAGCGACAGAATGTTCTTCGTATGGCCTTGGTCTTCACCGGTCTCCTCCACCTTCTGCAAACCTCGGACGTACTTCACTTTCTTAGGCTTCTTTCGCTGCGGCCGTGGGGGTCGTTTCGAATTTTCCGACGGAATTGTAGGGTTTTCAGGAGTAGCGAGTTCCCATTTAATCAAGGTTTTATCTTTGGAAACGGTGTAGACAAACGGCGCATGGACGGCAATGGAGGTAGTCGACTGGGTATCGGCACGGAAGAATGAGTGAGATGCTGACGAAAATGCCAAATCCGAAGCAATTTGACGGTATCCTCGCCCTTTGAATTCATCCTGCGCAAACCAGTTAGTCGCCTCCGTGTGGTCCAGTTGGCGCAGACAAAACATACCACGTCCTCTTTTAACCTCTCCGCAATCAAATCCCGGTCAATCTCAGCTGCGTCGAAGCCAACCTCATCCACTTCATCCCGGACATTCTCCAAGTATCGTTCCGCAAGCTTCAACCTCCGTTCGCCGGCCGTCTCGCCTTCGTCGTCCGAGCCACTCTCCTCCTCGGACCCTGATGCCGCGCTGGCCTCATCTTCATCAATGTCGCTCCCCGAGACGGACTCGTCTCTCTGTTGTCTTGCGCCTTGACCCTTGGCGCCGGAATCGCCATTTGCATCAACACCTCGCTTCTTCGACCCCGGAGCTGCAGCGCGGTCCTCCCTCTTTCGCTTTTTCTGGGAAGCGGGTACTGTAAAAAACGACGACATGGCGGGTTTCAGCGACTGCACGGTAGGAGTCACTGAGAAGAATTCGCGGCGAAATAGGACGTCTCACGGGGATTCTTGCTGTTTTTTCGACTTTGATTCTTTTTCTTTTTTTTCTGCCACTGGTCAGTGCACGTGCAGGCGGTGACCCGTTTAGATGCAGACAGGCGCTGACTCAGCAGGACAGCTCCGCGCCCAACCTCAGCAGCTCCAGCGACCAGCTCCAGAGCAGCTTCATTGGTATCCTACTCTTTTTCTTCAGCTTAATACTTCTTCTCTCTTGATTCTACTACCTGACCGGACAAGCAAATATGTGAGTTTCTCTTTTGATACCTGCTCGATGATCATGGTGAGATCACTCACACCTACAGGGAGGTTCTACTTGGTATCACCGGCAAGGACTTTGTCATTCTGGCCGCGTCCAAGGCCACAATGCGCGGACCGACAATTATCAAGGCTGAGGATGATAAGACACGGCAGTTGAACAAGAGCACCGTCATGGCTTTCTCGGGGGAGGCGGGAGACACAGGTGAGTGAAGTCGATACGGCGTTCTGGAGTTCTATCCAAGCTAATCTATCTGTCTTGGATAGTGCAATTCGCCGAATACATCCAAGCGAATATCCAACTATACACGATGCGGAACGATGCCGAACTAAGTCCTAATGCGGTGGCCAACTTTGTCCGGGGAGAATTGGCACGGAGTTTGAGGTCGCGGAGTCCTTACATGGTCAACTTGCTGCTTGGTGGAATGGATCCGATTTCACAAGAACCGAGTCTGTATTGGGTGGATTACCTCGCGTCGTTGGCTCCGGTGCCTTATGCCGCCCATGGTTACGCACAGTTCTACTGCTTGTCCATTCTCGACAAACACCACCACCCCGATATTAATCTGGAGCAAGGCTTGAAGCTCCTCGAGATGTGTACCGACGAACTGAAGCGCCGGCTGCCGATTGACTTCAAGGGTGTACGTGCCTATCTTCATATGCTGCGTGTTTACTGGTAACTGACGTGGTCTTCTAGGTTCTGGTCAAGGTGATCTCGAAAGACGGCGTGAAGGAAGTAGACTTTGACAATAACCGAATCGTCACGAGCGCTTAATCGATTCCAGCGTTGTTGTATCATACCACGTTTCTCGAATCTTTCCTTTTTCTATTTATTATGGGACGCTTCTTTATGAAATCGGTTGCATGGCAGGTATTGCCATGATTTTGACGGGCATGTAATCGTCAGTTACTCAGTAGAACGAATAAAATGATATTACTGTGGTATTTCTGCTGTAATAACCGTAAACTCAAGTGTCTTGATATCGTCTTTGCACTGCGTCATATTGTTGACAGTTTGCTTTGTTTGTCTTGTTTGGTCTGACCGATATGTTTGCCCTGTTTGCATCTAGCTTGCAACCGCGACTTGACGATTTCGCAACGGCGGCTTTTTACTTGAATCCCATCCACCACAACGCAATTGCCCTCATGTCAAAACGACCAGCAGACCTACCGCTAGAAGAAGGCCAATCGGTCGGCTCTCCGGCCTCCAAAAGAGCACGTGTGGAGGACGAACTCCCCGAAGACGATCCCCGCAACGGAGCTGTGCCTGCGGAACGCGCCAGCGGCCAGGACCTCGAACAACATGACCGCAATGGAAAGAATGTCCTTGCTGCGGCAGACAAGGAAGGAGAGGCATTGACTGAAGCTGAGCGGGGTGATGAGGACGAATCGGATATCGACGAGGATGCGCCGGCCATCGCGGCCCCGAAACGGCAGTCCCAACCTATGGAGGGATACAGTGATCTCTACCTCGATACGATCAACCGCGGGATTCTCGACTTTGATTTCGAGAAGCTGTGCTCCGTTAGTTTGTCGAATATCAACGTCTACGCTTGTTTGGTTTGCGGGAAGTACTATACGGGTAGAGGACCCAAGTCGCATGCCTATTTCCATGCTCTTGAGGTCGGGCATCACGTTTTTGTCAACATGGGAACGAAGAAGGTTTATGTGTTACCGGAGGGATATGAGGTCAAGAACCGGAGTTTGGATGACATCAAGTACGTCGTGGATCCGCATTTTGCGAAGGAGGATGTCTCGAAGCTGGACAAGGAGGTCCGGGATGCCTTCGATCTAGCTGGACGCCGTTATAGACCAGGTACGTCTGAGAGACCATGCGCAGGTAGGAATTCTACTGATATCGCTAGGTTTCGTCGGTATGAATAACATCAAAGCGAACGATTACCTGAACGTGGTGGTTCAACTCCTGGCCCATGTCCATCCCATTCGCAATTTCTTTCTTCTACACGAGTTCCCTACGCCAGGCACACCACAACTAGCACTCCGATTCAGTACTCTCGTCCGAAAGCTTTGGAACCCCAAGGCATTCCGATCACACGTATCGCCACACGAGCTGCTCCAGGAGATCGCATTACGGTCATCAAAGCGCTTCACGCTTACTCAGCAATCCGATCCAGTTGATTTCTTGTCCTGGTTCTTGAACAACCTGCATCTCTCCCTGGGAGGTTCGAAAAAGCCTTCGTCGACGCCAACGAGTGTGGTTCAAGCGGCGTTCCAAGGCCACCTCAAAATAGAAAGCCAGGCCATCACGGCGCACTCGGATACCCAGAATGCTCGTTTGGTGTTCACCGAGTCTGGCTCCATCAACAGCCAAACCACTCCCTTCCTCATTCTCACCCTTGATCTCCCACCAACTCCCCTCTTCCAGTCCTCCAACCGGGAATCGATTATTCCTCAAGTTCCGCTGACCAACCTGCTGAACAAATACAATGGCATCACCGCATCCGAGAAACTCGCACACCGTGTCCGACACCGCCTCTTACATCCCCTCCCACCATACCTCCTCTTCCACGTCAAGCGATTCAGCAAGAACCGATTCGTCTCAGAACGAAACCCCACCATTGTCACATTCCCCTCAACCCGCTCCCTCGACATGTCTCCATACGTAGAGCCAAACCCCGCCATCTGGCCCCCGGGAGAACCCATCCTCTACGACCTCGTGGCAAACGTCATCCTCGACCCCACCGTGGCCGCACCCGGCGCTGGAGATGAAGCAGCCGAGAAAGGCGTCAACGCCGCTTCGGGCGTATCCTCGACCGGTGCCGGCGCCGGTACTGAGAGAGTCAACTGGCTCGTGCAGCTGCATGATAAAGCGATGGAAGCGGAGAATAAACGGCAAACGAGCGAGCGTGGAGGTGAAGCGAGGGGACCGGAGTGGTTGGAGGTCCAGGATTTGGTTGTTAAGAGGGCGGAGAGTGAGACGCTTTTCACGAAGGAGGGGTATTTGATGGTTTGGGAGCGGAGGAGGGTTCCTGGACAGGGGAATAAGAAGGGGAAGAAGGCGGCTAGGTAGATATTGAGATCAAGAGACGGGAGTTGTTCGTGGCTATACTTTTACTGTAATATGAAATACATACCATCTTATCCATAAAGTCCATGCAAGTGAAGCATTCCACTCTATTGCGGTGAATGTTATCGATAGACAACGTAGGGCTTCCCTCAGCTTTCTGCTTCTACCGTTCCCATATCCATGAAGAATTCGTCCGTCTTCTTCAACCTATCGATTCTTTCTTCGCTATCTAGTCTATTGGCTTTCGAGGTCCTTTTTCCAGTGTCGAGATGGCATCTGTCCTACCTAGACTCAATCGCACCAAAATGGCATCAAGATCTTTTCAATCAACTCGCCTAGTGCCACTACGAGAACCTATCTGCAAATGTTATGAGAACTGTCTTCCAAGTTCCATGAGCTACCATCACGCTGGGAACAGTCATTGACTGACACAACAATCGCCGTGTCATCGACCCTGACCCTCTTGTTGCGGGAGACTTTCTCTCGAAGGACAGTTTGTAGCTTCTCTTCCAGGAACAACCGCCAGTAGTCGCTCGGGGCCAATACCAGGTCTTCTTCCGTGTCCTTTACCACGGCCTTGTTGTTGAGGGTGACTCGCTATTCTATGAAATAGTGGACACAGCTTGGCGGTTCCTCGTCATAGATCTTGTCTTCCTCCCATTCAGATTCCTGGAGCAGAGGTATAGTATTTGGTTGAGGTTGGCTTGCGGGGTTGGGCCCATCGTTGAGTAGGATATATGGGGAGGAACTACAGTTGGACTGTGTAGTATAAGGGCTTCGGAAGTATCCCGGGGTAGGTGGGGAATATTGAGAATTTTGCTCCCATGGTTCGAGCTCTTGGAGCTGAGAGATGTACATTTTGATGATAAGCAGCTTAGCAGTCTCGCGCATTGCCGGGTTATTAACATCTAGTCTGTCATCAACTGAAGGGGTTGTTTTTGCTGGCACTTGTACCTATGCCAAAACGCCCAACCACCGGAAATACTCAGATGCGAAATCATCACGCTCACTCCCACGATGGTAATCAGCATTTAACCTAAAATCTGAAACCTCCGATCAGGGAGGCACTAGTTGCATGGGAAAGGACTGATTCCCCTCCAACTGCTATACTGACTGTCAACCCTACGCATTGCACTACTTGTATGTGTATACTTAGCAAATGGAGCAAAGGCATTCGTCAGAAATTTCCGGGCAGCTTGGCTATAGCTAGCTGAGTGTAGATTACCTTTGTAAATTCATGGTAGTGCTCATCCTCCTATTAAATACAAATATATAGAAACATAACACACAAACGTCACTTAGCCCTCTGTCACGACGGCAACTCATGCCTCACATTGTCCGCAGAAACTTCAACCGGGTAAAAAGCTTCTGATGCCGGTGCTTCAACCGGATAGGGAGGTTCTGATGCTGGTGCTTCAGCAGGTAAGTCATATAGCTTATAAGATGACGAGATCTGCGAATTGGTCATGGGAGCGCCAGCGGATTCCATATTAGAGCTGCCACCACCCCTTAATGCACACCGACGGAAATACCATATCGTACCGGCAATGGCGATGAAAAACGCGCCTCCGAGACCAACACCAACGCCGATTCCCACTTTTGCTGTGGTTGTAAGCCGCCGGTTTCGCTGCTAGAATCTGACGACGATGCTGTGGTTGAGATGGCGGTCGATGGGAGCAATGAAGATACCGGCGTTGGAAATGATGATGAGGAGAGGGAGGAAGTGGTCGTTGCAGTTGTGGCGTCACCGTCTGTGATGTTAAAGTAATGGTTGGCGAACAGGTTTGAACGATCCGTGTCGTCGATTATCTGGAAAAAGAAGACGTTCCCATTTGCTAAGTCACGTTGTGTCGACACGATCCATTTGTACATAGTAGAATCTATATGCTGTCGATTGTCAGTGAGATATGCGGGCGGCGGCAGGGACAGACATACTCTGTACAACTTCATATTTGGAAATATCGTTCTGCCACAACGTTATCGAAAAGGAATCCAAATCCGTTGTCCAACGAAGCTGAACGGTTTCGCCGAGTTTATACACCGGATCTTGCGTGTAATTATGAATTGGGCCACCGGTTGGAGGGTTCAAGAAAATTCCCGGCTCCGACGCTCAGACATGGGCATGGAATAGGAAGAGAATAGACGCGAAAAAGAGCCTCATCATATCCCCGGCAGCATCGACAAAACACAATCAAGAGAAAGAAGATCTGTCCGTTTCCCTCATGGACATAGCAACCATAAGACACAATTCGTCGAGGGTGGAAAAAGATGAGACAAACTTAGGGGAGTTTTCGCTTCCCTCGCTTCATGTTAATTTATCACTCGGTGGAACCGTTCTGTTATTGCGCCTGCGACCTCGTTGCCCGGTGCGTGCTGATCGTGTACAAGTACTGCGCACAGCCATTCCTGTAGAGGAAGTGCAGGGGGGTTAGTGAGTTCTTTGCCAATGTCTCTCCTGCTCCGTTGCTCTTTCTTGCTTTGTTCATGAATTCAGGAGTATATGGAGCGTATTGAAACATCACGCCAGACATGCCAGGTGGCTGTCTTCCATGTACCCTGTGGTTGTAGTATTTTGTACATAGTACTAAAGATAGGGCAATACGGGAGATTTTGCGCGTTGCAGCTGCGGGGCCAGCAGAGCCGTTTCCCGGTACGGGTAAGGGCCCGACGTCAGATTATGCCTCATTATTGGCCGCAATGGGAGATAACCTTCATTTTGTGGATAACACAGACCACAAGTCACGTTACGGAGAACGCCATGCCCGGTGAGAATATAACAGCGATGGTCCCCTTCAAAGCTTGCCGAAGTTCATTGGGAAAGAAGAAGAAGAAAAGGTAAAAGCCGTAGGGAAGATGTTGTTGTCCTTACCGCGTCCGTATTATCTTGCGGTCCCAGCTGCATGTATCCTGCTTTTGTTATACATGTTTGCATTCCGAGATCCAAGTCCGGCATATGTTCCTCTTCCTCCGAGTCCAGTGCTGAATTCCAGCCCCAGCGCCGGTCCTGCATTGTCGGATACGCCACCAATGCATAGCGCAGAGAAAGCGACCCTGGGTGTAAGTATCCTACCAATTGAAGTTTCAGATTCACGAACAATGCGCTGATAGCAATTCGCGCACTAGTTCCAGGAAATCCTCATCCTTTCAGCGGCCCCTCATGGCGAACGAGAGGTTTATTAGCTGCCGCGCAACTTACGGGCCTGCAACTTAAGATCCCCAAGCAACCGCCTATTCATCCTGACCTCGTGAATGCGTTTCAAGCTCTCAGTCCTGAAGAAATTCAGCACCAAACTCACGGCGCCAGCGCCGCATGGCTCGCGCATCTCGATCTCTTAAAGCACGTCTGGCAGTCCGATCTCGATACCGCCCTGATCCTCGAAGACGATGTTGACTGGGACGTAACTATCCGAGAACAAACAGTACGGATCGCAGACACGGTGAGGACTCTGACGCATACGCATAATGGCAATGAGTCCGCGCCGTATGGTCGCGCCTGGGATGTTCTTTGGATTGGGCACTGTGGTGAGTACTGGGAGGACTGGATTGAGACGGTCGTATACGAAGACACCGGCGTCTGTCCGCACGATAAATACATCGGCTGGGCCAAGAATTATGTCAATCGTCTCCCTGACCACCGCCGGAATGTATACTGGTCCCTGAACCCCGTTTGCTCTTTCGCGTACGGCGTATCCGGCGAGGGGGCGAGGAAGATCCTGACGCATCTCGGCGGCGCGCAGGACGAGGCGTTTGACGTTTCGATGATGCATCTTTGTCAACAGAAGGTGTTGAACTGTATCTCTGTCGTGCCGGAGGTTATACATCAGTATTTCTCCGCAGAGTCCTTTGGGGCGAAGAGTATTGTGGATCTTGGGAATGAGATGCAGGAGGATGTTAATGAGTCGTTTGAAAGTGTTATGGGGTCGACGGAGAATATCCTTGAGAGTGCACGGTGTCATGCGTTATGGGGGAGGTCTTGTTTGAGGGAGTGATCTGTCTTTGCATATTATAACTAGTACATAATGATATCATGCATGTGCCCGTTTTTACCAGTTCGTCTTATAAACTCCCCCAGCCACAGAACTTCTTTCCGATTCTGATAGCAGCACCAGATACGATACCCCACACGCTTGCATTTACTGCAGCTTGCACGCTAATCATAAGCGCCATTTTGCCAACGTAGGTAAAATGGTCAGTTCGGGAGCCGCCCCCGCCCCATGCGCCAAAGGTGCGGACGTCAGAGAGGAGAGCAGAAGACGAGTCTCGCGATGAGAGAAACGAGGACGCCAGAGAGCGGAGGTAAAGGGATTCGAGCGGGAGGAAGATCACTGTCGTCAGCATCGATGCGAGATGCGAGGCGAGGGAATCGACTGGGTGGGAAGATAGAATCGTCACCCTGTGTGCAGGAGATCCGGGTGGTCCGGTGAGTTGTCGAGGGTGCGCATTTGGCGCTGAGGGAGGGAGTTCCGGGTTTGAGCGGTTCTCGTCATCGTATTCAGGGCCAAGTGGGTCGTTGAGAGCTTCTTCTAGCATTTGCTCCTCGTTATTGTCGGGCAGTATGTTGGCAAGACCTGGGTCAGCTTGCTCTTCTGCTGGTTGATCCTGAGAGGTAGGAGCAGACGGAGCATCAGTCAAGATTTGAGAAGCCCCTGCAGTCACATTGGACAGGCCATCGCTGTCCACTGCGTCATTCACTATCGTAGCAAGATTCTGGTCCGTGTTGGACAGAAGGGAGTCCAGAAACTCCGTAACTGATCTGCGATCCGCTGGTAATTCGCCCAGGTTGGCGTTTCTAGGTCGGGCGTTTGCCTGTCCTTGACTGCGGTTTCCCAGCAATTCCAGCTGCATAGTGATAATGTCCGAGTTTTGATGGATCAATGAAGCACGTACACGAGGCGAAGTCGGAGGGGATGTCTCCGGAGAGGATGGTCGAGAGAAGAGGGTATTAGAGCGCGAAAATCGTCGATTTTCATCTTGATCTCGAGGTGGTTCAGCGTCGGCTGTTTGATGTGTCTCATGTTCATTCGAAGTAACATTTGCGCCTTCCAATGGAGGCATGTCTGAGAAGATATCAGTGCTCATCGCGTCAGGCGATTGCGAAACCCGGTTGTCTTCATTCTGCAGAATACGATCCCCATGGAAACTGGTTCCCGGTCCAGAGGTTTGCACGGAAAGATTTGGAGCGGTCGAACTAGGCCAAGCACCCCCATGCCTAGCAGGAGTTCGTTCTGCTAATGGCTGTGGACGTTCTCGCTGGTTTGTTCGGGTTTGCGCTTCTCCTAGCTCATTTTGCAATTCTTCAATGCACTGACGTAAGGATTCAATTCTCTCTTCTCTCTGAGAAGAGTTACCTGGACGATTCGGTGTTTGTGCACGTTTGAAACCAAACCATGAAAGAGCCCAATTCCGAAGAACGGATAGTTCATACTTGATATCTTCGTAGAGCGTCAAACAACCACGGCGGTTCTCTTCTTCTGATCTGCGGCCAAGTGTTGGCACCATCCAGTCAATGAGATCGTTATCAAAAGCCACTCGAATAGAAAGCTCGTCAGCAAGGCTAGGCTTCGGTAGCCGCCGGCGGATCAACCGGTAAAGTCGAATTTCAATTATGGGGCGCAAGTAGACGTATAAGTAAACCAAAAGCGAGGGTGTCTTCAAGATACCCATGCAGAGCTTGGCCAGCGAGTGAAAGGAAAGGTTTGCCGGCAAAGAGAGGAGTTGTGTCGGTGCAAGTTCGCCAAATGGCACAAAGAAACTGGCGCTCGGCATGCAGTATGGGTGGACAAGGTGCAGAGATTGTAGAAGAGAGTACATGTATGTCTGTACGGCTAGAACTAGTAAAGCTCCCCTCGTCCTGTCAGGCATTAGTAGCAGTCCCAAGAACCGAGAAATGTTAGTACTTACGCATAGTGTACTGTGGTGAATGAAGCCCGTATGATTTTAGTGCAAAACTCGTTAGGAGAATATTGCGTTAGGTGACTCTGTAGAAATACAATCAACCGCTCTAGAGGATGATGTCGACAGATGGATAGACAGGTCGACACAGTCCACGCCGGAATCCCAGCAAAGTAGAAACCGGCAACTCCGATAGAATCACGCTCATAGTTTATGATATGCGTCAAAGGAACATGGGTGTAGCTTTTGAATGTCTGAGCACGGAATCAGCCTGAGAATCTCGAGCACTCCAAATAAGGTAGAGTACCTGTATCCGCCCTGTAAGTGACGACGTCCACCACGAACCCAGGAAAACAGACACCTGATCTAAGGTTGCCATGACCAATCCATAGTCGTTCTCGGCAGCTATCATGTTGATTTTCTGCTGCTCATTAGGCGCTCCCTCTCCTCCGTCTTCGCCGCTAACGACAATGCCCATGGTTGACAATATGTCATTCTTGGCCTTTCGCAATTCCTTCCCGAGTGCCTTGGATTCAGGATTGACCGGATGTCCTCGGTCATCATAGCGCTGCACATAGCCATCTGCATGGATACTGGACTCCCGATTTCCGACAGCCGGCTCATCTGGGGGACTGGGAGCATGCTCCGGAGGTTCGTATGGGGATCGGCCCTTAAATAGTCAATATAGGTCAAAAGGCTCGGTGCATGAGACATGAAAAAAAAAAAAAAAAAAAAAAAAAAAAAATGCTATTTTATACAACCAACTATCCTTGGAACACAGTCTTTGGGAGTATAGCAAAGCAGAGGCACATCAAAATATTTTGAAGCTACACAGAAAATATGGAGAGAAGCCTACCAAAGCGAGCCGATTCAAATAAGCCTGTCGCCCCATTGTGCAACTAGACTCGGATCACCGTCAACGAGTTTTCGAGGTACTCATGGCACCATGCAACACAGGTACAAACGAAGAGTTAGAAAGCTGCAGCAAGCCAGCAATATCAAGCCATTATCGTGGACAATATCAGCGACGATGATGCATGTTTGTCAAAGAACACCGCGGAAACAGACGCCGCAATCACGTGGGCGCTTGCCGCGTTTGAGCAGACATGCCAACTTTATCTCAGCCGCTATGCAAACACCCTAAACAATGCAAACTGCCCAAACGCATCGAAAAAAAGATGAAAAGTTCCCCGGTTGAAGCTGTGAACATCCAGTCATTAGCGACGCTGGTTTGTCGCACTTGTTTTACAGCTCATTTCTCGTGAAGCATAGGATGGCGCGATAGTTTCCCAGTGACTCTGACCTTGAAATAACCCGAAACACCATGTCGAAAGCCGTCGTGAAGACGACCTTTGAGGCGTCGCGGACGCTTCGCCCCATATACACCGGAGGAAGCACTGCGCTGGATGCCAGTGGCCGTTTGTTGGCCGCATGTGTCGGCGAGGAGGTCCTTATTGTGGATCTTGAGTCTGGCGACCAGCTTGCCAGTCTGGAGGGGGTGAGTTTTCCAATTGTGCAGAGCGACGAATTGCGCAGACTAACAGTTGCATAGGATGGAGAAATCGTCACCAGTCTAGCCAGTACGTCCCTGCATTGGATAGTCTATTGTGGAGGGAAAGGGTCAACTAACACTATCTAGTCACTCCCTCGGCCTCTCATGTCATTACCTGCTCGCGATCCATGTCGATGCGGATCTACGCCCTCACACCTCTCGACGAATCTTCGCAAATTGAAGCGACGCTTGTCAGATCCCTCAAACCTCATACCGCACCTGTCGTTACCACTGCAGTTGACGCTACCGGGTCATTGTTGGCAACCGGAGCAGCAGACGGATCCGTCAAAGTCTGGGATATCCGGGGAGGGTTTGCGACGCACACATTCCACGGTCACGGAGGCGTTGTATCCGCTTTGTGCTTCTTTGAAGTCCCTACGAGCGATAGCGACAACAAGTCTACTTCCAAGAAGAAGAAGTCCAAGAAGGCCGCCGATTCCGATGACGAAGACATGGAGGACGCCGCCGCCGGCTCGCCTACTGGATTCCGTCTTGCTTCCGGAAGTGAGGAGGGTAGAGTGCGCATCTGGGATCTGAACAAGAGAAAGTCTCTCGCCAATCTCGAGTCCCATGTTTCCGTTGTGCGGGGCCTGTCATATTCGCCTTCGGAAAATGCCCTACTGTCGGCCAGCCGTGACAAGACTGTGATTGTCTGGGATGTGCGCACATGGAAGACACGCAGAATCATCCCTGTTCTGGAGAGTGTCGAAGCTGCATCTTTTGTTACAGACAGCGGGCTGTGCATGATCGGTGGAGAGAATGGTAGGCTCCGTGTGTGGGACTGCAATCGAGGAAGCGAAGTCACTCAGGAGCAGGAACCTGCATCGGAGTTCGAAGCCGTGGTTGCCATTCAGTATACTCCTGGCATGCGTTTTGTGATGACCGTTCATGCCGATCAGACTATCCGCTTTCACTCTCTGAAATCCTTGTCCGACTTCAGGCCCGGTTCGACTCTCGAGCCGTTGACTGTTACCAGGCGCATTTCCGGCAATGACGATGAAATCATCGATCTTGCATACGTTGGACCTGACCGATCCATGCTGGCCCTGGCCACAAACACTGAAAGCATCAGAGTGGTGTCGGTAGGCCCGTCTGAAGACCGGCCATCAGTCGATGGGGAGGAGTACTTCGGCGCGGATGTCACCCATCTGGAGGGCCACGATGACATTATCATCTGTCTTGACGTGGACTGGTCCGGTCACTGGCTGGCAACAGGTGCCAAGGATAACACAGCACGTTTGTGGCGTCTCGACCCCAAGACGTCGTCTTATACCTGCTTTGCAATCTTCACAGGTCACGCCGAATCGCTCGGAGCTATTGCTCTTCCACACATACCACCACCTGTCGGCACTCCTGCCTACAAGGATCCGCTGAACCACCCACCGTCATTCATGCTCACTGGTTCGCAAGACCGCACCATCAAGCGATGGGATACAGCCAAACTCGCCCCGCTCACGTCTTCGAAGCCCCATTCCGCAAAGGCTTCCTTCACTCGGAAAGCGCACGAAAAGGACATCAACGCTCTTGACATCAACCCCACATCTACCTTGTTTGCGTCCGCCTCGCAGGACCGTACAGTGAAGATCTGGTCCGCCGAGGACGGCACCACAATCGGTCTTCTCCGTGGTCACAAGAGAGGTGTTTGGTCTGTTCGCTTCTCGCCCAAGGACACACCCATCCTCAACACCGATAACCGCACGAGCACCAACCGCGGTTTGGTCCTTACCGGGTCCGGAGACAAGACCGTCAAGATCTGGAGTTTGGCAGACTACAGCTGTCTGTTGACTTTCGAGGGCCACACCAACAGCGTACTCAAGGTGCTCTGGCTCCCTCCTCCAGATCTCTCCAAGAAAGACGAAGAGGATGACGAGGACGACCACGCACAAAAATCCGGCAACACCGCTGCCGCACAGGCCCGTCCCCTCGTCGCATCAGCCGCCGCCGACGGTCTGGTCAAGGTGTGGTCCCCCTACACCGGCGAGCTCGAAACCACCCTCGACAACCACACAGACCGCGTCTGGGCCCTCACCAGCCCTACCCCCTCCGGCTCCCGCGCAGACACCAAGCCCTCCGATAACAAAACCATCAACACCACCACCTCCCCCTACGCCCTCGCCTCCGGCTCCGCAGATGCAACAGTAACTGTCTGGACAGACACCACCTCCGCCACCTACACGGCCTCCGTAAACGCCAACTCCCTCCACGTCGAACAAGACCAACAACTCCAGAACTACATTCGCGCCGGCGCCTACCGCGAAGCTATCACCCTCGCCCTCCAACTCAACCACCCTGGCCGTCTCCTGTCTCTCTTCAACGAGGCCGTCGACGCCGCTGACGACCCCTACGCTACCCAGGAAAACCGCGACGCTCGCGAGAATAGTCTAACGGGTGACCCCTCTATCGACGAGGTTCTGCAGACGCTCGACCCGTCGAATCTGCGGACTCTCCTCCTTCGTTTGAGGGATTGGAACACCAACGCGCGGACAGCGCGTATTTCCCAGCGGATTCTCTTCGCGCTGTTCCGCTCGTACCCCGCATCGACGTTCGTTGAGCTCGCAAAGTCGAGTATGGCGAAGCGCGGTGATAGGGCTACCGCGGCGGGCATGGAGGATATCCTGCAGGCGTTGGCCGCGTACACGGAACGGCATTATCGCCGGGTCGAGGAGTTGGCGGATGATAGTTATTTGGTGGAGTGGGTTTTGGGAGAGATGGATGGGGGTGTTGGGTTGGGGGGACTTGGGGAGCCTGGGTCTGGGGTTAATGGGGGGGAGAAGGATGTGCTTATGCTTGGGGCATGAAGTGTGATGGTGTGATATCTATGGCGCATTTGTGGAGTATTTGTTTCGCATTGTTTATGATATTGGATTGGGAATATATAAAAGCAATTTAGACGTTTGTTTTGACACCTGCCAGTAGATACGGAGTGTATGTACAGCATTGAAATCGAACGGTTATTCTTTCATTCAAGAACAGTAGCTCAACCTTTCGTCTTCGACATGCCAGCAAGGGTATCAATTGCATATAGACAACCTCAAATGAATATAATACAAGAAAATTGCTATGAAATGCTGACATTGCGGATAGAATCCATCCTCATCTATGACCAAAGGCCACCCTATCGATCGTCACGTCTTCTCCTGTGCGAGTCGCGGTCACTATCGCGGTCCCGATCCCGATCACGCCTGGAAGAAGAGTGTCTCGAACTGTACCGATCATCGTCGTGATACCGATGACGTCTTTCCCTGTCCCTGTCCCTATCGCGCTCCCTCTCCTTCTCACGATCCCTCGTGCTATCACGGTCCCGTTCCCGGTCTCGATAATACCGATCATCTTTGTCTTTCCGATCACGTCTCGAATGGCGATCGCCAGACGAGCTCCTATCTCTATCCCGTCGCAAAGACCCCTTCCGTCTTTCGTATCGGTCATCATCGTTGTAGTCGCGTTTTTTGTAGTCACGATCGCGCTCACGGTCACGGTCCTTATCGCGTCCGCTCTTTTCCAGATTGCGATCTCGCCGTTCCTTCCACTCATCATCCTTGTCGACTTTTCGGGACTTGGCCTCTTTCTGGAGAGCGCTAAGCTCTTCCTCGGTGATATATTCGCCCGTCTGCTTGTTTCTCATCATAACGGGCATATAAACACCCTCAGTACTCCCCCCACCTTCCTTCTCGGCATTTCGAGCACCCTTGCGCATTGACGATTTACCCCAAGCGCCGAGTTCCACCTCCGCGCCTTTACCGCCAGAGGGATCTTTTGCTCCGATTCCAAGAAAACCAGGCCGTCGTTCCGGGATACGCGGACGGGTAGGATTCGCCGTCGAGCCGTAATTCCCCCTCCCAATCGACTGTCCGTCTTTCCAGCCCATACCCCGTAGTAGCGCTGCGCCGAACTCCTCTACAGGAATCGCATTGTACTGGTCCAACGTCGCAGGTTCAGGACGCGCCTCAACATCAGCGCGGAAAGAGGTTGCCTCGTCGTATACCGGGCCCATATCTTCCTCGTCATCGCGTTTCGCAGACTCAATAACCAAATCCGACCCCCCTTGTACCTCCCCAGTAGTCTCCCGAATAAGAGCCTGCAGCGCAATCTCATCCTCCGTCCGCGGTTTCCGCTCCTCAACAGCCGGCGCCGGCACCTTATCAGCATCCTTCATCTCTTTATCCCCATCCCCAGCTCCAACCTCTTTCTCCCCTTGACCAGGCTGCGCAAAACTAATCCCAAACGCCATACTCGGCCCCTCCCTCTCAACATTATCCCCAGCCGTCTCACCCCTCTTCTCAGCCTCGCGTATCGCCTGCACCTCCTTCGGAAGTAGATTCTTCCCTTTCGCCCGCACATTAACACCAGCCCTCTCGCGCCAGTTATTCCCACTCGCAACGGGTATAACCAGTTTCTCCTTCTCGGTGCTAATTTTGGTACCGTCCGCCGCGATCGCTGCGCCAGTAAGCGTGTCGAAGCCTGTTACGGCTTCAGCGGCTGGGGGGCGTTCGTCGTCGTTGTCGGAGTCGTCGTCATGGTGGAGGTGGTGTGGGCGGCGGGGGAGAGCGCGGTTTGGTGTTGGGGTATCGCGGGAGGAGGGTTTGAGGTTGAAGGAAGCCTTTTTGGGTTGGGAGGTGCTTGAGAGGGAGAGAGAGAAGGGCTTTTTGGGGGCGTTCGCGTCTTCGGGTGGTGGTGGCATTGTGGATGCCTTATGTTATATTTTGGCTAGAATGATAATGGTATTCAAGTAGAGACATGCGGGCTCGTTCCGTAAGGAAACAGAAATTGGAGTAAAGGAGAAGGTGAACGAACGAGTCTGGAGCTTGAGAGCTATGAGGCGGCTCAAAGCGGTGGCGACCTCGAAATCTAAACGCGCGCTTGGATCGGCTGCAACTACGAGCAGCAGTCACTACGGAGTACTCCGTACTGTATACCAGTGGTTAAGACTACGATATATTCACGAATCATACACTTCGTAATCATAATTCTTGTTGGACTTGAATTCATTCCAATAGTCGGTCGGGTACACTGTGAAGGTACTTCCGGCTCTTAATCGCATTATCAATACATGTGTTGGTACCAAAAAGAGTAAACTATCGCTCCAACGCCTGCAAGGACCTACATGCCAGTAGATCCAGGAAGAAGCGTGGCCAAATACATGAAAATAGAGGCGCAAAAGTAAGGGGAGTCGGGGAGGAGAGAAGGTAAAGTAACGACAACAGGTGAGGCGGTACGGAGAAATCAGGGTGTAGCAGTAGCAGTGGCATAACATCGCATTGCGGATCGAGTGTGGGGAGAAACGGAAAAGAGGATCAAAAGAAGGGGGTTTAAAAGGCGTTCGTGGAAAACAATATGTACAATCGAAGCGTAAAAGAGAAAGGTGAGGTGAGGATAACAGCCAAGCGGACGGAAGTCTCAGCTTGTAGCAGTTTGCGCTGGTGGAATGTTCGGGCTTTTGTTAGAACCCGGAACAGCGGTCCCTTGAGCGCTGCTCGTACGCTGTGCCTGTGGAGTTGCGCTCCGACTCTGTTGGGTAACGGCTCCGTTCATGGCAGGTGACCCAGCATTCACACGGTTCTGCTGGGCAGTCTGCGGAACTCGCATCATAGGCGAATACCCTTGCGTTTGAGGTACCTGCATGCCAGGCCCCCCGTTGGCTCCCGCTTGAGACTGGTGGAAGTCGGGCGACACCTGATAGTTGGCTTGGACGCTGCCAATGTTACCTGCAGCGGCATTCATGGCGGCTTGAGACATGCGCTGTTGTTGTTGCTGCTGATACTGGTGCAGACGCTCCGTGGCCAACTTGGTCACTTGTTCAGGAGGCATGTTCGGATGAGCCCGTTGGATTTGGCTTTGGATGTTGCTGATGGTCGGAACCAATCCACCGGAAAGCGGGTTCGGTTGTCCCATCCGAGGAGAAGGCGTGGAAACCCCTTGGGGAGTGCCGTTGTGGAAGGATGGGCTTTGAATTCCACCATTAGCCTGAAGCGCTGCCATCATAGCGGAGTTGTTCGGCGTGCCGTTGACGTTTGGCATGTTGAGATTAGGAGAGTGAGATCCCTGCGGCCCAAACTGCTGCGGATTATGAAATTGCTGCTGAGCTTGTTGTGGCTGTTGTCGAGACTGCAAAATACGTTGCTGCTCTTGAAGACGATTCGCCTCCCGGATGACTCGTGCGTTATCCGGAGAAGTCTGCATCGGCAATCCGGGTCGGCCACCGGCGGTTTGCTGCATCCCCGCTTGGGGCATCATCTTCATCGCCATCGGATTCGGCGCCATAGGGCCATTGACGGGTGCACCACCAGGCATTCCTTGCATGGGACGATTTGGGTTAACACCAACGCCAGCCGCCATGCCATTCGGTATCCCATTCGGTGCGCCGTTAGGCATGCCGTTTGGGTTCCTTCCGGGTTGGCCGTTTATCATTGGTTGCTGGTTGGGCACTTGACCCGCACGTTGAGCAGCCAGATTCGCCTGTTTCCAGTGAGCGGGCATCCTGCTGTGTTAGAACAAATGAACACTTACCCTTTGTTGCGCCATCATCTGCTGCCGGTATTGTTCTTGCCTCTCCTGCAGCTTCATTTCCCGCTCGTACTTCAGCCGACTGAACTCAGCAGGCGTCGTGATCGGGGGCTTCGGTTGATTGGCCTCGTTGACCTTTCTCATCGAAGCCAGGTGAGAAGCTAATAGACAGATGTTAGCCAATCAATTTCGGTAAAGAAAAGAACTCGATGCTTACCATGTTGCTGCTTTTGAAGCATAGTCTCCCGCTTCTTGGCCAACTTGCGCATTCCGTCGAGCAACGTAATGTGCTTGGAAGACCTTCTGCGGTCGACTCGAAGAGGTTGTGTTGTCCTCCTACGGACCGGCGGTGCGTTTGGCTGCTGTGCCTGCTGTTGTTGGGCGGCCTGCTGTTGTGCGAGCACGTTGCGCTGGGCCGTCTCCAGCCTCTGATGGTAAGCCCGGAAATATGGTGTCTTGGACATGTCTGCTGGCAATCCTTCCAGCCCTATCCATCGCTCAAAACATTCCCACGGCGTCCTTCTCTCCGCACCAGACGTGAACGGTGACGATGGCGAAAGGCAGCTGGAAATGAGCGACCAGTTGTATGGATAATCCTTCACAAGGCGTCGTAGCTCATCATCCTCTGCGTACGTCCACTGGGACGACTGCCTTGATTCAAAGAACCCGACAGACGGCATAGGGTATTCGGTCGGCGGGCGGAAAGAATGGCCCGGGTGAATCCGGTCGCGAATAGGCTGGTTTTCCGGTCGGAATAGGGCAACATTGGTCTGTTCCGGTGTCCACTCCAGCAAAGGCGGCTCCTCTGGTTCGTATTGCGAATAGTCGTAGCGGCTTCGCTTTCTCGGCGGCCCTTCTTCGCTGAAACGGATCTTGCCAGTCACGTACTTGGAGACTGGTAGAATATCCGTCTTCCAAGCAACATCGGGAGGGGCCTTGAAAGTCGGAAGCTTCGTATCGGGAGCGATATCGACAGGGGTATAGATAGGGAGTTCGTCAAGGATCTTCTCAGCGGCCGGGGTCATATCGAGGGAGAATGTGAATTCGTCTGATCCCAATGAGAAGATAGCTGCGGGTGCAACAGTATCAGGCAAGTCATGGCGTGGTTCATCATTGAAAGCTTCGTCCACGGAATCTTCCTCTGTTGAGGGAATTAGGTCTGGAGTAGGGTGAGAGACGCCTGCCATCGGTTCGTCGCCCATTTCGGGAGGCGAGACCATGTCGGTCTTCTGGTCGTGACTTTCCTCCGCGTCCGCCTTCCGAGTCGGAATCTTCGCCTGCACACGCAGCAACGCCTGGTGCTCAGGGTCGCTGTTGACGTATTCGGCGCACCAGTCCGCGCAGCATTTTGCAGCCGCAATCTTCCATTTGCGTTCTTCCCGGAAGTCCGTTCGCATCCACTTCATGTGGTCCAAAAGTACATCCCAGTGGGTCCCTTGGCGCGGAGGCTCAATTGAACGCTTGTACTGGCGAAGAGGCCATCTGTTAGCGTTCTGCAGCGCGTAAATCCGACGAAGAGTGCGACAATCCATTTGTTCTTGGTACTCGACGAGATGATTGCTAGTGCTCAGCGTCTTGTGCGCAGAGGCAACAAGCGTGCTGAGGTTAGTGCCTCGAGGAGGAGCGTAAGCCTTGCTCTGGAATAGGGTAAACAGATAGTCCTGCTCCTCATTCAGCCTAGCCAGATCGCCGACATTTTGGCGCACAAGATCCAACGAATCAGCTTTCTCTTGTTGCTGTTGTAGTTGCTGCTGCTTCGGGAATACAACGGTCGAGAGTCTACTCCTTTCCTTTTCGCGGTCCTTGCGATCTTTGAGGCGCATTCGAGCGGGAGATTCGGGCGGGCTTTTCTCTGGAGTCATGGCAGCCTGTGGCGACTCTTTCTCAGATGGAGAGACCGTAGGCTTTGGCGTCTCTCCTAAGATCTCAGACACGGACTTGTGGCGAATAGCACCAGAAGAAACTCGTGTGGTCATCCTCTCTGGGGGTGGCCCAGGCGTTGTTTGAGCCTTCTTCAATGTCGTAGTGGCGGACGGCGTTGTCTTTGAAGCTGCATCGACAGGCGGCCGTGGTGTTTCTGGCTGTGTCGGGGCCAGAGCGTCATTCACTGGTTCGATAACTCCATCAGGCTTCTTCACTTCAGAAGGCAGTGGGGCTGGTTGGTCCTTCGGCACACTTGGAGTCGAGACCTGAATGACTTCGTTTGAAGATGGGATATTGTCACTGGTAGGGTCACCAATAGACTTGCTGGCAGTGATCGTGTTTTGTTGAATGGACTGCGCTTCCTCCAAGCGAAGCTGTTCGTCCGGCGTCGATGGAACCAGACTGGGCGGTGCATGCACAGAAGTATCATGCTTCGGTTTATGGCTAGCATCTTGCGCAGCGGCAGTCGCTTCCTCAGCAGGACTGGTGTCGGGAGAGGTGGTAGTAGGAATAGGAGTGTGGCCGGAATAGTGACCAGCTGAAGAGACGGGGGAGAGAGGTTGCTGATCGGGAGGATGGCCGGAATGCCCTAGAGCAAGCGATGGACGCTTGTCATGGATCTTCTCAGGAAGAGCGGCCGTCGGAGTCGGCCCAGCCGATTCGAAACCATGAGTGCTCTGAGGCGTCCCCGGCACAGAAACCTTCCGCTCTGAGATGGATAATCGGGCGGGATGAGTGCCTGCAGGAGACGGCACGCCAGTTTCCTGCACAGTTTCGGGGGCGGGACCCGGCGCGTGAGACTGAACTACGCCAGGTTGCTCAGTATGTGCGACAGGCCTAACCCCTGCAGGGGGATGCTGGTGTGCCTTGTCGACAGCACCCCCAGCAGGCGTAGAAACACCATCTAGTTGCGCCGATGGTTCTTTCGCGCCAACTTCAGCCGCTGGGGGCCCTGTCTCCTTGCCCTCCCGCCGTGGTAAGAAAGCAGCATAGTTGGGGAGAGATGAAAGAGTAGATTCGTCAAAGTAGTGACCTCTGTATGTATGAATTAGTATACAACTCGAAGAGAATACAAAATAAAAATAACAGCAAAGCAGAGTAATACGAGGATAAGCAAACTTACTTGGCCAGGTCGTTGGCGTCTAAAAACGCCTGCTCCTTGTGGTGATATCGCGAATCGGTCGGAGCGCCGTCGGTCGCGCCGGCTAAGCCCACGGTCGCAAAGTAGAGCTCACTCAATTTGCGCTTCCGCGACAACAAACAACGTCTTGAAATAATTCTCCGTCAGCAACCAATGCATGAAAATTGGTAAAAAATGGTATCATTTGATAGAGAAAAAAGCGTAGAATCCAGCAAAATTAATACATACGCGATTTCATCGTTCTTGGACCGGAGAAGCTCGTCACGGAGCATGGAGCCTATTTCGCCAGCACAACATCCGATTAACGCGCTAAAAACGAGGGGGATGGGTTGAGCGAGGTCATCCAGAAGGAATAAATCGCTCAGAATTGATAAAAAGGGTGATTTGGTGGTGTTATGCGATGCTGAAATCCAGACACGAAGTGCTCGCCTTGAAGGGTTTTTTTTTCCTCTTTTTTTTTTTCTTTCGTCGGGGGCAGTCGTTGGGGGACTTGGTCAACGGCAGAGGGAGGTGTGAGTGTATTCGTATTGTTGTATGGTATGGTATTTGATAGGGGGGATGGCTAGTTTCGTGCAAAGGAATGGTGGTATCGTTACGTATTGAACCCTTTTGCGACTGGAATCTTGATACCTGAGGTGTCAATATTTCTTGCCTCAGGGAGTTATGTAACTTTATGACTCGATGATGACTACATTTATACCACTAGTTACGGCCTAAGGCAGTCACACCGCATTCGGATCAGGCAACAAGGCTATAAGTATCACCGCCTGGCTATCGCATGGCAGAAAAAAAAGTTGCAGCTGCAGAGCATTCCAGAACAACTCTACCAAAAAAGAGAAATATCGTTCATTTTTTATCGTTATGGCTAAACGCAAGAGAGAGGAAACCGTCAAGGACGTCCAGTCCTCCGACAAATCGTCCAAGGCCTCTAAACCCGCGACAAACCAGGAATCCTCGTTCGACCCGGTCATCAATGTGCAAATCGTGACCGGCTCCTACGAGAGAGTGCTGCATGGGTTTACTGCAGGGGTGTCTGCAGCTGCTTTGGCTTCGAAAGACACCAAGGAGTCTGCTGTCGGCCCTTCGCAGGTGCAATTCGCCGATACGTTCCTGTTCGAGGCGCATTCTTCGGCCATTCGGTGTCTCGCCTTGTCTCCCACACCCAAACCGGATTCGACAGAGCCTCCTCGTGTTATACTCGCCAGTGGTAGTACCGATGAACGTATCAATCTGTACTCCGTCTCTGCTGCGCCTCCAGCCGTGAATGATCAGTATCCGTCCGTTCCGACTCTGGCAGGAAGCAAGGTTCTCGAGAACCCGAAGAATCGCGAACTGGGCTCCCTCCTACACCATTCCGCCAGCATCTCTGGGCTGAGCTTCCCGTCGCGCTCAAAGCTCTTGACCTGTGCCGATGACAACACCATCTCCGTTTCGAAGACTCGCGATTGGACCGTCGTGTCGACCATCAAGGCTCCTCGTCCCAAGGTCCAAGGAAGGCCCAGCGGTGATACTGCACCAGAGGGAGGATCTCCCTCTGGTGTGAATGACTTCGCAGTGCACCCGAGTATGAAATTAATGCTCAGTGTTGGAAAGGGAGAAAAGTGCATGAGACTGTGGAACTTGGTGACGGGAAGGAAGGCCGGTGTGTTGAACTTTACCAGGGAGATGCTCCAATCGGTCAAGGAGGGCAAGTGGAGCTCAGGTGAAGGCCGGAAGATTGAATGGAACTCGAAGGGTGAAGGATTCGCCGTCGCATTCGAGTGGGGTGCTGTGGTTTTTGGAATTGTAAGTTGTCCTTGGCATACAAGAAATGGAAGACACAGCTGACTGGTGACAGGACTCTACCCCGACATGCAGAGTTGTGCCCAACCCGCGGAGTAAGCTTCACCAGATGAAGTATGTCACCGTTGATCCGTCGTCCGAGGATGCGAATGACTTGCTTGCCGTTTCCACGGAAGATGGACGAGTCATCTTCTACTCTACAAAGAAGCTACGGGAGCCTGAGAACGACCCTGACTCGTCTATCCCTTTTGCGGAACCCATTGCTCAGCTTGGCGGTAAGGTAAATGGTCTGCCTGGACGTATCAAGGACTTTGAGGTCTTCAGTCTGAAGAATGAGCCAACGGTTAAGAAGGATGCCTTCCTTGTGGTGACTGCAAACAGTGACGGGGCTGTCCGCGTCTGGCTGGTGGATGGCAAGGAGCTCAAAGAGCAAGATGACTCGGAGAATGCTTCGACTGCTCCCCAGGTTGGCAAGCTTCTGAACACGTACGAGACTGGCAATCGAATCACCTGTATGAAGGCGTTTGTGATGCTGCCTGTTGAGGATCAGTCAACGCTGGAGGACTTCGACGAGGAAGATGAGGAAGACGAAGAGAGCGAAGAGTCATCGGATGAAGAGAGTGATGCTGAGTAGATATCTACTGTCCTATATACCCTATTGTTCATAGAACTGTATCAATTCGAGTAAAAGTTATGCGTCTATCCATTTATAACTCTAGCGACTATCTTATTCGTATCTCAGTTGTCGTACTGATGGCCCGTGACTCACCACAGCAGGTGTTGTAGCTAGGCAAAAATATGTAGAAAAAAATCTTCAAAATTAAAGAGAGTCAACAAGAAGAGTCATAATAATATATAAGTTACATTTCCCTGAAAAATATCCAAAAACCATTCAACACTCTCCAAAATAACATCGACAATACTCACATACTGCTGCTACTACTACTACTACTACTACTACTACTGCTACTACTGCTACTCGCTCCACTGCACAAACCCCACCACCGCCGACAAAGCGTATCGTATCGCCTCCCGCTCCCAATACAGCAAATTTCCTCCATTTTCAAATTCTCGGCCACTTTTGACTACTCGCACCACCGCTACGAGGCTATCACTGACCTCCGCTCCGTTTAATCCGTCGTCGTCTCTCTCTGTCTCTACCGGTCAGAGCCTTCTGCCACACGCAGCAGATTTTTTCATCGACACCACCGCAAATATGGCTACCAACGGCGATTTTTCCGACGAGGAGTCCCAGCCCGGCTCGCCCATGATCAACGCCAATGGCCAGGAAGAGATTGAGGAGCAGGAGCCTCTCGAGCCCCAAGAGAAGAAGCCCAGCAAGTCGGCCATGAAGAAGGGCGCCGTGCCCACTCCCCAGCCGCAGCGACCAGAACTGCCCGAGCAGCCGAACCCAGACTCCATCGACCTGTCCACACTCAACCCCCTCACCCCCGAGATTATCGCGCGTCAGGCGACCATCAACATCGGTACCATCGGTCACGTCGCTCACGGAAAGTCCACCGTCGTCAAAGCCATCTCTGAGGTGCAGACCGTCCGTTTCAAGAACGAGTTGGAGCGCAATATCACCATCAAGCTGGGTTATGCCAACGCCAAGATCTACAAGTGCGACAGCCCCGAGTGCCCTCGCCCGACGTGCTTCAAGAGTTTCAAGAGTGAGAAGGAGGTCGACCCGCCATGTGAGAGAGAGGGGTGCACTGGTCGCTACAGGCTGTTGAGACATGTTTCGTAAGTCTACCTCTACGCAGTGTATGCGGGATGCTTGCTGACAATCTAGGTTCGTCGACTGCCCTGGACACGATATTCTGATGAGTACCATGTTGTCAGGTGCCGCCGTCATGGACGCTGCCCTTCTGTTGATTGCCGGAAACGAAACCTGCCCCCAGCCCCAGACCTCGGAGCACTTGGCTGCTATTGAGATTATGAAGCTCAGCCATATCATTATTCTGCAGAACAAGGTTGACTTGATGAGGGAAGACGGAGCTTTGCAGCACTACCAGTCCATCCTGAAGTTCATTCGGGGTACTGTTGCCGACGGATCCCCCATTATCCCCATTTCCGCGCAGCTCAAGTACAACATCGACGCTGTCAACGAGCACCTCGTCTCGCACATCCCCGTTCCCCTCCGTGACTTCACTGCTTCGCCTCACATGATGGTTATTCGGTCGTTCGATGTTAACAAGCCCGGTGCGGAGATTGACGAGCTCAAGGGTGGTGTTGCTGGTGGTTCGATCTTGACCGGTGTGCTCAAATTGGGTGACGAGATTGAGATCCGTCCCGGTCTGGTCACCAAGGACGAGCACGGCAAGATCCAGTGCCGTCCCATCTTCTCGCGTGTCGTGTCGCTCTTCGCCGAACACAACGACCTCAAGTTCGCCGTCCCTGGTGGTTTGATCGGTGTTGGTACTCGTGTCGACCCCACGCTCTGCCGTGCGGACCGTCTCGTTGGTTTCGTCCTGGGTCACCGTGGCCGTCTGCCCGCCATCTACACCGAACTGGAAGTCAACTATTTCTTGCTGCGTCGTCTGCTGGGTGTCAAGACCGCCGACGGCAAGCAAGCCAAGGTCGCCAAGCTGACCAAGAACGAAGTTCTCATGGTTAACATTGGATCGACGGCCACCGGTGCCAAGGTTGTTGGTGTCAAGGCCGATGCCGCCAAGCTCAGCTTGACCAGCCCGGCATGCACAGAGGTTGGAGAGAAGATTGCCATCAGTCGGAGAATTGACAAGCACTGGCGTTTGATCGGATGGGCAAACATTGTTGCGTAAGTACACTTGATCAGGATCTGTGAACGATTCGCTAACTTATTTTAGTGGTAACACCCTCGAGCCCATCTTGAGCTAAACTTGCTGCACTATTACGAAAAAAGAAAAGGATGGGAAAAGTTTCACGGTTACGAAGGAGTTGACGCGAGCATTTGGTATTACCCCGGTATAGAGAATGCGAGTCCATTCTGGTTCGTTCCATGTTGAAGGATTTATACCTCCAAAGCCTTTCAGGCCAGGGGAAGCCGGATGCCTGGCAGCATGGACTGGACGGGTTGGACGATGAGGGATAGTGAAGTAGCGGATCTACTTGTTGACGCGTGTTATGAAGTTGCTATGTGAAAAGATTTCTTGCTGTTCTATGTTGTCTTATAATGCTTCGATGTCCGGTCTTGATTATATATTCCGTCCGTAGCCGTAGCCATCGCTTAATTTTGTTCTCACCCAAACTTGCAAAACATAAAAGTACATATAGACATTCCAGTACCCCTGGTAAGATCTTAGTATTTAGACAATTTCAGCATATCTAACTACTGTAATTTGATCTCGTAACCATGTCAGGCTGACTGCTTAGTCACCCAGAGCTCGTTTCCCGAAGAGGACACAACGCCTTTCCACGTCCAACTTCAACACTGCGTCTTCAACAATCGCGTTGCTGTTGTCCGTCATGTGGATACTCGAGGTGAGCTCTTTATGATATTATCGCACTCTCTGAGTCGTGGCTAACTGAATGTTCTGCTGCAGCAACTGGCGCGTCTTTTGGACCGCCCACTCTTCCCATGGAAGACCGTACTAGTCGGGTTCTCGCTGGGTCAGTACCTGCTGGAGGGATTCCTGTCCTTCCGGCAGTACAAGGTCCTGCAGCGGACAAAGCCGCCCAAGGTTCTTGAAAACGAAGTTTCGCAAAAAGTCTACGATGAGTCTCAGGTACGTCACCAACGGCGCGACGAACATAGGAACATAGGATGGGGTGGTTGACAATGGCAGGCATACGGTCGCGCCAAAGCCAAGTTCGGTTTCGTCGCTGGTCTCTACGGTCAAGTTCAGAATCTCGCGTTTATCTACGGTGACGTGCTCCCCAAGCTCTGGGGCGTCGCTGGTGTCGCGCTCGCTCGGTATCTTCCTGCTCGGTTCCAAGGTGAAATCTGCCAGACGCTGGTGTTTCTCTTCGGGTTCAATATTCTCAGTACGGTTTTGTCGCTTCCGGTCTCGTATTACAGCACGTTTGTTCTCGAGGAGAAATTCGGGTTCAATAAGCAGACGTTGAAGCTGTGGGTTACGGATATGCTCAAGGGTCAGATGCTCGGGGTTGTCTTGGGTACTCCTATTATCAGTGGGATGCTCAAGATTATCCAGTTCGCTGGTGACTCGTTCTTCTACTACCTGTGGCTGTTTGGTATGTTCGTTCAGGTTTTCGCTATCACGATCTATCCGATTGCTATCCTGCCGCTGTTCAACAAGCTGTCGCCTTTGCAGCCTGGTGAGCTGAAGACGGGTGTTGAGAACCTTGCTCGGAAGTTGGAGTTCCCGCTTCAGGAATTGTATGTTATCGACGGTAGCAAGCGGAGTGCGCACAGCAACGCGTACTTTTTCGGTCTGCCCTGGAAGAAGCACATTGTTATCTACGACACGTTGATTGAGAAGAGCGAGCCGGATGAGGTCGTTGCTGTTTTGGGTCACGAACTTGGTCACTGGAGTTTGAGCCACACTACTAAGCTGTTTGGTATTGCTCAGGTGAGTCTCGGCCCTCGATGCTATATGGCAATTGCTAATAATGTAGTCTCACATGTTCTACATCTTCGCGCTGTTCTCGGTCTTCATCAACAACAAGTCTCTGTACCAGTCTTTCGGTTTCTTCAACGAACAGCCCATCATGATCGGATTCCTCCTGTTCTCGGATGCTCTGGCCCCGATGGACGCGGTGATCAAGCTGTTGATGAACATTCTCAGCCGTAGATTTGAGTTCCAAGCTGGTACGTTCTCTTCTCGTGTCTTTGTCATTTCGCAGTCAACTAACATATGTAGATGAATTCGCCCAAAACCTCGGCTACTCCGAGCAACTCGCCAAGTCCCTGCTCAAGCTGCAGATCCAGAACCTGAGCACCATGGATGCCGACTGGATGTACGCTAGCTACCACTACTCTCACCCTATCCTCTCCGAGCGTCTCCAGGCGCTTGGCTGGACGGGTGGAAAGGTTACGGACCTCAAGTCGGAGGATAGTGAGGAGCCCGTTAAGGCTGGTGATCGGGAGTTGTAAGCAGTTCTTTGTGATCTGTTGGATACAGAAGTTGAATAGCTCTAAAGAATGAACTTTTGATTTATGATACAAACTCCTCTATCCGAGCGCCAATAAAGCAGACCCATGCCAATGAAACCGCAATGCGAAACTTTTCAAGTAAACAAATCAACCCCTAGCCTTAGCCTTCTTCTCCGCCAACCTCCTCTCCTTCTTCTTCCTCTTCCTCTCCTCCTTATCAACCCCCTCACCCTCCCCATCCATCTCCATCATTTCCATATCCACCGGCTCCTGCTCCTTCTCCTCCTCAACAACCCTCTCCTGCTCCTGCCCAGCCTCATAGACCCCCTCCCCATTCTCAGGTTCCGGCTCCATCCTAATCATCGTCAAATCCCGCCCAAGCACCTCCCCCGCAAGCCCCGCCTGTACGCGCTTGAGATTATGCAGGATGAGGTTTGGCGCGGACGCTGTCGTGCGGCTGACGGGGCCGTGCTCGCTGATGCTGGCGTTGGGTTGGAGCGCGGGGTCTGTGGAGGCGCGGTCGAGGTAGGCGGAGAGGTAGGTTGAGGCGGTGGATTGGGGGATAGGGGTGTTTGTTGTTAGGGTTGTTGGGGGGGGGGGGGAGGGGCCGTTGATTGACATTGCGGCGGTGGTGTGGTTGCGTGTGGTTGTCGTAGTCGTAGAGGATGTAGAGCAGTGGTTGTAGTGTAGGTTGTTTGTTGCTCAATGCGCAGATCAATTCGGAAAATGTAAAAGAGGAATGAGGTCTCAAGCGCAATGCGATTATCCCCAAGACCCCTATATCAAAAAGGGAGGTAAATAAGTAGTAGTAGTAGTGGTGTAGTGAAGAACAATCTCAAGAGAAATCGTGAAGCCGCGAAAGATTCTGCGGGTCCGTGCGTCTGCGGCGCCGGAGCTTCAATTTTCTCTCCGCCTTCACTACACCACCACCACCACCACCACTACTATCACCGCTCTCTCTCTGCCATTCCGAGGAGAGTAGTTACCTCCAATACCTTCAACAGAGCCAGGACTGTTGGGATATACCTGAGATAGCCACCATGTTCTCCCGCAGAACCCTCCCTGCGCTGAGGACGCTGCGAGCCCAGACTCCGTACGTCCACCCACCTCCATACCGTTGCTCTTGAATTGAAGAATAGTATACTGACAATCACAGTCTCACCACCCTCAACCGCCCCTTCTCCTCCCTCCTAACCTCCCGCCCCTCTCTCCCGACCACCACCATCACACTCACATCCACACTCTCGCCATTACTATCACCACTTACATCCACCTTGCAATCCCCGATCCAGAGCCAACTCCAGTCCCGGCAATTCTCAGCAAGTGCCTCACTCGCTGGAAAGCGAATCACCTTCAACCCCTCGCGGAGGGTACAGAAGCGGCGTCATGGGTTCCTGGCGAGACTGCGCACGCGTGGGGGGAGGAAGATTTTGATGCGGAGGAGGCAGAGGGGGAAGAAGGCGTTGAGTTGGTAATCACTTCCTGGGGAATGTGTTGATGGTGATTGTGGACGATACGTTATGCGGAATCAGGGATAGGTCTCATGTATCATAACCATTCTAGTCATGTTATGTTTTATTACTTTATTCTCTCGATGTATACCACGGTACATCTATTTTCCAGCCACCGCTATCTATATAGGCCATAGACATACATTACTCCTCTTCACTCTCCTCTTCGCTACCCTCCTCAGACCCCGTCTCGTAATCCTCATCGTCCTCAGACTCCTCCTCTTCACCCTCAGGCTTCAACCCGTAATCGTCCTCGAAGTCCTTGAGCGGCCGCACCTCAGGCGTGAAGCCGGATGCTTGCATGCCCTTTTGGATGCTCTGTACGACACGTTAGTTATCATGTTCAAACGGGTTAAAAGGAAAGTCCGGGGGGGGGGGGGTAACATACCTCCTCCATAACAGTAGCACAAGTAATGACGATATTCGCCGTGCTGGGCTCAAACAACGGCAAAATAATTCCTCTCAACGCCTTCTTTACATCCTCCACGCTAGTCGCCCGAACCTGTCTCAACACGCGCTCTTTATAGTCGCTAGGCAGCTCCCGCATCACCTGCCGGATAAAGCTGCCCTGCGCCGCATTCGCGATAGTAGCCTGCTCGTTCGCAAAGCTAACCACGATACTGCTGATCGCACCCTCGAGCATGAGCGGGTCAAATGGCATGACACCGGACAGATGGTCCTCGACGATCTGCTTGCTCGATTCGAACGCCTTGTGCGCGTTTGGCGAGCGGTACACGTCAAAGTTGACGAACCCCGTGTCGATGTTGTAGGCAAAGTTGGTGCCGTAGGCAAGGCCCTTGCCGCGGACGGCAACCCACAGCGGTCCCTCGACGGCGTTCATGTAGGCGATGGCGACGAGGAGGGGCGGGAGGCGCGGGTCATCGTAGGAGTCGAGGCCTCGTGCGCTGGCGTAGGCGAAGGACGAGTCGATTGTTGGCATAGGCACGACGTACGACTTGCCGCCAAGGTTCTGGCCAACCTCGCTCATCAGCGGACGGCGGGCTGTGATGGGTTTGAGGGGAGCGGGAGTGCCAAGGCGCTCGGCAAAGGGTTTCCATGAGGAGACTGGGTTGGGGAGTTTCTCGAGGTCGGCGATGACGAGGACGCGGATGTTGGAAGATTGGAAGAGGGCGTTGCGGATTTCTTCCATGCGTGCGACAACGGCCTCTGGTTGCTCGGCGAGCTGCTTCTTGATGCGGCGGAGGTAGCGGGCCTTGACGAGTGTGCTGCGAGCGCGGACGATAGATTCTGGTGCGTAGTGAACCATCACATGCACGGCTGCTAGCATGTCGTCGCCGCTGCGTTTGGCATCGGGGACGTCGGCGAGCAGGCGACTGGTGATTGCGCGGAGTCTTTCTACATCGAAGATGGTGTTCCACGACAGCTCCTGCAGCCAGGCGATGGCTGTGCTGTACTTCTCCATCTCAACCTGGAAGGAGATGCGCAGCATTTCCGAGTTGCCGAATGACCTGGCGCCCTCCATGCTGTAGCCAACTGTATCTCTCTCGAGTTCGACAACGACCTGCTCAAAGTTGATCGTCTTTCCGTCGCGCTGGATCGGAATGTTGAAGAACGCTTCCGTGTAGACGGACAGGAGAGGACGAAGTTGAACAGGCACCGACTGGGCTGAGATAAGGAGGGACATCTGGACAAAGTTGCTGGGGATGTGCTCGAAGTGAATGAACAGAGGCATATCCGAGCCATCGGCGTCCACGACCTTCTGGACCTTATGGTCAGGACAACCGGCCTTCAGGGCAGAACCAGACCGCGCAGTCGTAGTCTCGACAAAGTGGATCGACTCGACTCCAGGGATCTCAAACTTCTCCAGCATCTCCTTCGGAATCTCCTTGTCGTTCTCCGCCTTGGCCTTTTCAAGTTTGTCGGCCAGTTCCTTCAAGCCCTTCTCGCCAAGTTGCTTCTTCTGCTCCGCAGCTCGAGCCTCTTCCTCCTTCTTGAGAGTGTCAGACATCTTCATCGAAGGAACACCGAGAACGGTAATGTGAGGAGCATCGGAGATCCATTTCTTGATAAAGTCCCGCCACTGGTGCTCAGGCCATTTCTCCAACTCCTCGTACTCCCGCATACTTGCGACGTCCAGTAATGTCGAGCCGTCGCGCTTGCCGTACAGGAAGTCGGAAATGACATACTCCGCAAGTGCAGAAGCAGAGCTTTCCGTGGAGAACTTCCAGATCTTCTGCTGCCGGTCAATGCACTCTTGCAGGTACTTCATGTCGATTGGCTTTTCCATCGCATCCTTCAGAACCTCGAAGAATCTCCGCTCGACGTGCTCGAGCTTGTCTGTTTCCACACTGGTCAGTTGGAACTGGATTTCGATGTTCGGGCGTTCCTCTGTCGAGTAGTAGACAGCACTGGCCACCTGCTCTTTTTCGACGAGGACGTTTTCCAGGATAGAGGCAGACGATCCGGCGAGGTACAGGAGTGAAACATTAAGGGCGCCGCCTGTGAAATGTGAGCAAATGTCCTTTACAAGATGACGGGATACCTACTTTGAATCGGATCGGTGGTGTCCGGTCCCAAGAATCTGATCTCAATCTCACCAAAAGACTCATCTTCTTCTGGGAATTCCACCGTCTTAGTAACCGACTTCTCCAGCGCAGGCGCCTGCTTGGAGTCTGTCCAAGGACGCTTGAACGGCGAATCGGGGCTTGGGATAACATCGAGGATCGTGTCTTCGAACTTATCCAGCGTCTCCAGCATGTTCTCATGGTCCACCTCTCCCGTGATGATTAGACACAAGTTCCGCGGCTGGTACATCTCACGATGGAACTCCCTGATTCTCTCCGCCGTAAGAACACGCAGCTGCTCCATCATTCCTCCAGTCTCGTACCGGAATCCCACGTCTGAAGGATATATCAACCGACGCGCGTTGAGATCCATCAACTCAGCCGAATTGTTCTGCACACCCTGCATCTCCGAGTACACAACACCAGCGTCGTTGCCGGTGGCATCGATATGGTGCACTTCGGTGTAGCAGCCCTCGTCCGTGAGTGTTGGGGCAATCACATGCTCCAGATACACGGGCAAAATCCGCGCGAATCCCTCCCATCCGGCTGTGTCCAATGTGTAGGCTGTGTGATCGGTGGCTGTCCAGGCGTTGGTGTTCGAGTACACTCGGGTGGCCAATTTATCCAGGAATCCCTTGTATCTGTAGTTGCGCGAGCCCATGAAGCACAGATGCTCCAATGTATGGGGTGCGCCGGAGTCGTCGAGAATCTCCGTAGCAAGCACAAAGTATCCAGACACCTTGGGACCTTTTTGGTCGATGACCACCACCCTCATACCGGTTCTTTCTGATTCATATTGGACGAACTCGCTGGGGGAGTAATCCGGCTTGAACTTTTGAAGGAGTTTGAAGTGGCTTTGCGTAGGAGACATGTTGGCGATGGAACGATGGAACGGCAGGTTCGTTTTTGGAAAAGGGATAGGGAATTTTCGTCGCAAGACTGATGGTCTATCAATTCTGTCAGTTATATACCGTAACTGAATGCTGCCAAAGCAATTGCGTTCCCATGCACATCCACAGAGAAGGGACAAAGACTCTTTCAGATCCGCAGTGACGTCGACGGAAGAAGCACCACACAATCTCTTCTTACAAACACGTAGACAATCATGATCGAATAACTCACGTAAAACGAGATCTTGCCCGACTCAGGCCTCGCAGGGTATACCACAACACCACGACGGCTGGTGAGAACTGAGAAGTTCTTCGCGGGGAACAAGTGCGGACGTCGTCACTTAAGAAAGAAGGATCGGGTCAAGAATTGGCGCATGCCACTTCCGGACAAAGAAAGTGAACGGTTGTCCTGGCGGCAAGTGTGAGCAAAGGGGATATTCAAAAAGAATGAAAGAAAGAGACGATTTTCTATCCAAGCTGGTTGGCTGGTTGTTGGAGGTGCCGCCGAACGAGTCGAGATCTGTGCCCCGCGGAAGCCTGAGGCAGAAATAGTCATGTGATGGATTGCCCTATGCTAATGAGCAGGGTGCATACGTTGTGTAGACATTCTTATGCTCTTACGGATATCTGATTTCGTTGTTATTCTTATCTAGTCCCCTTGTTCTGTGGTTGCGTACAGGGACTCGCTCCGCCCGCGTATGTGAAGACCATCTCGGACTGGAGTGTCAATACGAGGAACATAAAGAGACGTCCAGGTGAAACAGAAGAACAATATATATGCTCAGTAGGAACAATCTAAGAGCGTTGGAGATACGGATACGGAACACTGGTCAATGCTGTAGTGTCTTTGTGTCTCGGACAATATATAGTTATATATATCGATTACAATTCGACCTTTTCTATAACCGATGGAATGCAGCCATAGACTTTATATAAGTGACATGAGGGGACCGATTTCAAAACCAGCCGTCCACCGTTGGGAATATAAACTAAAAACCAAAAATGATAACAAAAAAGACAGACAACGAACGAACCGCAAAAGTACCGTGATCGTATAATTGATAGAGCTGCTGGAGGAAAGAATCGTCAAGGTATCATCTATTCAGCATGGAGTTCGTCCTCATCCTCGTGCTTCGACTTGTGTTTATTCTTCTTCTTTTCTTCTTTGCCCTTCTTTTGCATGGCTTCGGTCATGAGCTGTTCGAAGGCCATGTAATCACCCTCCTCTTCAGGATCACGTTCGGCCTATAAAATGTAAGTAACCGTCCCAGAACACTAGTTGCATAAGATCGTACCTTCGCATAGATGTTACCAGCAAGGACCAAGGCATGCGCACGCTCGACACGCTTCTCCAGCTTGATCCTCTTGTCGCTCAGGACTTGATCGCACACGTCGCGCAGCACGCTCTGGATCTCGAACTTGCTTCCGCGCCATGCAGCGGCCAAGATCTTACCGGTGACCTTCTTCTCATACTCGGCCTTCTTCTCGTCCGTCCATTCCTCGCCACCGCGCTCTTCCATCTTGGCCATCTCTTCCATGGTCATCTGCGCATCGATCGCAGTCGAGATGGTGGTCCAGGTTTCCTTGGCCAACGTTCCCTTGTCCTTCAGACGAGAGAAGAAGCCGGAAATGCCCAGGAACTTCTGAGACTTGAGGAAGGAAGTCGATTTCTGGACATACGTCGCACCGATAGCATGCAGAATCTCGAGACCGAACGACTCCATCTTCAAGTTCTCGACCTCAAGGCGGATCTTCTCCTCAAATGCATGCGTCACGTCCGGGCTCTTATCGGTCTCCGTCCACACGCTGATCTTGTCTACCAACTTCGCTGCCAGAGTGTTGACCCGCTCTTCACGCGCCTTCTTCCGCTCGAGTTCGTATGCAGCCAGACGGTCCTGCTGTTCCTTGGTCAATCCACCCTTCTTCTTCTCCTTTTTACGAAGCTCCTTTTCTTCCGGAGATAGACCAGCTGCCTCCATGCGTGCCTCTTCCTCTGACTTGTCCATGATCGCCTGCTGACCCAAGTATCGTCGAGGGGGAGTCTTCTCCGGTTCCTGCGGTGCCGCGGCGGTGGCCGTGGCCGTGGTTCCCTCCGCGGTTGGCGCGGTTGCACCCTCTGCAGTGGTACCCTCGGTAGGGGCGGCGCCAGTCTTCGCTTCTTCTTCGTGAAGATGGAGTTTCTCTTCTGCGGATGCGGCGAGTTCGTCCTCCTCCATCTGCTGCATGGTGATATCCATCGTGGTGGTCAGGTCCTTCATGAGGGAGATCTCTCCGATCAGGTCAACGAAGGCGCTACCGCCGAAAATCATGCTGAAGAACTCGGACGGGTCCTCTGTTTGCGTGTATAACGTTAGCCCATGTTGTCCAGAATTGAAATGGGCAAGAACTAACCGAAACCACCACCGGGAACCGCATCTTCCTTGCCAAACTTGTCATATCGCTTTCGCAGGTCGTCATCGCTGAGAACTTGATACGCTTCACCGATCTAGTTGATATCGTTAGTCATGTTACTATCGCGAACGACATCTCGCAAGGCGCATACGGCTTGGAATCGGGCATGTGCGGTCTCATCGCCGGGGTTCTTATCTGTCCATATGGTCAATAGGTGTCCACAAACAAGCAGCAGGGTAACCCAGTGTCATACCAGGATGCGTCGTGATAGCGAGCTTTCGATAAGCCTTCTTGATCTCGATTTGCGTGGCTGTGGGCGGTACCCCCAGGGCATCGTAGTAGCTGGTATCGGCAACCATTTTGGGAAGTAACGAAGCCAACAGAAAGAACGAGAATGGTAGATGGGGGGGCTGCACACCCCGATTTGAGATATTCGACAATAAAAGCAATACTCAACAAGTCTTCTGTAGGCTGTCGAGAAGACGATAATCAACTAATAATTTTTTCTTCTCTGCCTGACAGACACTTTCTTCCTTTCGTCATGGTGGGGGGGCTCTTTTTGCCAGGCGGTGCTGTACCGTATCGCCGTGTTGCGCCACAGCCATGTATCTCCAATCAGAGACCGTGTTTGGGTAATTACCGGTCACCGCACAATGACCGGCCAAGCCACTACAACCCACACTAGCCACGCCAATAAAACCTCCCGAGTTTTCCTCCTTTCCCTTTTCTCTCGCTGTCTTCCCTCTTCCTCTTCCTCTTCTCAATTCTATCCTCTTTTTCTCTGTGTTGTCCTTATCCTCTGTAATACCTCATTTCTCCCTTTTTTCTATCTTCTTGATCCTATCTTATCTTGTGTATTTGCGTGCTTCTGTTACACCGCGCGTTGTACACTACACTCGACCATTGTACAAATGCCATACTTGTCCTTTTGCTTATTGGCTTAATTCCTCCCGCATTCCACGAGATCTTCCCGTCCTCGAGTCCAATAATCTCCATTGGTCTCTTGTCCGTTGTACCTCTTTCTCTTCCCACGACTCAATCCCCGGCCGTTCACTATGGGCCTCATCGGAAATGTTCTCTACTACTCTTTTCACCCCTCGGAATTGAGGGCCATCATGCAATGGTTGGTCTGCCCTGTCTTCTTCGAGCGCTCCTGAGTTCCGATAGAAGTATCAATGCTGACGCGCGACCACTATCTTTTTATGATAGGAAAGTCTGGCACATCCCCGTCCATGAACGCAAAGAGACGGACGAAACCGAAACACAAAAGACCTGCTTCAAGTTTCTCGACAAAACCAGCCGGAGTTTTAGCGCGGTTATCAAGGAACTCCATCCCGAGTTGCTGCTCCCCGTCTGTCTGTTCTACCTGATCTTGCGTGGCTTGGATACCGTCGAGGATGACACCTCGATTCCCCTTGCGACCAAGGAACCTTTGCTGCGCGATTTCAAGGACTTCCTCGAACAGGATGGCTGGACCTTCAATGGCAACCGGCCGGAGGAGAAGGACCGTGAACTGCTGGTTCAGTTTCACAACATAATCACCGAGTTCAAGAACTTGAAGCCCGCCTACAAGGAAATCATCAGGGATATCACCGACAAGATGGGCAACGGTATGGCCGACTATGCCCGCAAGGCCGAATCGGACGATGCGAGCGTTGTCACCATTGAGCAGTACGACTTATATTGTTACTACGTGGCCGGTTTGGTCGGTGAAGGTCTGACCCGTCTGTTCATCGAGGCCAAGTTCGGCAACCCGGCGTTGTTGAAGCGCGAACGTCTTCACAAGTCTATGGGACTCTTCCTGCAGAAGACGAATATCATCCGTGATATCCGGGAAGACAACGATGACGGCCGCCGCTTTTGGCCCAAAGAGATTTGGTCCAAGCACGTCGACGACTTTGACGACCTGTTCAAGCCGGAGAATCTCGGTATCGCCCTGAACTGCAGCTCCGAGATGGTCTTGAACGCCCTGGAACACGTCGAGGACTGTCTTTTCTACCTCGCTGGTCTGCGTGAGCAGAGCGTGTTCAACTTCTGTGCGATCCCTCAGTCCATGGCCATTGCTACCCTCGAACTGTGCTTCCGCAACCCGGCAATCTTCCAGCGCAACATCAAGATCACCAAGGGTGATGCTTGCCAGCTGATGATGGAGTCGACTCAGAACCTGCGTCTGGTCTACCAAGTGTTCCGCCGGTACGCTCGTCGGATTCACAAGAAGAACTCTCCCAAGGACCCCAATTTCCTCAAGATCAGTCTTGTTTGTGGACGGGTAAGTTTCGAAAGATCCTGGGTCACGTCTTCAGCGCTAACGTCGAATATAGATTGAGAAATTCGCCGAAACCATCTTCCCAAGCCAGTCCGCTGAGGAAGCTCAGCGTCGTTTGACTAATACAGTGACTGAGGAGGAGGCACAAAAGGCCAAGGAAGATGCTGAAGCGCGCCAGGATGTCTACTTCATCATGGGCCTGATGTGTGTCGTTGTGTTGATCGTTGCGCTGACTATGGTAAGTTTGAACGCCTCCATTATCACCAACATGCGGCTAACTGTTCCCAGACTGGATTTGCCTGGTACATGGGCGCACGCTTCGATCTCGCTTGGCAGGAGTTGAGGAAGGGCAACTTCCGCCCCCCCCAGAACCTTCGCGGGGCCCAACAAACTCATCAAGAGTTATAGACTCGCTCTTGCACCCTTCTTACGGAATTACGACCCTTTACTGTCTTAATTGCTAGTACATCTTCGGTTACCCCTTGCTCGCAGATGGCTTATGTCTCTATACGCCTGTGTTTATTATACTCACGCCATTTCTGCAGCGATATACTTTCTAATAACGATTCTTTCCTTTCCACCCATTCTCGTGGGGTATCCGCTGACTCGTACGGAAGTTTTTGCCTTTAGACCACCTAGCACGGATGTCAAATTGCAACCCAGCCTGACAATGACTGTGGTTGTGCCGAAGAAGTGCTGATATTGAGCGGAGTTTACTCTGACCAGCGACGTACTAGATTTGTGTCTTTGCAGTGTTTTCGGATGCTGAAATGGCACACGTCCATTGAGGACCTGGAACATTTCGTATTAGCTAGTATTAGCTAGTCTGTAGCAATCTCATGATTTTTAACACTACATCGTACTCTACTGTATCGTACTCTACTGTATCGTACTCTACTGTTCAGTTATCGTAACGACGAATCAACCCCGGAGGCGTGTGGAAACCGGCGGCTTTTCATTTGCCGATATCCTTGACCCCAGGTTTTTGTCTTCTTCTTTCTCTCGAAGTGCGACATCCACTAGAATCTCCTGACACTAGAATCTCCTGACAATAGCCTAGTGAAAACTCTACTGCGTTATTTCATGCGAGGACTACAACGTGCTATTCCGGCATTTCGTGGATTTGCCTCGACGCCAGCGCGTTTCGCATCGAGCTCAGCTGCTACTCACTTACCTGCTGATATCATGGGAAAGAAAAGAAACGAGGCCACAGCAGCTGGCAATGGCACAGAAGAGGGCGAATCACTCCCTCCACTGTCAATGAAAGACTTCCAAGTTTACAACCGCCTGTCCGTACAAATGGACCAGTTCGTACGTACCCTCTACCCTACAAGCCCACAAGTCCCGAACATGCAAATAACAAGACCCAGCACAACCATTTCCGTCTCGTCTGGAACGACCTCCAAAACGCCTGCGCCCCCACCGGCAAACAAAGACACCCCCGCCAACTCATCCTCACCGGCCTCGCCTTCTGCTCCCAACTCGACTTCCACCACTCCATCGAAGAACAGCACATCTTCCCCGTCCTCGCGAAGAAAATGCCCGAGTTCCGCAAAGAACTGGACCTCCTGCAACAGCATAAGAAGATCCATGCCGGCCTTGCGGAGTTGGAGAGGTATTTGGAAGATTGTCGGGTGGGGGATGCGGAGCTTGATAGGGCGGAGGTGAAGAGTTTGATGGATGGGTTTGGGGATGTGCTTTGGAGGCATCTTGATGAGGAGGTGCAGACATTGGGAGCGCAGAATATGAGGAGGTATTGGACGTTGAGGGAGATGCCGGGGTTGCCGATGTGAGCGCGACATACGGAGTGGCGTATACGGAACAGAGTACAGTTTTCTTCTCGGTCTGGTTATCTATTGCATTTCTCTGCTATTCCTTCCTGTCCGCCATTATCCTCTCTGCCGATCAGGAACTGCCGCAAGGAGTTCCAAGGGAGCAGAGTTCGATGCCTACTTGAACGGACGGGTTCGGTTTCCCACAACTGAAGCGGGAAGTGGAGAAATATCGTGTAATTATTCTATTGCGTCCTTTTCGTGATCAGATATCGACTTGTGCAAATCGTGACCGAAGCGAAGAACAGTCACGCGGCACCCTATCATGGAATTTACTCACAGCACTGAAGAATATACGAATGCAGCCGTATATGCGACGTGAGGAATCTACTGCATAAAGCTTGGCCTGCAATGAGCCATGCAAGCCCACGCGCATGCGGCTGCAAACGACGGTCAGACGCATACAATACACTCTGATACACTATGGAATCGACCATCTTCGTTCTCATATAACAAACTGCGTGATAAACAGAACCGAGAGTGAAAAATGTCTGTTGGAATGCACGCAACTTCTTCGCTTGTCCTGACACACATACCAGTCATATGCTGGCAAAGCACGCGCAAATGAGAAGAAAATTTTGCCAAGGGCTTTGCTCACAAATGCGTATAAACACCGTGAAAGATGTTCTCGCGCCATTCCTCATTGCGGTTTGCTTCCTAAGCTTGAGTTTAATCCGTGACTGTTTTGAGCCCAGGAATGTGATCTTACCGATCTCGTGGACAGGAGTACACGCGTAGTCGTCAAAAAGGGCGCTTTTCCTGGTATGCGGTACGAAGACGAACAGGGCTTGGATATTTCCTTTTTGGGACGCCAAAACAACAAAAGTTATAAAGTACATGTCGACCTTCACATTGTTTTGATCAGCCATCGGACTTCACGATATTACCTCTCCAGCAACCTTCGTCAACCCCCGTTATCCTCGACAACGACATCTTGCCAACAACCACCGCCACCATGAAATTCCTGAGCACCTTCGTTACCACCGCGCTCCTCGTGAGCAGCAGCCTGGCCGCTCCACGCACCCTCAAAGAACGCATGCAAGCCCGCGCGTCCTCTCGTCAATCAAACCCGAACCAACGCATCGCGGCCACCGACGCCGACCAAAGAGAATTAACGAACATCCAATACAGCAACAACTGGGCCGGCGCTGTCTACGAACAACCACTCCCAGAAGGCTCCTGGAATTACGTCTCAGGCACCTTCACAGTCCCGAAACCAAAAGCCGCCGGCGAGGTCAAAGAGGGTAGCGTGACAGCTGGTTCCGCGTGGGTCGGAATCGACGGTGATACCTACGGTGAGGCGATCCTGCAGACGGGCGTGGACTTTTACGTCGAGGCAGATGGGAATGTGCGCTATGATGCGTGGTATGAGTGGTATCCGGACTATGCGTACGATTTCAAACTGAAGTTCAAGGCGGGTGATGTCGTGAACCTCATCGTTGAGGCGTACTCGTCTAGTTGGGGTTATGTGCAAATCGAAAATCTATCGACCGGTGAAACGGCAACGGAGATCCTCATAGCACCGACGGAAAAGGCCGTGCTGGCTGGTGAAAACGCGGAGTGGATCTTTGAGGACTTTCAATCTGGTGGGGAGCTGGTGAACCTGGTTGATTTCGGGACCGTCACGTTCACAGAGACGCAGGCGAAGGCTGGGGTTAAGACGTATGGGGTCAAAGACGCGTCGATTATCGAGCTGAAGCAGGGGGATAGGGTGATTACCGAGACGACGATTGTCAGCGACGAGGAGTTCAACGTGAAGTACACGGGCTAGCTGTCTTTTTCTTTTTCTTGTCTTGCATATTGTTTCATTCATTGTACATGTTCATTGGCATCTGAATACAAATCCAATCCTTCCAAACTAAAGCAACGACCTCGGCCCCGTATACCCCCGTAAAGGAAACGGCCCCCAAACCGGCCGAACCCCAAACCCTGAACCACCATCCTGATTCGGAACCATCTCCCTCCTTGACCAATACAACAACACATCCCGCAACACCTTGGCCTTCATCGGCCGCGGAACTACATCATCAACCCCCCACTCGCGAATAAACTTCTCGCGACTCGCCCGGACCCTGGACGCATCCATACCTATCACCGGTGCCGCACGTAGAACCGGATCATTCACAAATGGCGGCTGCGTACGCAGGATACGGATGAATTCCTGCGGAGACATCACGGGGACTTGTATCTTTCCTTCTTCTCAGCATTTACTTTCGCTATATATGCATGTGGGGAGGGAGGGATAGATACCTTGAGAAAAATGAAATTCGGACGCGGATTGTGCGGGTTGGAGAGGTAGGCTAGGGCATCGCGGGGGTTGTGCACGGGGATGTGGGTTATATTGTGTTTGGAGAGGAGTTTGGCGAGGAGTTTGTGCATTACTTTGCTGTTGTTTGTTAGCATTGGTTTTCTCTTGGGTTGGGCTGACTTTTGGGGGGAGGGGGGGTTACAGGTCGTCGATGTGGAGGACGAGCATTTTGGCGGTGGTTGAAGGCGATATTGATGCAACCTGCTCAGCAATATACAATAATAATATTGAATTGAATTTGAAAGATAACTTTGTTGAAAACAGCCTTATATACATCTCAAACATCTCAAATGTCAATCCAAACGTCCAGACCACGTTGAACGGTCTAGACTCGCGCACAGCCCTGTTAGCCTTGTTAGTACACATTCGAATGTCATTGGTGCTTATGATAAGATGGATACTGCGGTATGCAGAATGAGTCTAGAACGTAGTATGTTCTGTACGATGGGTCTCGAATGAGGGGTTTGGTTTTGTGGGTGGAGATTATGCATTGCATCCTGTACACCACGCATACATGAGGCTCAATGTCGCGAGCAGGGAGGTCTAGATGCTTTGTCTATGCAGGGTCTGAGGGCTGCATATAGTCTGTTCTAGACTCGGCATTTGGAATCTGCTCGTGACCAAGAAGAGACACGGCGTCGATGATTGTCATTCGAGGGAACAATAGTAGAATGCTTCTGATAGGCAGTCGCTATAATTATAATCAGATAAGGTTCGTCTGGGAAAGAACGACTGGCAAGTATAGAATGCCATGTCTATAGTTAAGTTCTTCCACCATGTCATATACAAGAAACTGCCATTACTCATACCTATTTACCATACCCGAAGAATACCTTAGCCCTCGCAAACCGATACACAACAAGTTATACATATTCCAGCATCCAACCAACTCAATAAACATATCGAAACCTCGGATTCTACACCGTCATTAGCAAAGCCATCAACCCAAGCACAATCACAGCGGCAAAACTCACTTCAAAATCCGTCAAATCAGCCAAAACCTCCTCCCCCAACCCCTCAACACTTATCCCGTGCTCCCTAACTCGATTCCGCGAAACCAGCAACACCCTTAACCCCAACGCACACGCAATCTGCGTCACCGCACAAGCCAGACCCAGTTTACATGCTGTCGGATACACGGGAGCTTCGTCTGACAGAAACGCGTGCGGACCGATGATGTTCCCGATACAGTAGGCGAGGAAGACGAGGGCGGTTGAGGTGACGCGCTTGGTGTAGCCGCCCATGTTGCTTGAGGGCATTTGGAGGGCGAGGACGAGGGAGGAGACAAATGATCCCGTCTAGTATTGTTAGTGTTCTGGCATGGTAGGAGGGTGGGAGAGGGGGGGGGGGTGGTGTACAATATAGTAGCCGAAAAGCACGCCGTATTGGTTTTCACTTCGTGGAAACTTCCAGAGGAGACTTATTCCGAGGACGGTGGGGATGAGATAGATGGCCATAATGATTGTGCGGATATTCTTGAATCGTGTTGCGAGGTACGAGCCTGAGAGGATGAAGAAGACTTGGAAGGCTCCTTGGGGGATACCTAGGGCCGTTGTTAGGAGGGAGTTGTCAACGAGGCCTTTGATGATGAGTTTTCCGAACTTTGTCACTTGTCAACTCTGTTGTTGTTGGTAGGTTGGAGTAACGTACGTTGGCAAAACCTCCATTGATGGTCTCGTTCAGCAAGGTGAAGAGGAAAAGGATCCAGACTTGCGGGTCGACAAGTGCCTCGCGGATTTGGTACCATTTAATCGAGCGGTTTAGGATACCCTAATTTGTCAGAGTTTGCCTTTTCTTCGTTCAAGATGAAACATACCGTTTGATTCTGCTTTCCCCTCCCAATAAGCAAGATCTTTTCTTCGACAGTAAACCTCTTCGACGAGAGAATACTATTTGGAAGAAAAACCATCAACACAACACCCCAGATAACCGTCGCGCCACCACAAATCATAAACACGGCTTTCCAAACAGGGAAGCTATCGATTTGGCCGATGCCGTATGTAATCAAACCTCCGACCTAGTTCTATTAGTCTGGGTAGGTCTGACAGGAGTAAAAGACATGCCATTGCACCAACGCCGTTGCAGCAGTAAAAACATCCTGCTCGGAAGGGCTGTTCTTGTCGTAGATACCACATGCCGACGATCATCATGAAACACGGTGTGATGGGGGCTTCGAAGCATCCGAGGAGGAAGCGGCAGATTCCTAGTCCGGTGAAGCTGTGGGAGCTGGCTGTGATCATGAGGATGGAGCCCCAGCAGAGACTGCGCAGTCAGTATCTGTAGGATAGGGTACGAAGGTAAAAGGACTTACACAAATGTAGAAATAACAGTTCCAACTGGTAAACGCTGGGCGATGTAACTAGCCGGATACTCCCAGAAAAGGTAACCTGGATCGTCAGCGTCTCGCCTTTCACCCCTGAGAAATAAACATACCGAAGTAGAAAATACTGGTCAGCCAGCTATACTGATCACTGGTGATATTCGCATTGTCGAAGAGATCGAACACCGCGCTGTATGAGAGAGCCTGTTTCATTAACCCCATTTTCATCCCCAGAGTGAGAATAAATACCTGTTTATCAACGTACTGCAACACATACGTTCCACACAGCAGCGGTAGGAGGATACAATCGATGCGTCGTCGGAGATTTTTTGATCTCGTCTTGTCGCTTAGCATTTCCTGTAGTTGTGCGTGGGTGATGCCATGTTCGTGAAGGAACAGCTCTGCCTCATCGAGCGTGGAGGTGATCTGGCCCTCTTCGACATCATCATGCTTGGAAGTGACTGTCGATAGGGCATAGCTCTTCTGGTCTTTCGTTTCACTGGCCATCATTTCGGTGGCCATTTTAGCACACTGCTATGAAGAAGATGCGGTGGACATGGCGGACGGATGCTGTATATAGCCCCGACGTTATCGCCATCCATGCCTTAGCAAGAAGATAATACCTTGGCTTGATAGCAGAAACATTTCTGAAAAGGGCTATACTATCACCATCCAAGATATCAAGCGCATCGGCCGTATTTCTGCACTCCGAGATAAGATGCGGAGAAACCGAGCATCTAATCTATCAAGATAACGCCAGAGTGGAGAAAGAGGAGAAGCACGCCAGCAGCAGGTCCGGTCCTTGGCGACAGTGATAATGCGGGCGATGCCCGAGTTCTTGTTTTTCAATTGTGCTGCAACCGTCATGTTCTCGTTCAAGATGTTGCTGCTGGCAGTGTTGCCGGTTATTCTCCTACTAGGTGTGCAGAAGACAGATGGTTATTCTGTGTCGTCGGGGCTTATTGCGCAATTCCAGATTGCGGCTTCGCCATGGATTCCGGAGCCGCTGCGAGACTTTGTTATCTCGAGGCCGAGAGTTACTGTTAAGCAGGGAACGGTGGTTGGTGTGACTTTGCGGGATACGCTTAAGAATCCGGTTGATGCTTTTCGCGGTATTCCGTATGCTCTTCCTCCAGTGGGAGAGAGACGATTTCGTCCTCCAGTCGCAGTTGGGAGGTCAGACGATGTTTTGGATGCGAGTCAGCTCGGTGCGAGGTGAGAATCAATCTCGTCGATGGAAATGACAGTGCTAATTGATTAGATGCCCTGGAAAGCAACTACTGAAATTCGGCGGCGATAGTCGCTCCAGCGAGGACTGCCTCACCGTCAACGTATTCCGACCTCATGAAACAAACGGGAAGAAACTCCCTGTCGCCATCTACGTGCACGGTGGTGCCTACAATCGGGGAACTTGTGAGTCTCCTTTGGCTTCATGCGAGTAGCTGCTAACAGCCAAAGCATCGATGCACAATACGGCTTCGATGGTGGGGTGGTCCGGGGAGCCTTTTGTGGGAGTTAGCTTCAACTATCGGTAAGTGGGATATTGCGATAAATTCGGCTCCAATTGACCATGACAGTGTCGGTGCCCTTGGTTTCCTCCCGTCAACCGTTACTGCCGACGAAGGCGTGTTGAACCTCGGACTTCATGACCAAATACTGCTGTTTCAATGGGTGCAAGAAAACATCGAGGCATTCGGTGGTGATCCATCGCAAGTGACGCTGTTTGGACTGTCCGCTGGAGCGCATTCGGTATGTCTTTCGTCTAGGCATATTTCATTTCTGACAGTTGTAGATCGCGCATCATATCATGAACCTCGACACACAAGGACTTTTCCACCGCGCAATTATCGAATCTGGATCAGTCACCTCGCGTGCCGTACATCCCTACAATGCACGTCTACACGAGCAACAATTCGACGAATTCGTCCAAGAAGCCGGATGCGCGGACCGTCCTGCCTCGGAGATAATGACCTGCCTTCGCAGTCAACCGTCAGAAGCCATAACCAACGCCTCATTCACCATCTTCGACCGATACAATCCCAGTGTCCGCTGGGCCTTCCAGCCCGTTATCGACGATGATCTCATCAAACAACGACCCATCGATGCCTGGCACTCTGGGAAGTGGAACCGCATGCCTATCCTGACCGGCTTCAACACCAATGAAGGGACATATTACGTCCCAGCGTCGATGGAAACGTCTGCAGAATTCACATTCTTTTTCCAAGCTCTCCTCCCCGCGTACACTGAGAAAGACATCCAAACAATCAACAGACTATACCCCGATCCAGCACTCGACATTTCCTCCATCTACGCCGAGACAAGGAATATCTCCGTCGGAGCGCAGTATAAACGCGTCGAAGCCGCATACGGACACTACGCATACGCATGTCCAGTTAGACAAACAGCAACGCTCGCCTCAACTGGCCAGGAGGAACCGATATTCCTTTACCGCTGGGCACTGAACAAAACAGTCCAGGGCGGCGCCAACCACGGCGACCAAATGGCATACGAGACGTTTAACTCGGAGGTTCGTGAGATATCCGAATCTCAAGAAGAAGTCGCTGGGATGCTGCATGCATACTTCACCTCGTTTATAGTCCGGGGTGATCCGAATGCGATTGGCGGGGGATACGCACATCGGCCGGTATGGGAGGCATACGATGCATCGAAAAAATCAGGAAAGAGAATCATGATCTTCGGCGAGGGAAATGATGAACGCGCTGGAGGCGAGGGCAAAGGCGTTGCGGCGACAATGGCCGGGGATGAATGGAGTCGGAGAGAATGCGATTTCTGGTGGACGAAGAGTGGGATTGAGGATGAGTCATAAGCTTGTACGTCTAACTATTAACACCCGTTGCTTGTAGAATAAACAATCATCTAGACCACCTGCATAAAAATGCCAGTTACAATCAGACACGCTCGATTTCCCGAAGAGAATTCGCAGGTTCTCGCGCTCTTTGCCGCATATGCCGAATCTCTCGGCGTCGACCTCACCTTTCAGAACTTCCAAAAAGAAGTCGCTTCGTTTCCTGGAAAATATGCCTCCTCACAAGGCGGCACTCTATTACTCGCCGAAGTTACCGGCGCCGATTCAAATAACAACGATGCCAATGCCAATGCCAACCGCTTAATCGGCTGCGTCGCCCTCCGCTACAACACACCCATTTGGTGTGAAATGAAACGTCTCTACGTAAGCCCCCAAGCACGAGGAACTGGTACCGGAGAAAAACTAGTCGCAGCGATAATCCAGCAAGCAAAGGAGCTCGGATACGAGGGGATGCGACTCGATACACTGCCGGAGATGGTGGCAGCGCAGAAACTGTATCGACGATTTGGGTTTGAGATCATCGACAAGTATTATGACACGCCGTTGGAGCAGACAGTGTTTATGGGATTGCGGTGGTCGGGTTGCTAGTTTCTGTTTTGGGAAATATTGAAGCTATTCGAGTCGAGCCCTAGTGGAGACTGATAAGAGTTGTTGATAAGATGAGGGGCAACGTCCACCTCCTCTGTCCGTTTACTCCGTTCATAGCGATAATTGCGATAATTGATCAATCGAAATGCTTCCAATCCTCCTCCTCGACGGAGGCCTAGGGACAACCCTCGGATCCTCTCCTCATAGCATCACATTCACCTCCTCAACACCCCTCTGGTCCTCGCATCTCCTCCTCTCTGCCCCCCCGACTTTAACCGCCGTGCACCGCTCCTTCCTGACCGCAGGAACCGACATCCTCCTCACAGCAACCTACCAAACCAGCTTCGAAGGCTTCACGCGTACGGATCCGAAATTTACGCGCGATGATGCGGCGCGGTATATGCGCTCTGCGATCCCGCTCGCGCGCGACGCGTTCGCGGCACTTCCTGACAAGCCGGCTCGTCTTGCGTTATCGCTAGGTCCGTATGGGGCGACTATGTCGCCTGTCGCAGCGGAGTATTCGGGTCTGTATCCAGAGGAGATTGATAGTGAGAATGCGTTGAGGAAATGGCACGGGGAGCGGTTGAGGGTGTTTGCGGAGGACGACGTGGCGTGGGATGGGGTCGAGTATGTGGCGTTCGAAACGGTTAGGAGGGCTGATGAGGCCAAAGCGATACGGGGAACTGTTCAAGACACACTCCGAGGGGCCAAGGGACGAAAGCCGTGGTGGATTTGCGGCGTGTTTCCGACAGAGGAGGTCGACGAGGATGATGTCCGACGATGGGTGCGTGCTGCGCTGGGTGACTCTGGCTCCCTACCTCGTCCGTGGGGTATCGGGGTGAATTGCACCCGTGTTGGGAATCTGGGTTCTATTGTCGATATCATGCTGGATGAACTACGGAAGTTGATCGAGCAGGGCCAGTTTGTGGATGAATGGCAGACGACATCTGGACGGCCGTGGTTGGTGCTGTATCCTGACGGAACTCAAGGAGAGGAGTATGACCCAGCTACGAAGGAATGGGTGCAGAAGAGGACGGAAGAGAATGGACGGCCATGGGACGAGGTTTATTGGGATGCTATGAAGAAGGTTAAGCCAGGGGACTGGGAGGGAGCTATTCTGGGAGGTTGTTGTCGGGCTGGACCAGAGCATATTGCGGCATTGCGGCGGAGGGTAGATCAGACTGCTAAGTAACGAAGCAACTAATACTAGACAAAGGGAATTATAGTGAGGATATTTTTCTTGTGATGCCTAACCTGCGGTAAAGGGCCCATGAGTAGTCGACTCGTTCATTCTTACAGTACAAATCTCCTGAATCCCTGGGTGGCCACAAATCCGCATGAAGCATAAGCGACTGATTTCAAAGATGAGGACCATAGTGACAGTCTTCTTAATGGCTTCCAAACGAAGTCCAGCAGAGCGAAATTTTGGGTCTGAAGAGAGCCAGTCGACAAGCTCCTCAACTTCTTTATCTGAAAGTGTCTCTGCAAGACGAACTGAAAAGGTAGTCATGTACTCTGGTTGTAATTTCCAGCGTACCGTGTTGATAGCTAACCGCGAGAGGGAAAGAACAACAGAACCAATACCAGAAATGCCTGTGTAGCTGGGGTTCTTTTGGTGTGATGTCCCTTTTAAGTTCCTCGATCAACTCAGCCATCTCCACGGACGGGTCACCAAGTTTGGTGCGTCTTCGGACCTCTTCAAGTATCTTGGAAGTCAATGAACTGGACGAGTCTCTATCCCATCCTGCCGAGAGAAATTCAACACGACGAGGCCCCCGACGCCGCACTGCAACCGGTGGAAAGCTAATGCCACAGTCAAAGATAACAACAAAATCAAGACAGCAATCCTCAGTAATGTAATGATCTGGAACAAAGCTGTACAGAGATTTATTCAATTCAACTCCCATCCCGGAGGAGCTTTATCAAATTGAGCTTCTCGTCACTAAGATACCCGTGACCGGAGTAATGCAAAAGAACCACAGTGCTTCCTGAGGCCAGAGGTCGTCTTAGAAACTTCTCCACCCTTGCTCGCAGACTCTTGGAAGGGAACGAATCGGCACCAGGAATGATATAGGATTCTTGTTTGCGAACGCCCAGCAGTCGTGCCAGCGCGTGGAAGCTACTCTCATCTTGGTCAGCGTTTGTATTATGCTCCTCAAAGTGGACATGCAGCGCGAAGGAATTCTGATATGTATTTGCCCGTGGCTCAACTGCAGTATTCATGGCACCCTTGAAGTATCCTTGGGAAACTTTCATGTTGGCTGCGTGAATGACGGAATGGTTTCTGGGATATTCAGTTAGCCTGTGGTACGTTAACATAGGGCTCGGACATACTGCAAGTGACAAGATAGAATAGTCGATTTCAGACACTTTGAACAAAGGATCAACAAGCGTGTTCGGAAAATCGAAGAGAAGAGAAAAAGACGAGACATTTGGTCGATTTAGGGAATGTGCACAGGCACCAACGATCGAAGGCTGCCTGGAATCGGATGAAGAATTCGGAAGAGAATTAGTTATACTAAATTAGGCCGCTGGATGATTTTTTTTTTTTTTTTTTTTTTTTTTTTGCTTGTTGTTTTTTTTTTTTTTTTATAAAAGCGCACGGCGCCGATTTGACAACAGGCAATAGTTAACTAGGCAAAGCATCGGTTTCAGGCATCCAACGGCCAATTGAGATGGGCAGTGAAGATCGGCTATTTCGCATATACACAATGCGTCCTATTCCATTCTAAAGTTGAAATTAAATTTACATACCACCTGCTTCTAATACCCTTTATGGTAACTACCCCGACGACCCGGATGCTGCTGCCGATCCGCCTCAAGCGTCTGAGCGAACTTGCTCCGTGCCCTAATCGCCGGCCCCTTCCAGTAAAAGACGTAAATCGGAATCATAACCAACACCCCAATACACCCAAGCAAAGTACTCGCCCATTGGAGATGAAGCTTACCCCCGATATTCTCATACATAGGCGTTGAGTACATAGTAGCGATTCCGGCCAGGAAGTCCCGCGCGAAGCCATTTCCGCCAGTTGCAGAGGCTGAATACGGACCGTAGGCGGCGACCATGTAGTCGATTGTGGCCATGTAGATGGCGTAATTGGCCATGGCGATTAGGCAGGCGAAGATGCATGGGGCGATCCAGGGGGTATATTCGGGGCCCATGGTTGTCCAGGCGAATCCTAAGAGGCCGATGGGCTCAAGCGGACAGATGAAGAGTAGCAATAAAAGGCGACGTTCGGCAAGTCGAGAGCCGGACCCTTCTAATTGTCGAATATGCTGCTGGCGCCAGATATCTGGGAGGAACATGAAGTAGGCAATGAGATAGCCGATTAGAATGGAGCCAAAGGACATTCCTACGGCCAGGGTGCTGAAGCCCCATTGCGTGAACACGAGAGTGAACGATTCGGTAAAGACGAATATCAAAGCATCCGAAAAGCCAGATAAGAGGGATAGGAAGAGAACGATTGGCTCGCGCAGGAACATTTCAAATGGTCGGCGCCAAATTCGTAGTACGTCCTTTGCTTCCAACCGTGGTTCTTTGAGTTCGTTCGGACCCCATACATCCTCTCCATTCTTGCGGCGACGTCGAGCTTCTCGGTCGATCAGAATTGTTGCTCGTGTTTCAGGGATGAAGAAGTGCAGGGCTTGCGTGATCCCGCCGAATATCAGTTGCACCCAGAACACCCAGTGCCAGGAAAGATATTCGCCGATGAACCCCCCAAAAAAGGGACCAATTGTTGAGCCCCCGACGGATGATAAAACCACATACGCAACGGCATAACCTTGATCATTCGCCTCCCACATGTCAGCCGTCATTCCAAGCGTAACCGACCCTCCTGCTGAGCTGATCCCGCCCAGGAACCGACACACCACAATAGTCCCAAAGTTTGGAGCCACCGCGCAAGGAATCTGCCAGATATTCACGAGCAAAAGACTAAGCTGCATGATCGGCCACCGACCGAATTCCTCACTCCACGGTGCCCAAAGTTCACAGCCGAATGCATACGCTACAAGAAAGATCATCTGCCCTACCCGCGCCGCCTGGTCACTTATCCCAAATTCTTCTGTTAACCCCGGGACAGCATTCGCGTATACACCGGTGTTGAAATTCATCGACATCTGCACGGCAAAGATGACGGACAGAATACCCCACTTCTTGTACCAAGGGAAACAGAACCCAAGCTTATCGTAACAGTCATCTTCGAGGAGTTCACGCTTTCCACCTTGATGGCTTTCTTTCGTTTCTTTATCGGCGTGCTCGGGGTCTTCTGCATGGTATGCCGATGGTTGGTTGGTCTCGCTGGTCGGGAGGGACTTTCGCGGTGCGAACTGTTCCTTTTCTTTATCGGTTGTGTCTTTCTCGAGCGGACTCGGATCGACAGGATCGATAGACATTGTCGCTTTCGGATTGGTTTCTAGATCTAGATCTATACCGCAATCTCCGATTGACAACTATAATGCGTGTACATAGTCAAGCAAAGTAGAGAGACAAAATACAGAGTGGAAAGAAGAGAATGTCAGCAGGTTACATCGCCACTCGGATTTCCCCTCACAACATGAACAAATCCGAATTCGTATACTCATGCTTTGTTTGTTGGATGACCTCACTATGTACTTAACCTTATAGCGGAGTTTTGGTAGCACGGAAAAAGTAACTCAATTCGTCTTATGCAGCTTGTTACTAAACAATAAATCGAGTCAAAGCAAGGAAGAGGACATTGCAACACCAGTTTAAAGTATCACTACTGACCAATATAAATTGGAATCATGCTGCATTCAAGATTTCTATGGCCCAATCTGTCCATCCACTAAACGGAAAACCACTCAAGTCTAACCTGACAGAAACCTCGTAGTTATTGCTGCTCAGGCTAGTTCGACGCTGACTCCAAGCGCTCTCTCGCTGCCAGTGGTAGAACGCTGCTGCCATAGTCCTCCCGAAGACGATATAAGTTGATTTGCTTCTTCTTCTCGCCTGTTTGCTTAATAAGTGCAACCCTAGTCGACTGATGCCTCATCGCAGCCAAATAGACTTCTCCGATGATAAGCTTCAGGGTTTCCGCAACACCTCGAAGCTTTCTCCTATTCTTGACTTGCCATTCCTTGACCTCTTTCTTCATGCTTCGAGGAACAGGATCAACTTTGGTGAACAAACCCTCATCATGCTGCGCGAAGCAAATGTTAAAGGTGCTAGAGAACCAGGGTTGTGAGAAAGTCCAGCTTTTGTGGTTTTCGATCTCCCGGGTTCTTGTATCTGTAATGTGAGAACCATCCAGTAATTTTCCCGGGGCGCCATGTTGTAATACCCGCAGCAATGAACCGTTTTCTATGGTGTAGCCATTGGTACGACCATTATCCTCTTCTTGACAGGAACAAAGGCACGAATCCACTTTATGCTGGACAGCGATATTCAATCCAGAAAGCTTGTACTTGATAATTCGATAATAACTACTCGCTTCCAGCTGCCGAAGATGGGCACAATGGGTTGTCGCGTAGTCCTGGAAAGCATGGTCTCGGGAGTTGGAAGAATGCGTGGTCTTCATAGTTATCTCCCCTGGCGACATGTCTCGAGGCACGGAATCAACTTCGGTAAACATTCCATCTCTGTGCAACGCAAAACACATATGATGCATATTAGAGAACTATAACCGTGAGAAAGTCCGAATCTTGTTGTTGATCTCTCGTTTTGTGGATATCGTCACCGCATACTACCCCGAATTTGACACGCAGGCGACCATCGGGGAAATTGGGGGCTGCGTTCGAACACCAACAAGCTGCCTGGCTGCAAACCGAAACTTGTCGAGTCCTTATGCAGCTGCTCAAGAAACTTATCCCAAAGCAGTCGGGCAGCTATCAGTCAGATTGATGGGTTTGCCCTTCGTGGAGTTGCGTATCTTCACCTGGAATCTGCATTTGGCACTGGAGTAGCAGCTAAAAGCGCGCTTATGCAACATGCGGCCATGCTGGCCATGGCGAAGACCTTGGAAGAGCAGAATGGGAATAAAGTCAAGTGCTACGCACAGGATCCAGCAAACAATGGCGTTGGAGACAAGTTTCTGGAATCAATTGGCATCAACCCATTGCGCGATCCAAAAGGCTTCCTTGAGGTCGATGCTGAGACATTCATCTCGGCTAGTCCCGACCAACCAATCCGGCAGGTTATTGCCGATCTCGAGAAGCCCGCGGTTATTCTCTGGAAGTCCGTTGAGAAGGAGCCACAGGATGAGTGAGTTTTCGCCATTCGTTGCATTGTCGTGCAGTTGATACTAATACCGATGGAGTAGATCCTACGGCACGGATCCAGTCTCTTCGAGGGTTCTCGACATGGTGAAGGAGTACGAGCAATTGCTGCTCGACTATGTGGATAATATGTTTGGTAAGCCGGCTTGGTATGTGAGGAAGGACATGAACACTTGAGCTATGTCAGCAATCATCGATCGAGTGTGGGAGAGAACTTCTCTTCCGGCGTATCCAGCGGGATAGTAGCTGCGTGTTATCATCTCTTGTAGCTAGTCATTCCATTCTGAAGACACGTTGAAGACGGAATTGTGTGTATTTGGTATAGAGTATCTGCTTTCAATCAACCAGTTAACAGTAGACGACTTCTTAACTTGTATGACTTCAAAACTGAAAACGCCATCCGGGCTGTATGGTGCGCTTTCTGTCGACAACGGCCAAGAGACCTTCATGGCCTATCGATGCATCATTTACCATGTTTGCCATTGTACTGTAGGCTATTTTAGAGGTGCTTGTATATAGGAGGTCGCAACAAGACCGATATAAGTTTCGTCTAATAGGCCATAATCAACTTATTATTATCGTTACAGCCTATTGGCTACACAGGGCTCATACTCTGATATCCCACCAAAATTGCTGGAAACACTTTCATTCATCCCAGCATCCTAAGCTCCAATAGGACCGGCAAACAGGCATTCACTCCCTGGCGGAAAGCCCCCAAGCACCGCCTCAGCCACCAGCACGAATGAAATCATCCATCCTGGAGGATCACATCCCAGCGGCTATCCGTAGAGACAGCGGCTAATCTTTTATCATTTAAGAACTCATAGCTCGCAGATACAGGCGCTTACCAGGTTTCCCCCTTCCTTTTTGCTTTTCTCATCGCCTTCGTTCCTGGCCCTCTTCATCTCCTTCTGCAAGTCCGTTTTGCTTTAGCTTCTGGAACAAATCGCATCTACTACAGAATGACGTCCCCAGACGAGACGAGCCCCGATAATGACCTGCAAAAGACCCTCAAACTCTACAGTGAGGGGAAACCGCTCTTCACCCGTGCCGTGCTCGAAGACCTCGACCATCATCTCGAAAAGGGCGAAAAGAAGGTTATGATCAGAGACTACCTTAACAAAGAGCACATCTACGATCTTGAGATTCCAGATTGGTGTGCGGACAGCGCGTATGTACCCCCAATGATATCAAATGAAATGGAATAGATACTAAAAGAAACGAAGGGATACGGTCCGTATAAAGTACAACGGCATCGAGACCCTGACGAATTTGCATCCAGATGAAGATAGAGTCTCATGGGGAACGCGCACCATGATGATTACATACGGGTCCCAGTACAAATACAATGATATCACCGTCGAGAAAGTTAGAGCCGCATTTGAGCGCCAGCGGGGAGCCTGGAAGCAATCCAAGACCTGCAAGCACTTTACACAGCAGTTTGAAGGATTCACTCCGGGCCAGGTGGCTGCTATCACAAAGATCGTTGGGTTTGCTCTTGGCCCAGTTGCATATCTTGACGTGAGATCTGCGGATGGCATTGGACCGTCGGCTACGAACGCGCTCACGCAGCATATGGCACTTCTGACTATCGCGGAAATCCTCAAACAGCGAAACGGTGGACGGAAAGTCAAGTGCTACACTCAAGACCCGGTCAATAAGGGCGTCGGCAACGAGTTCCTCAAGACCATTGGAATCACCTCGCTCGACGACCCGAAGGGATTCCTAGAAGTTGACGACAAAACGCTGGTCGTTTCCATCCATCCAAACGTGCCCGTTCGTCAGGTCATCGCCGATCTCCAGTACCCTGCGGCAATGCTATGGAACACCGTCGAGGAGCCAGTGAAAAGAGAATGGGAGCAGAAAACTATGGATGATGGGGATGTCACTTGGATTTTGTAAGTATTAACCGATTCAGCTTGTTTAAGAGCATATAGCTGACTTAGGGTAGCCCGTACAGTACTGATCCTGTTTCTTCGAGAGTGGTTCGAATGGCTGAACAGTACGATCAGTTGCCGTTTGACGATGCGGATGACTGGTTTGGAAAGTTGACGTGGTATGTGAGGAAGCACAAGAAGGACGCTTGATTTTTATGTCTTACATCTATCGATACATGACGACGAGAAGCAACAATGAACTGCCTTGGGAGCATGCCGCCAAACTTAGGTATGGGACGGACAGTAACCTCTTACAGAAGACGATGCTGCTGAAAGAAGAAAGACAGAAAGCAACTATTAGTAGGAAACTTGGAGGAAATCAACCATTGAATAAAGGAAAAAGAACACATCCTGGTCAGAAGGCATTGAACCGGTGAAATTGATAGCGAGAGTACTCTCAATAACGTAGCAAATGGGCGCCGTCGGAGATGCATAAGCGTGACCATCGTGGCGAGTGCCTGTTGACCAGCGTGGTTGTTGTTGTCGCTTGAAGCGAGGAGTTTAAGTTGTCAGACAGCGCAACACTTACACCAAGCCTTTTGAACCTGTAGAAATTCTCACAAAGCAGACTGGATTCCTGTACCTAAGTAATCTGCAATTCTCCTTCCTGGGAATCTTACATTCTGATGAAAGTCAAGACGGATTAATAGTCAGCCTGATTAGTGAAGCCGACATAGGAGATACTGTAGGCTAAGCACTCATTCATATTACAGTCAATGGCTATCAATGTACTGCCCCTTTTCAGTTAATTGAAATCCTTATTCGTAATAGCCTCGTGCAGTCTGGATTATCAACTTCCTGATCCCCAATTCTTGAGCCACTGACTTCTCGTGGTCATTTTGTTCTCTTATATGTTATCCCAAGCAGTTTGCAAGACACTTCCAAGGCGCTCTTGCTCTTGACCTTCTGGCATTTGGGGGCCATTCTAGGTGGATTCAGAGAATCCTTCATGGTGTCACAGGGCATACACGCTTGACAGTGGCATGGCATGTTTGATCAATTTGGGTAGTCTACCAGTAGATTCTCATTGTTATTATCATTATCCTTTCTTCCTCCTCCCTCTCTCCTCTCTCGTAAAGAAAAGCACCAAAATCACCTCTGGTGTCAGATATCATGGATACATCTGCATTCAAGTTTCTGTATGGAAATGAAGAGCAACTCCTGGTCAACAAGAAGCAAATGCTACAAGCTTACTGGGCCGGCGACCTCCCACAGCTTCAACAAATATACCAAGCCCATAACATCCAGCTAGGAGCCAAGCTAGATTGGATGGAAAACGATGATAGGCTGACCACTGTATTTAAGTTGTTCATAACGGCCATCATTCATGAACATGCCCCGATACTGCGTTATCTCCTCTTCATGCATCCGGAAGAAGAACTTACCTACGAATTGGTTGTTCAGGGAATTGTCGACCATCTCAACCTGGAGATCACGGAGCTTGTTGGTGCGCACCAACCAGGCATTGTCAATTTGGGATATGGCCATACCCGGACGTTCTTGACCGAAGCCTGTCAGGGGGGTGGAACGTATAAGTCTCCTCCCAGCAACAAGACCCTCCCGCTGACGGCCGCCAGATTGTTGATAAAAAGGCCGTACGATAGAAGATATCTAGAATCAGAGTTCTTCCTCTATTCACTCCGAATAGTGCCTATGACATCCTTCCGAGCATAGTAGTTGACAGCTTCGCTCTCTTGTCTTTGAGGGTAATTAATCATTTCAAGGGTTCAGCCACGCCCAGCCAGGGGCCCCTTATCAAAATATTAAAAATCACTTTCGCCGTCTTACCGGCCCCCATCGACTTATCTCTCTTGCAATTGCCTCACTACCCATTAGCATGGACTTCCTCCGTCGGGGTTGGCTGCTTCTGGCCTTATCGCAAGCCTTCACTTGGGCGTCCACCACTTCGGGGTTCGTGGAGCTGGACTTGATCTTTCCGCGCAACGACACCTGCTGTGACCATCAAAGTGTTCAATATTGTACTGATACAGCAGGTGCTTCGGCAAAATATACAGTCAGCGGATAACTTGCATAGAAGCATTAAGGTCTCCGCGATTCAAGATATTTCGCAGTCAAAATAGGTATTTCATTCGATAAAATTATCAGTGATATGATTTATTAAGAGAATAAATTCTTTTTCGAACTTATCCTGAAGTAAGACGGATGGATGGATGAGCGTGGATAAATGGATGTTAGTTAACTAGTTAACTAACGAAAGGCCTGGATTAGTCAGCACATGAGACACAATTCTTTTTACAAATCTCTGCTTTGTTGTAGACGTTCTTTGTAGATTGGTTCAACAAAGAGGAGACTAATTCTACTGACTTCCATCAGGCTATATTTTTCTGCTTTGCTTAGAGAGTAGCGATTATATCAATGATATAACATCTTGCTGTCAACAACACTAATTCACCAAGTGCTACCACGTGTTAAATTTCATCAAACAACCTAGAAATACCTGCACGTCCCTTGAATAGCGACCCATGCAAGGCCCAGGAATCAACGATGGCGCTCCATTCACTACCATGGCTGAGAAGCTACATCCCAAACTCCTTAAAGCCCTCGACGTGATGGGGTTCGAGTTCATGACGCCTGTCCAGCACAATGTCTTGACCGAACTCCCCGACTGGCGCAGTGACTGCCTCGTCCAGGCCAAAACCGGGACTGGCAAGACCCTTGCCTTTCTGCTACCTTCATTGCACTGCCTACTCCAGGGCCATTCGGCACCAAGAGGCCAGGTCGCCATCTTGATCATTACTCCCACGCGAGAGCTCGCCCAGCAAATTGCGAAGTCGTGTGATCAGCTCACATCGCAACTTGCAATGCCTCTTGAATGCCATATTGCAGTTGGTGGGACGGCTCGCGCGTCTGCCCATTCGCGCTTCATGAAGGGGGCGCCGTCGATTCTTGTAGCAACCCCCGGACGACTAAAGGACTACCTATCTGAAGAAGCCACGGCTGAGAAGCTGTCTAACATCCAAACTCTGGTTTTGGACGAAGCCGACACGATGCTGGAGACTGGCTTTCTAGCTGACGTGAAGCGAATCCTCCAGCTCATTCCTCCAAAGAGCGCTGGCTGGCAAGGAATGTGCTTCTCAGCCACTGTTCCACCCAAAGTCAAGGATGTGGTCAGTGTTGTGCTGAAGCCAGGTTATACTAGCATTTCGACAATTGAGAAGAATGAAGCGCCGACGCATGAGAGAGTTCCCCAGTACCACGTGCTGATGCCGTCCGTGGCAGACACCTTCACCACACTCGCCTCTCTTCTCAAGCTCGAAATCAAAGACAACTCTAAAATCATTGTCTTCGGTATTACTGCAAACATGGTTGCCCTTTTCGCCCGAGTGTTTTCCCAGGGCTTAACTTCTTTGACAGTGCTTGAGATGCATTCCAGGCTCAGCCAGAGCGCTCGCACAAAAACCACCACTCAATTCAAGGAGGCAGCGTCCGGGATCATGTTCGCTTCAGATGTCATCGGTCGTGGCATGGATTTCCCTAACGTCGACTTGATCATCCAGGTCGGTCTGCCATCGAACGGCGAACAGTACGTTCATCGTGTCGGCCGTACAGCCCGCGCGGGCAACGACGGCCGCGCTATCATCCTCCTCACACAAGCCGAATCTTTCTTCTTGAGGAACAACCGCCACCTGCCTATCAAACCTCACCCTCAAACCGGCGCTATCAACGCGGATGCTTCGTCATGCGCCGACGCCGTCACCCAGGCCCTGTATGGCGTTGATGAGGAGGTGAAACAACGTGCCTACTCATCTTTCCTAGGCTTCTTTGCCGGATCGGGCCTGATGAGGCAGCTTCGCCTCGACAAGCCCGGTCTTGTTCAACTCGCAAATGAGATGGCCGTTAAAGGCATGGCGTGCCCTGGGCCTCCACCAATGGACAAGAAGGTCGTTGGCAAGATGGGTCTGAAGGGCGTTCCTGGATTCAATTATGGGAGCGGACAGGACTGGAGTGGAAGCATATTTAATAGACCGCGCGGTCCTCCTACGGGCAAGACTCGTGATATGCTAAGTCCTGGAGCCGGTCAAGGAGACCGTGGTGGGGTTGAGAAGAAGCGTGGAGGACATCGCGGTGGAGGACGCGGAGGGCGTGGAGGGCGTGGAGGGCGTGGGGGAAATCGGAGAGGCGCATAAGTCAAGCGCATTGTCCGAACTCTTCTCTTCTTTTTCGATGTTTTAACGCAAATCTTTCAGGTCAAACTATATATGTGTTGGGGTATCCCTTGCTGGTAGACATTCCTTGCTGGTCTTGGTCACATCTTTAGTTTCCAGGGATCGTATGAAGAAGATCTGGCTATTTGTTGACGCTCCTTTGTTCCATGCCGGCCTTAGCTAAACCATCGTTCTGAGGGTTCATACAGGAACCCCATAACATATGGCTTCTCATAGTCATAGGAATATTAGTGGCATCAATGCTGGTTGTGCCTTCACCCGTTTTTATTCGGAATACGGAGTAAACACTGGCATCTCTTCTGGGGATGGATTCCTAGTTCCTGAGACACCGTAATGATGTAATGCTATGGGACCGCGCTGTCCGACTTCCTGTAATCCTTCCGAACTGCCATCATCTGTAAAACATCTTAAAAAAAAATGATCCCATCTTCCCAAATATCTAGCACCGGTTGGAGTTCTTCTCAACCATCATGAAGAAGGCGATTGATGATGAGATGGAGGATTCCACGGCTAGGCATTGAACTTTATGGAGGATATACCTCGTCGGTAGAAGGACTACTACCAGGACTTGGTTCCCTGATTGTCGCTATTTGCATGGCCATGCCAAAGAATTAACCGGCCTACGCAAGTCACTACGGCCAAGGTGCAATAACTCAGCTCCCTAAAAATATAATGATGCACTTGGGAGATTCAATAGCTCAGTTCTCGTGTTATCTCTGCAATGAACTTTCCTTCGTTCTAGTGGGAAAACTGGAGAACTAACTTCCGCCCCTTGGGTAAGGAAATAAACTCATGATCCTGCTCAATCCCCTCGTCGTCGATAATGGATGTCGTGAAATTCGTGTAAGCTACTGCCATGACTAGCTTGATTTCTTGTAATGCGAAATTACTCCCAAGACACACCCTCCCTCCGCTCCCGAACGGAAACCAGAGTCTCCGCATGTCGTGGATTTTACTCTCTTCCGGCCGCAGCCATCGTTTCGGTAGCCATTCCTCGGCATTTGGGTAGACATCCTCGATGCGGTGCAGACTGTATGCGGAGGAACCCACTCGGACACCACCGGGAATGCCGCCATAGCCATTGAGTGAGATACCATCGTCAGTGCTCGGGGTGACTCGGAGAAGCGACTGGGAAGCGGGAGGATGAAGTCGCAAAGTCTCTCGGACGATCGCGTCCAGCAGTGGCAGGGAGTCGATGGCCGATGGGGACGGGAAGGTTGGCAAAGAGTCCTCGGCATTCCGGGTATAGAATGGATATTCTAACGTCGGTGTCAGGGTCAGCAGCTCTTGGCGCAGCTCATGTTGCAGCTGTGAATGCCGCGATAACTCCCACATCATATAGGTGAAGGTAATCCCCGATGTTTCATGGCCTGCCACCAGGTGGTCGAGCAGCTCCGACGCAATGGCAAACTCTAAAGACCGAGGGTTATTCTGTTCTTTCTCCAGAGAAGCGCGCAGTTGGTCATACACCACCGGATTCGTGTCGACGTTGACATCATTCGGCGCATCATTCCCTTCCATCTTGCGACACAGCGACAGGCACCATCTCTCAATAAACCCCAGGTACCGCTCCTCGCGACTCATATACTTGAACTTCTCATATTCGTCGAGCCATTGTTGCCACTCCGGAAGATTCAAAATATACATTGTACTATTCCTCGTCCCGAACAAGAACGACGACGTAAAATCCATCCCAACCGCCTGGAACAGCGGGAGCACATTAATCGCCTCCCCAGTCTTCGCGACCCGACTCAGAATCGGAAACAGCCGCTGCGAAAGCACCATCGCCGAGATATCCCGCAGATCCTTCGACTCCCGCAAAAAAGACTTGGAAAAGATCCTGCTCAGCATGCGCTTCCGCTGCCCATGAGCCTGGTTGTGTATCATGCCGACCATGTTATCGGTCTGAAAGTTGACAAACACTTTCTGGTAAAAGGCATCCTTCTCGAAAGCACCGGTGTAGATTGTTCGGAGACCGTGAAGGGAGTTAACGCTCAGCTCGTTTGGCCCAAGGCGCACCACCGCGCCGTGCTTCTGGTGCAGGGCATGAATGGTGCGGACTTGGGTGTTGTCAGCACCTTGTTCGATCCATTTGGATGAGATGGGTGAGGTGAAGTGTGCATTGGGGATCTTGGCGAGTGGAGAGAAAAAGCAAGGCCATACGACATATCTGTACAGGAGGGCGAGGAGAAGAATGCCTGTTGCAAGAGATATCGGGGAGATCACCATGATTGAGGATGTTGGCAATCATTCAGTGCTTGGATTTTGTAGAACCCTCGCCTGTACGACGAGAATGGCGATTCTTTAGCGCCGCGCTGTCTCGGCGCTCGCCGGGGCGAAAATAATTTTGCTGATGTGTCGGCTTACTGTTCCTTTTATTCTTGGTTTTCCCGCAGATGTACGTACTCTTCTTCTTTCCCCTCTTTAGTCAATGATACTTGTTCGTACGTCACCCTCGATGCTTGCTCCCCCATCTGACCACTGACCACTCTCTAAAGCGCAGCCCATTGCGCCTGACAGTGGACGATGAGAATGTCATCCTCGCCGTCTCGAGGGGGATCTCACCCGCCCGTCACTTCTAGTGGTAGGACCGATGAAGGGAAAAACCATGTGCAGGCAGAGTATCGGGGTACGGTGGCTGACCAGGCGGATATGAGTGCGCTGGGAAGGGACCAGGTCCTCCGGGTATGGATATTAGTCTCTGTTTTATTGCTTGAATAACGCAAATTGAAGCGAAATTTCCGATATATTTCTATAGTTGGATTTGGTTGCCCTCTGATCGCAACATCGGAGGTGGTTTTGACGTATGCCCTTATTCATCGCGATGCGACAGAATAATTTCAACTGATGAAGCGTATAGATTGCTTGGGCAAGGATTGACTGACGGAGGTACGGCGGGACTGATCTGGAGCTTTTTCATCGTTTCCATCGGATTCCTCCTCGTCTTCCCGCCTGTATTGGATTTTCGGCAGTAGTTCGAATTGGATCTACTCAATAATGCAACTTAATCCCTCGGTTGTTCAATATCATTGGTACCCTGGTGACATCGAGCCTCCATCTCGCCTCGGCAGTCTCGATCTGGAATTTGCTATGATGTATTGTCTAAATCGGTTTCTCCTCTGACTGTAAATATCTTCCCCTCCACCCCCTCTATCCTCTCCATCTTTCGCCGTCGCATGACTTTTCACCCTACACCTCTTTATCTCCATTATGACAGACATGGCCGCCATGGCCGACCTCACGGTGTACAACCTTCCAACGAGCCCTCCCAACTGGGATCGGGTCTGGGTCTTTTACATTGCATTTTGCACAACCTGGACGGCTCTCCTACTCGCCGGTATGATCTTCTGCTTGGTCAATCGTCACAATCCTATCCTTAGGGTCCGCGGTCTATCGCTATCATTCCCTGCCATCACTCTTCTTCATGTCTATTGGATCCTTGGACAGATAACCTATCTGATCGGCGGAATCATGCACATGGTTCTTGTCTATGACATCCAGTACTTCGGCATGGGCGTCTACTTTCCACTAGGCATCGCGCTGTTTCACGCTTCGAACCACTGTTTCCTTCACATTGCCAAGCTGCAGAAGCAGTTCGTCCATCCCGAACTCCAAACCCAATGTGGGTGCAACAGCGCCGACTCCTCGTGGATTTGCCGTCTGAGAAACTTGCAGTACATGGCCAAGATCTCCCTTTTCGTCGGGATTGGCATGGTATTTCAGGTATATTAGGGTTATTCTTAAATCAACAAATCTACGCATTACGATCATATATCCATGGCGATTGCGACTACAACTGGAACGGATGCCGATGGTACTGTGGCTCCAGAAGGCTCAGGAATCACCGTTCTCATCGTTGGCTGTGGATTTGGCGGCATAGCAGCAGCCATAGAATGTTATTGAAAAGGCCACAAAGTTGTGGTATTCGGGAAAAACTCAGAAATAGGTGGGCTAGGTGGGTTGTTATGAAATATGAGGCAGTGTCCTTCTCTAACAGTAGTCAGGCGATGCTCTAGGGATTTCGCAAAATGGCGCCCTCCTGATCTATAAATGATACTGATACTCGAATTTTTCATACATGCTAACCATGAGCCCTCAGATATGAATGGTGCAATATTGGGCAAGAAATGGGCATTGAAACACGCGATGTTTGGCATAAAACAGACTGGGAAGCAGTGAAGAACAACCCGCAGCTTCTTGCTCAACTTCAACCCAACTGGCTGTTCAACCATGACCCCCAGGCCTACGCATATGAGTAGTTTGAAACTGTGGCCAACGCGATTCTAACTGGTTGCTCATATAAGCCGTGAAATGTACCCAATGAAGGTTCTAACCACTGTGCAACGGATTTCGATGAGGAGAAATGGGCGAATGGGCCCAAGGAAGACTTGGCTATGGGCACCAAGCTGTGAAGAGGTGAACCATGATAGAGGGAAGCGATAAATGGAGTCAAGAGAAAGAGAAACAATAACGTGGTTACTCAATAAGGCCGAAAAATCGCTTCATCCGATCATAGACATAGAAACTTGTCGCCACCATGGGAGCCATTTTCACATAGCCAATGGTCAGCCCAACATAAAAACCCCTCACTCCTCTCTCCAGAAAGATACGTTGGGCTGTCTCCACAATGCCTGATTGGGCACCAACCACACTTCCGACTTGTATTCGTCGCCGAATGATATCAATTGGGTAAGAAACTGTTTGAGCGACTATGCCAGCAACTGCTCCACAACAAAGCTGCGCAACTGCAGTCAGTCGAGTGGAAGATTGTGCTTCTAGAGTATAGGGTGCAAGGGCAGGCAAGCGAAGCCAGTCTCTAATTAGGTCATGGGTTAGGAATGACGTGCCAGCATACGGAAGTATGCCTAGCATAGTCGGGGCAATTGCTCGATAAAAATTTGACAAGCCCCCGCTGACTGCCCCTTCAAAGTAGATTTTCCGAGAAACACCAAGCCAGGACGAGGGATTCTTTTGTACTGTTTCAAAGGCAAGACGTGTACGGATCAACTCAAGAGGATATGTGACAAAGGTAGAGGCCGCACCAGCCATACTTCCGCACAAAAATCGACGCAACGGTGTTTCTTTCTCAGAAGATACGATGATTGCTGCTCGGAACTGTTCGTATGCGAGAAAGTTGATACTAGCATACGGGAAGACGCGGACCAAGCTTGCTGAGTGACCTTTGAAAAGCGCAGATATACCATATGACATTTGAATGTCTCTGGCAGCCTTGATTAAACCATTCCAGTGGGTCGAATACTGCACAAAATGAGAATGAGAGGTTTGGAAGAGGATCCTGACCCTCTCCAATGGGGCGACAATAGTTTTGGCCTGCATTACTCTCACATCAGCAATATACCGTTGGTCGCTAAGGTGGTAAGGCTCACAGCACAGCCTGCAACACCTCCAGCTAGTCCATTTCGTAAAGCAATGTCCAAATTTCGACTGTCTTTGTTTGATTTTGATGTGCGATAAACATGGTGGCTCTCTTCTATCGTCGTCGATGAATCTTTCGCGGTTGGGACACTGATGCCCGTGCCACTCATTATTCTCTCAACGACCAGCAGGGGCTTAGAATGACGTGAAGTGAAGAATCAAATCAAAGTCAGGTTCGGCATATGGGACCGAAAAAAAAATCAATAATTACACCGAAAAAGCACCTCGGCAGTAGTCCGACACATTCCCCAGTACACGAGGAAGAGAGACAAGAGGAGAGTGAGGGAGTGAGGGAGTCAAGGAAAGGAGAAAAGGAAGTCTTCTTGGCGATCAAAGGGCTAAATCAAAAAGTCGGGAGCTGACCGAGTAACTACAGTACGCCAACTCTACCAAAATAAAAGACGAAACGTACCGTGGGACTACCAAGGCGCTCAAACAACTGTTTTATAGGGTCACCGTGACCATAAGGACCATCTAGGAAAATTGTTTGTGCGACCACGACTTAATTGACCCCTGTACCCAGCAAGAAAGCGAGACCGAGTTATCTCCTAACTCCGGCTGTTTGTTTAGCCCTTCAATCACAATAATATTAGTGAACAAATGAGGCTAGGCTTCATATACCCTGTAGGACAGGGGTAGCATACAACAAGCGCCGGACATTGCACGGTCTTAAGTCAGTATAGAGGATTCTACGCCACCGGTGGGGTAATCCACTGATCGACCCGGCGGAGAAGGTCGGCTTGATTGACACTTCAAGATCCTTCTGGAGCTTGTAGCATGCTTCATTTGGAATGAAGTGCGTTCTTCATAGTGGATGTCCCAATTACAGGTTGCTTCTCCTCTCCCCTTATCTCCTAGCTCCGGGGCTTCAAACGGATGAGGGTTCTACCCTACCTGGGGGCCTGTCCACTGATGGACAAGTCGGAGAAAGCTGAAGGCTGGTTTGACTGACACTTGCAGATCTACCTGGATCAAGGGGCACCCGGAACATGCTTATTTTGAACTGAAAAGCGCTCTTCGCAGTGGAAGGCCCAGCTACATGCAGCTTCTTATCCCCTAACATCGGGGCTTCAAAGGCTGTTGATGGGTAGGAGTTGTAATTGAAGTAGATGGTCTAGCCTAGCTCAGAATCAGAATGAATAGAGTTTCATCCCGCGATGCAGTCAGCATCCATCCACAAATCCTTAGGAATCAAGATGGTAGACACTAAAGTCGTTAACTGTCACGCGCTCGGTAGCTAGTAGATAAAACGAATGATATTCATATCTAAACTATTGTAGCCATCGACGAGAATATCGAATCTGGGGAAGAAGAAGAAAAGGAAATCTATCTAGGCGATGAACGGTCTTTATACACATTTGTGTGGTGCGGCTTAAGCCCTTGTTTGCCCGTATTGCTTGTATGGCATCGTTTGATATGTTGGCGCTGTTTGTCTGGCGTTGAGCCGTCACAGTTGAACTCCGCAGTCATATCCTTTTAGTACCAAGAGTAAGTCCCATGCTACGGCCTATTTTTCAGTCAAAACCAAGACGTTTTGGCTCATCGAGACCCGCCCCAAGCAACCCAGAAGAAGAGCGTGTTAAGCGTAATCTGAACACCATACACAGACACAGTCACCCAGAAAGTAATAGCACCATACCATGCGAAATGGCCATGTTACGTGCAATGCGCTTCGCAACCAGTCAAGAGGTAAAAGTTCATTTGCCCATGCTATCCAGCAGGGGAGGACTGGACGTTCGCGCTGAATGAGTATGCCGATTATAAGACCCTGAACGATGAATATGGGAATCATCATAGTAAAGTACAGCCACACAATGTCACTCATGAGCTGTATTAGCTCAGGGTCACTGCCGAACTTGGCAACATGGATGCGCTAAAGTTACTGGTGGAAAATGGTGCTAATGTGCACCGAGAGAAATGTCATAGTTCCTGGTAGATCTGCAACCGCATGAGGAGGAACATCAAATATAGCACCGCCACTTGGTCCGGGAGCAAGGCGAAGTTTGGAAGCGCCTGCAAGATGTCAGTAAACACTTTTGAGACAGGATGCGAGTACATGCTTTTATCAGGATTCAGCAACGAGGACACGCTCGGGTACGGTGGTCCGACCGTATTCTGTTTCGGTACTCCCTGGGCCGCTTCTTGCTGCCGGTTATGAAGGAAATCCAATAGGATGGCATCCAGAGGACATGTGGATGCAGTGTTTCGAATTGGCATCAAGTAGGCTGGGGGAAATTGTTCGGTCGTACAGGGAGTCGACGGTGGTGCATAAATCGAAAGCGGATTCAAGTGGGAGGATGATCGGTAGTTCTCCGAGTCATGCGCATACAGGCGGTTTGGGCGAGGAAAAGGATCAGGAAGATTATAGTGGGAGATTTGCCTCAGAAACTCAAAAGGACAAAAGACTGTAGGCTAGCTGCCAGCCTCGGGTTTATGGAATATGGTCTGTCGTAGCTTTAGGGCTTGATATAGACAATAAACTTGATTAAATAACTAAAAATAAAACACAAAATAGATAACTAGGGGTCGAGCTTAATAAGGCTGTCAAGAAGAGCCTTACGAATATAGAAGAAACCAGACATTCGGAAGTGTTAAATATTCCTCGGACGCGCTAGTAAGATCGCGACCCTCTTTTGCCGACATTATTTTTCTTTATATATATACGGTCAAACTCTTAGGGCTGTGACCGCAATCGCGCAAAGTGCAATCTCTGATGGCTCGATGGTGCTCGAGCTCCCTAGGGAGCGTTGACGAAGTTCGTTAGGGCAGTGTGAGTGGTGTATAACGCACCCTTGGCGGTGTAGTTCCCGTCGAACATCAATGGCTTCGCGCCCGGCAGCCAGGTGTAGGCGTGCTTATCCGTGAAGCCCCAGAAGCTAATGTCGGTGATTCCTGCATTTAGAGCCTCGCCGACGACGGCGCCGTAAATATCAGCCTGGAGCGTGGCGTTGAGCGTGTGGACATCCATTTCAGCGATCGCCGTTTCCAGTCCGAGCGCCTTGTAGGAGTCGACCATGTCCGTGATCACGCCCGGTATCGGGGCTACTTCGGTGATGTGCATCTGCAGGGCGACTCCGTCGATCGGGACGCCGTCTGCCACGAGTCCGGAGACCAGGTCGAAGAGTTCCTGACGCTTGCCGGGGAGTGACTCGACGAGATTCTCGTTGATGAACAGCTTGGTGTCAGGGTTTGCTGCCCGGGCGATGCGGAAGGCATCTTCGATGTAGCCGGGACCGAGTACTTTGTAGAAGTCGTTTTTGGCGTTCAGGCCGCCGCCCTTCGTTTGGAGGGCTTCGGTGACGACGTCCCACCGACCCATTTTGCCGTCGTACCGGTGCATGACTGCCTCGAAGTGAGCCGTCATCGCAGCACGAAACGCTGTGGGGTCGGTGATGTTGAGCAGGTAGTCGGGGTTACAGCAACTCGAGATGAGCCCGTGTCCCTTGACTGCCATGTCGTTGTCTTCCGCGAAGTCAACGAGGCGGTCGAGCGTGTCCCAGTTGTAGTGCCCTTTGGTCGGGTTAAGAAACGACCACTTCATCTCATTTTCGGGAGAGAGGCTGTCGAACTGCTCAGCAAGGACGGCCGCGAACTGAGGATCATTGAGGTAGGTCGGATTGATTGCCCCGGACCCGATGAGAATGTCCTTCTTGTCTGCTTCCTCCCTCAGTGGGGTGGTTCCGGTGCTGGCGAACGCGTCGGTTCCCTTGGGAGCGGCGAGAAGCGCGATGAGTGTTGCAGCACCAATGGCCTTCAAGGTTTTGTCTGACAACATGTTCTCTTCTCCGTAGTACTCAACTGTGTGACATACGACCACCGTCTCAACATCATTAAGGCTTTTATAGGTCGTTGTGAGATAATCGATGACGAGGCGGTATCACAGCGTCGTGGACACACCGTGGCCCGATCCCTACTGTGGCGTCAGAGCAGGGTACGAACACGATAGTTCTGGTATCTATACGAAAACGAGTACGCCCCTGATTCGAGGATCAACATTCGTCTTTAGCGGTCGAAAGTCTGGTTGCTGAGGTTTCTTACGGTTCCAGTTGAAGGCGCCAGCGCCCCACTCCGAGAGTCGCCCGCCTAAGCCCATGCCGAAAGCGTATACGAGCAGGAGGACCAACCCGATGCCATTAATATTCCCGAATATAACGTAGCTTAGAGGTGGAATCAAATATGGAATTTTCTTATTCGTATTCGAAAGTCTGCCATAATTAATGGTTTATACTCGGAAAATCTCTTGGCGGTTCCATTTCCAGGCCTAATCCTGGCATACCTGCTTGGAACTTTTAACCTTAGAGTCCAGTCCGATAGCCTGGATGGAGGGGAGACGGAAAGTTTTCTCAGGCTTAAATGTGAAAGTAATGCCAAGAGGGAAAAGTGATTTTTGTGCCAGCTTTCCTCAAGAGATAACGGGCAGTCATTGGCAACCTTGTTGTCTTAGATACTCTACATGTACCTCCTGTTACATGCTACCTTCTCCGATTGGCCCCAAATTTCAGATATGATAAAAGTTACAGGCAAGTTCCGGCAATATACAATACTAGCCTGTAGAAAACAAACGTTCTACCAAGTTGTTCAGATTGAGCGAACTCGTTGGTTAAAAGGTTCGCAGTATGCTAGTCGTCTCTTCCCAGTAGATGCACTCCGTGGTACAGACAGTAAGAGTTAAATAGTAACCCAGGATCCGGCTCCCCATCCTTGGTATAATTCATAGCTTAGTTGTCATTTGGAAGTTTCTCATATTGCCCTTCGCAGGTCTAACTATTTCTATCTCGTTTGGTCCCGCTTACCCAGTAATCAATTCAGGTATTTTTACCCTTTAGCATCCCTTGAAACGTGGTAACGACACTGTCCATTTCCGCATATCCGCCATTCTCCAGTAACCATGTTCCCTCGGCATGGCGCTTTTTGACAATGTTTTTTCTCGTCCTTGAATAAACTGACGATTTCAGGCTCTCCGCAATGCCGGCACTAGGGTACACCAAGACACCAAACATGGCACAGCCAGCTTTAGATGTCATGTTTGCCACGCCCTTGCCAATACCCTTCACTGCCCCTTTCGCGCCATCTTTTCGGATACCTTGGTACGGCTTTACGGCCAAGTCGCTCACAGCCTCAGCCATCCCCCATGCAAAACCTTTGCCAGCAAGGGCAAAACCACTCTTGATGTCAGTAACGGGACCGTGGTCCCGAGGTTCTTCACCATAAAACCGAGGGATATTGCGCATTCCCTCAGTCATGGCGAGTGGGATATCAACAGTCATGCCCTTCAAAGCAGTCGGCACAAAGTTGCCAAGACTCTTCATCGACGCTCCTGCCATCCTCGCAGCAAGCCTAGGTCTATGGCGGCCCGAAAGCTCTTCAGAGGTTGACGACGCGTTCGCTGTGGAAATCATACTATTCACGCGGCTGGGCCCATTGCTGGCTCCCTCCCAATCTGTCTTCTGCGGTGAGCGTTTCCCAGAAAACGAACTGCGTGCAGATCCTTTTGCAGCTTGACTAGACGCACTACTTGAGGGCCAGTCTCGGCGGCTTACTCGGTAATCTTGATACTCTTCAAAAGGCTTATAGAAAATACCTAAAATGGAAGCAGTAAGGTCCGTCGTAGTCCCCATAACGGCAGAGGCTCCGCCCGTGATAGGATCCCATCGGCAGTTTTCGATTACGATGGGCTTGAGTGGATGTCTGAATACTGATCAGTTACGCGACTCCAATGAAATAAAACGCTAAGCCATTTCAGAATCTTCACGTACATTTCCAATAGTTTTGGGTCAAGCAAATTGTGAGACACCAACGTTGCTGCCACGACTTTTGAAATCTTGATTTTTCTGTGGTCTTTGGAGAAGAACCACACTGCTGCTTGCCCGGGACATATGTCACATAGTAGACGATCCAGTGGAAGGTGCCGGTGGAATGAAGAAACTGCTGCTTGGGTCCCGGCTTCAGAATTCATCTTTACCGCAATTGCGGAGGCGGCGAGTGTGGCTCGGTCTGTAAGGCAATACCGTATACCTTCAGCCAGTGCATGAACACTTAGCTCCTTATGGGGAATAGGAGCAGGACCGGCACCCGCTGCAGCAACCATAGAACCCCAGAACGGCTGGCTTTTAAACTGTTAGCAAATTGAAGAAGGATAGGCTTTCTGCCACTCACTCGCCAAAAAAAGGGACAATGATGGTTGGTTTTGCATTCCGGAGACCACAAGCTGTCGTGCCAGCGCCTCCATGATGCACTACAACCGTCACATGTTGGAAAAGCCATTCATGAGGGCAATCTTCGATGAAGTGAATGTTATTGTTAGATGTTCCGCCCAAGTTGGATGAGCCTTTTGATATAATAGCCCGAACACCGGCTGCATTTGCCGCGTCAAGTATAGCTGTTGTGATTCCAGCGGGATCCTCAAGTACAATACTGCCAAAGCCAACATAAATTGGTGGTGGCCCGGATAAAAGGAAGGCCTGGAGATCAGTCTGAGGCTCGTATTGTGGGGTGTCACGGAAGAAGAAACCGCAGACGTCTAGAAACCTTGTCAGTTATCTCTATTGAAATCTCTTTTAGGCTGACACTGAGGTACTAACCTATATAAGGCGGCCAATCTACTGGTTTCGGGACGAGGGCTGGGGACCAGCAGTAGGTAAACGGAACCTTTAATATTTTAGCAAGATGAGGACCTTCAAACATGGCCACTTCATCTAGATCCAGCTCCTTTCGCCACTGATTGATCACATCGCCGACCCTGACGCAACTTTTTAGCCCTGTGTAACTATATCGTATTTTTCAAGATAGTCGCGTATATGCTTACCCTTGCCATACAAGCCAGTTCACAATATCGTAAGACGCATAATTTCTGAAGCTTTGATCTGCATCCTCGGTCTTCATGTTTGCCAGCGGGTGTGGAAAAGCCTTTGTGTTACTCCAAGGCATAGTGAACATTAGATGTACTGGAATGCTGAGCGCTTGGGCGCAGTGAACGTGTGCAAAGCTTGGTGGGTTGGCGATGATAGAATCAGCCACGAATGGGTGGTTTGTTACCATATCTGGCTCCACACATGACCTCCAGCATCCATCGAGCATCTCCCGGACCATGATGCGTTTGCGACGGATCTCGCCTGCCCGAAGACCTCTCATGCTAGGAATAAGGCCGGGATTTTTAACCATGTATGACATCAGCTCCGCTGGATCGCCTCCAATTGGGTAAAATTCCAATCCCGAATTCCTGACAAAACTTTCGAAAACGTCATGCGTAGCGAGGCGCACGCGGTGTCCGTACCGTGCAAGTTCATTTCCAAGGGCAATGAAAGGTTGGACATCGCCTCGACTGCCCACCACTTGGAGGACAATGTTTAGTTTGATGCTCCAGGGCCTAGTCTCTTGATCTATGGTGGGCTCTCCGTATTTTGCTCTAGGATGAAGGTCTGCTTCTGTGAGACCGACATCTTGCGTCGGTAGCTCCGAGTATTCTGGCGGCGGTGTCGTAGGATGTCTTAGGAACGGACCATTGTAGAGCATGGAAAATCCTCGCACGAGATTTGAGTCCCAATCGATATCAATGCGGCCGTCATCTGATTTAAGTGACCCGCATGTCAATATATCGGCTGCCAAGTTCCATCAACATGCTATAAGCCATCATACCGTTCAGATTACTGCCCACTTTGCTAAAATCTGAGGGCATGGGCTCCATTACAGGTTCCCCCGGTAGTTCGAAAACCTCTTCAGTACGATAGTTACTGGACATGGTTGCGCAGCTCAAAGGGTGGATAGTATGGACGAAAATAACGTTTTGGGAAAAAAAAAAAAAAAAAAAAAAAAAAAAAAAAGTCCAGAGGATGATGGAAGATTTGAAACAATGTCAGTTCTCCCTCAAGTAAGATGAAGGTGAAGGTCGAGCATAAATGCCTGGAATCCAGGTGCAACCAGGGAACGATCAGTCACTAGTGGTGGCTATGGTCTGGACTTCCAAGGGTCAGCCGCGACACCCTTTTTAACTCGGGATTAAGGTGGCCCCACTCGTACTCGTATTATCGTATGTATTGGCAATGTTCTCGTTTTCTCTCATTCAACATCTGGTTCCGCCCATGAAGCCGTCTTTTCTAGCGAGTAGTGTGGAGGTGCTAGATCCGCCAATTCATACTTCCTTTCTCAACATCTCGTCTCCGAATGTCGAGTCATATAAGTGTCTTTTTACCCTAGAACTCGATGATTTACACGCACATTTACTGTATCTATCTCGCTTACTATCCGGCCATATTTGGCCATTTCGCTCTCTACTTAGATAGAAGAGACCTCCATAAAGAATATATGGCATAATGGCGATAAAGAGTCATGTAGAACCTAAAAACAATACCCGCCCTCTGGCTCACTTAAAGGATTCTAGGCCTTGTACCCCAAGCATCGTGTGACAAGAACCTTGCAGCATTGTTCGTAAATCGAATGACAATCTAGACTTCTCTTGTCGGAAGCAACTCTGTGTTTGCTGAATGCGTCCTTCTCGAAGCACGTCGTGGCTTCGTTGACTGAGAAAGGACCTTGGATGGGTGGAAAATACTCATCGCAACCATGGTGAAGAACATTAACGTTGAATCAAAGACATACAGGTACACCTCGTGGCTGATGAGATATCCATTGTTGCCTTGGGCGTATTCAATGAGCCGGAAAATCGACCGAATGAGAATTAGAATACTGGCCACGTATAGCCCAGTCATGATGATTTCCCAAGCAGTCATGTGCAGTATCCTAGATGAACGCGATAGGCCGAAAGTCTTCTCGGTGGGATTATTGCGAATTCGGTAGTGGAAAATTGTTGAAGCTATGATGAAAATGCTGAAGAACACCAATTGTACAGCGAGACCGCCAATTGTGATGTGTTCGCCGGTGGTCATCGCGCTGATAGTTCCACTTGCCATGATCCCGCCGCCTTCATTCGTAATTAGCTTTCATCGACCCGGACGAGCATGTGAATGGAGAGGGCTAATAACCTGCTGCTTGCATCACGAAAGCGATCACATCTCCGGTGACGAAAATTGTGGTAAGCCATTTTACTGGCACCACGCTCAAACTCTCAGCGCCCAAGTGCACAATGAGTCGGCCGAGAGTCATGTATATCGAGGCTGCATAGAGAGGAGGAGCAAGAAGAATCATGATGGTACCAACTGAGTAAAGTGAGATGTTTTCTTTGTCATTATGGGCCAGCGCGCGGCAAATGTAACCTATGATTTGAACTGCAACACCTGTCAGAAATGCTATGGGCTCCCGTGGAGATCATGAGGGGATTTGCAAGGCCTGGTATTGAGACCGGTTCAACTTACAGGCTCCTCCAACGACGAAGATTGTAAAGTACCAGGATCGTGTACGAACGACCTGGTAAAGATGATAGAAAGTCATGAGGACAAACAGAACAATGAAGATGATTGCAGCCACAAGAGAGGGCGTATAGCGGTATAATTTGAAATCTATCTCTCCACCCCCGTTGGAAGCCATGATTGATGGGCGTTGGAACTGAACCAACCAACTGTGAAAGTGGCTAAGTATACTTCGACTGAGAGGAGGCGTTTCAGAGAATTGAAGGGACCGTTCGAAGTTTGTCGTCTTGAATGAGCGGCAGAAGGAGTTGACTGATATGCATTTCTGAGCGCGCTGGCTCGGTATATGAATTGAACCCTGGAGGGATTCCTTTGAGCGTCGTAATCGTATCTGGCAAAGCAGGGATGATTTTTCTTCATGTTTTGCTCTTTGTATCCGTGGTACTGATAAATCGGCACTGACATGTGTAATTTGACCCACTCGTATTCGAGTTCTCGGTTTCGCCGATCCCCATTTAGTTGGAGCGAGCTTGTAGTTAACTTATGTGGAGCGATAGGGAGCAGGTAGTCAATTGATTGTATGCATATGATTGACTAGATACATGAAAAAGGAGAAAAGGCCAACAGAGAAAGGGGATTAGCGAGTCAATGAGAATGCACGAAGTGGCTCATCATACATGGCCTGAATGCTACTCCGTAGGCTATCACCGAGATATCGTCCGACATCTTATCCAGATTGGTGATTACCCAAGGCATCAAGCCGTCCACGGGGCTTAGGTGCCGATCCAACCACGTTACCCGTAATGTCTTCGTTGTATGTCTTGAGACCTCTCACAAATCACATGATTAGTAGCTGTTGCCCTAGCATAAAAGCTCTTCCCTGCTCACTAGAATCTAACTTCTTTGTCCATCACAAGGATGAGCTTTTCATCATCGTTTAATGCAGTCCTTCTTTACTGTTATCTATCGACGAGACTGAGTAGTTTCTAGGCGCCCATTTCCCTCGGCAGTCTCTGTTCGAGATTATTAGCAATGATGGTAATGGAGATGAACTGTTGATGTAAGCGATGAACTGGAAGAAGATCTATACTAGGACTACGAAGCAAGTGATCAAGCAAGTGATCTAGCAAGTTATCTAATGAGGGGATCTTCAACAGTCTCTATTCATAACTAGCCATCACGGCCCAGGGTCGTCCAAGTCGTGCCAGTAGGTACTTCACTGGTCGTAAATATGTGATTTAAGGAGTACAGGTCTGTGGCAAATTCATGACCTCATTGGGCCATAGCATGAATGTTGACAGTTGGCTCTCATTCAGGGTACTGATAAGCGCATTGATTTTGAGTATCCCGCTTTCAAATGAGCCCCTCAGAAACCAAGTATCAACTAGAGTATTTACCAAATAGAAATGAGCAAGGATGACGAGTGAGTGTCCATGAAGGCAATTATGTTTGCTTCTCTCAAGCGACGCCAAGAATGGACTTGGAAGCAGGACTGGCCAGGACAAAATCGCCGCCTCTTCAAAATCCAACTGGATCTCCATGTCAGCAGGTTTCTCGGTTGCTGCACACCGCAATACGGAGAGAATGCGTGAATACACCGTATCCAGGATGTCCAAGGCCCCAGACTGCGCGTCCACAACCCAGTCTTGAGTCATGGATGCTGAAGGCTGGGATGTCGGCGTACCCGAGCAGCTGGATAAGTCATCCTCAGTGGGTTCAAGCGCATTCAAAGAAGCCTTTATGTTGGCGACTGCTTGGCTGGCACCTTCGGCAAATTTGAATAGGCGGGGTGAGCAATGAGAAAGTCGAGATGATGGTGCATTGAATGGTAAATCTTTCCAAAACTCATCACCATGTGAAAATACCACCATCTGCCGGAGCCGGCTGGCTTTCAACACATGCCATTGATCATTTACTATAGATGATATCCCTCGGTTGAGGTATAACCAGTTGAGATGTAAGACGTCATTTATTGAAGAGGGATTTTCTGTGGCGCTGTTCATCTCTTCGGGAGTCTCAGTAGGTGAATTGAGCTCCTGAATCTTAAGGGATGCAAAGGCAAACCCAACAAGCAGCAAAGAACCTGTAAAAACAAGTTCAGCATTGGACGGAGAGATGCAAGACACCTCTTCTCTGAAGCCTTTCAGCCCTCTTTGATGATGTTCCACAATGATTGGTAAGTCCACTGTATCTGAGTCTCCAAATCCCCCAGTCCTGTTGGCCTCAGCCTGCTGCGTAATCATGTGGATGCCCCCCAGTGCCAGGAGCAGATGCATCAGATACTGATTTTTGCTCCCAAATTCAGGGATGATCCGCTGCCAGACCATGGCTCTCCTTGGGTGTAATGACATTTGTTTCGCGGTGTACAAATGAAAAAATTGAAGGAGCTTCAAATCATTCATGGCCAGGGCCCCATGCCAATGGTTAGACTGGCTCGAGAAAACCGCTGGTAATGTCGCATTTATTCCCAATGGCTGAATCAAACCAAGCGGTGAACCTCCATCCGAGGGCGCGGAAGAATCCGGTAATAGAGATCTATCGTCGTTCCCTGTCTCTTCTCTTCTAGATCTGGGGGGTTTCTTCGAAGGGATGCGTGGGCGGGGGTAAGAGCAAGGTTCGCCTCTGGAAGAACATGTGCCGCAGGCGGGTTTAAGTTCGTCACACTTTGAGATTAGCATCTGGTCTGCAACGGGAAATCAGAAGGACTATGACTTAATGACCATACTTTGACCCTTCGGGATTTGCAAGGATAGCAGCCATCGCGAGACTTGGTGTGGCGGGCGCGATGTCTTTTCAGAAGACGTTGATTGTCCGCAGCGTTATCAGAAACCACTGAATTTGCCGTGTGTTCGTCCATTATTCGAGTGTTACAAGTTTCTGAAGGTAAAATAGAATATCCACCATGATTGGTAACTGTGTAAGGCTGGAGCCTTCCTACTGTAGCTACGAGTAGACTATGTAAAATGCGGCGAAGGACTCTGGTTGTAGGGCGGCCGACAGCAACCAGAGACGTATACACCAAAAGGGTTCCAATTCCCGTCATCCAACCACACAGCAAGTTGAGGGCTCTAGGGGCCTGAGGCAGAAGACATACCTACTGAAAATCATTCAGAAGATCGGAGTGTAATGCTTTGGGGAGGACAGAAAGATAGCAACCTTGAAGGATCATGTGGCTGAGTTCGTACTCGTATTTGTTGGGACGACTACCAATTCCACAGTGGGTTCCTACGGATGTCCCGAAACTTGGTTTTGTGGGTCTTTTAATTGTTTACTCTGTATTAATGTTGAAGTCCGGTCCACCAGGTAGATTAGGGTCGGAGACCCACCCGTATTCTTATCCAGCGTGAGACGCTCAAATACGAACACGGCAGTCCATTGACCCCTCGCATTCGTTCCTCACGGTAGCTCCATCTCAACAGCCTGGGACACCTTACAAAACAAGCTCGGTAGCCCATTCTTGTGGGGCCTAGCAACGCAATATTTAATGTGGATCAGGCTATGGCAAGGAGCGGCATCGACGATACTATTGTATTCTGTGTCTGTGTAGATGGATGAGGGTGGATCGCCTCTATCCGGCAGTTGTGTGTGGGCTCGCTAGTGCGGGCCAATCAGGAGCGGGGCATATTGAAGCCTGAGGCTCTCCAACATTTAACACTTCTGCACCACTGCAAAAGGTTGCCACGAGAGGCGGCTCATCTTCCGTGATTCTACGATCTTTTCATCTTCAACACAGATATCTCTTGTTGAAGGGTATGGCCATAACATACTCAAACTTCTCTTCACCCTACTTGCGGCAGCCAATGTGGCTTGTAGCATGGCTCCCGCCCAGACGCGCCAAAATCCTGCCATACTCGGATGTCACAACGACCCCAGTTAACGGTGTTTCTGAACCAAGTCCAAAACATCACCGCAGCCCCTAAGAACCTGGCTAGCCGCCTCTTTCAACTAAAGACAGGACACGCAGCAGTAGGGACCTACCTACACCGGATTCAGGCCCGGGACGAGGCGACCTGCCGGGGATGCGGAGCACTACATGAAACTGTGTGCCACCTTCTATTCGAATGCCGGCAGTGGCGGCGTCAACGAAGCAAGCTTTATGGAGCTCTAGAAAGGGTTGGGGTTGCGAGACCCATTGCAGCTGAAGACCACCCAGAGGGCAGGCCTTTGGGGGAGCCTAAGGCCACAAAATCCCCTTTGGAATTTCTTTCCGTCACAGACGTGGCTTTACCCCCAGGGTATATCCAACGCACAAAAGAACTGGCCGCGAGAGATGATGAGTGGGGTTTAGATGTTCTAGAGAAGGCGGACCGGTCAGGTGAAGGCTAGCATGGAGGGTAGCCTAGGTCCGGTGAGATGATCACGAGGAGACCTTGGGTAGCTCGAATGCCCTACGCATATAAGCGGTCTTAGGCGAGGAAAAACGATTAGAAGGTTTAAAGATGGGGAATGCGCTTCCAGGAACAGATAGGGGCCGAATATACTGCCCATGGAACATGGTCTGTCATAGCTTTAGGGCTCGATATGGACAATAAACTTGATTAAATAATAATAATAATAAGACGCAGCCACCAATCAACATTGATGATATGCTCTTCACTGCCTATCATCTCATAGCTGTTATACACCAGGAGGCATGGACTCGTTCCAGCAGCAGGTGAATAGCATGCTCACATGATCGCCCTCTGCGGCCACCAATGTGGGTCTGTGGTAGGAGACTGTGCGCTTCAACCATATAGCTTATGCGGGTTGTAATGACTGCTTCTAATGCTTTTCTGATTGTGTTAAGCAGTGCAATGGGCCTGTATGCCTTTGGGTCTGCATAATCAGGTTTGCCGGGCTTCCGCAATACCACTGTAGTTGACTTTCGGAAGTGCTCTGGGCAGTATCCTAAATGCAGGCAAGCATCAAACAGATTAGTGAGATGGCCCAGGAAGGCCGGAATGGCTAGAGCGCGATGTAGTGTCAGATTTGGTATCCCATCAGGGCCAGGAGCCTTGTTTGGCGCAGCCCGCCGGACTGCCTGACAGACCTCTTTCTCTGTAATGGCAGGCATCTGTAGTGGTTCAGGGTATTCATAACCAGGGATGTCTGAGAGATCTGCTTCAGGAGGTGGGGGAAATAGCGTCTTCCGCAGTGCCTGTGCTTTCCTTTCTGGAGTGTCATATGTTTGGTCCCCTGCGTGAAGAGTTGGTGTGTAGGTTGGTTGGACACCTCGGCGGCGGCGTGCCCAACGGGCCAGTTTCCAGAAGCCCTCTATTGATTCAGTTGCATCCTCCACGCGGGTACGGTGATTGTCTCGGTTTATCAATTATGATATATATAACTAGAGTTCAAAGTATCAAAACAATATTCAGAAAGATTTAAATTTGATCTGAAATTTTGATATTCGGAAAAAAGAGTGGGTAGATTCTTTTGGAACAGAATGTAGCTCCAGACAGAGCCTACACCTGAATTGAAGAGAAAATAGGCAGACCGTCACTGCTAACGTTCAGATCATTGTGTCTTCTTTGCCTTCACCTTTTCCCCTCTTCGGCGCTTCAGGGCTTCCGGAGTGTATTCGGTGTCAAGGAGGTAGTCCCACCAGCGGAAGCTGCTTGAGTAGTTCCCAATGAATTTCTCATGGTGGAGGTCGTGATGATCAGCACCAGCCCAGAAAGACAAAAAATGGTGAAGACTCCAAGGAAATTCGTAGCCACTGTGGGCATCGATAGCCTGGAACAAGCGCAACACAATCCAGATATACATAGTGAGAATATGCAGGTTACCGGTGAAAGCACACCAGAGGATCGGGCAGCTGACGGTTCCGAAGCCGAGAATCATCACTTCAATAGGAGAAGCATATTCGGCGGCCAAACCAAATGGTGCGGAATACTGATGGTGAATTTTGTGAATAGCCTTGTAGAGTGGACCCCAATGAAGAGCTCGGTGGAGAAAATAGTGCCAAGTGTCCTCCATCACAAAAAATATTGCAATTTGATATGTTATAGTCCAGAGAGACGGAAAAGGAATCGATGTTGATAGACCGCAGAACTGGGCCATTGGGTGGAAAAGCCTAGAATAGCCGTTATTATTCAATCGGCCGAAAGGCAAACGTCAGGTAGAATACCACTCCGTCGAGGGCAGGAACATACCAGATTTGAGGAAGTTCGACGGTGAAGTGGCTCAGAAGCACAAACTTGGCGCAATCCCATTGTTCGCGTAATGAAGGTACTTTGTTCTGAGGCAGAATGTTAGTTTCGATGGCGGCTGGAATTGGGTTGATTTCGGCTAGTGCCAGATGTTAGGCTTGCCACTTACACTTTGAATTTTGTATCTCTTGAAGAAACCCAAGCTATCGATGAAAACCCACGGAAGAGAGCGGCCGAAGTAGAACAACTCGTGGACGGCGAAGGACATTATGCCAGTGGCCAGGACATCATTCTGCATCCACGCATACCATGCAACCCACAATCTCTCTGCCACGCTCAGGTGGGTATTGGATTTGGTGATATCCTGATATTGGCCCCAATAGGTGCCGGGGGGCAGCACGGTAGAATTCCTAGGAGAAAAAGGGTCAATATGCGACAAATTCCACAAGAGTATAATTCAACCACCCTGGGGGGGTGGGGGGTCGCAAAAAAGCGGAGGGGACACATACATTGTGGTTCCTAGCAGGTCTTGAATAAGAGAGAAGAAGCAGAGGCTGAGAGAAGGAGAAGACTATTTCATGAAGAGGGGAGTAAAAAAAGAAAGGATCTGGGCGAGAGTACTATGTGCTATGTAGTGTACAGTATATTCCCCCCTACTACAGAGTACTCTGTATTGAATCCTAATCCTGCTAAATTGAACATACCACTACGGAGTGGACATACCACACGCAGGGGGGTTCCAGGCAGCTAATCACAGGCGGGCATTTACGCATTATCCGGTTTGGTGGGACTCGGATGGCTTTCGGCCCGTGTGGGCTGACCTTTGCGGCGCTGATTAGACCTGGCTTTGAACCTCCGCATGGGTCCCTACCCCGGAACCTCGAACCTCACCTCAAGAGGTGAGGTTCAACCTCCACCGACCCGCATGAACCTGCATATGCATAATTTCTTGACGCCTTTCCTCTTTTGGCTGGATAAAATTGATGATTCATCTCTGTTTTTTACAGCTGTTCCGTCACCCTGTTGTAACGGCATGAACCACCTAACTATATAAGTGAGCGCAGTACTAAGCCTGTCGGCTTAGTATCCTAGTCTTTTGCTCCTGACGCAGCGGTTATCTCTCTGGAATGCGCCCTAGATGAGTGGCCGTGACAGTTACCATCAAAGGATCTATTCGGATCTTCTGGAAAGATCATCAGAGGGAATTCCCTATTCTTGCAAGCATTGCCCGTGATATTATGTCAATTCCAGTGACTGGTGCTGGAGTTGAGCATCTTTTTAACTCTGCCCGGGATGTATGCCACTACTGCCGGGGGTCATTGAACCCAGAGACTGTTCGCGATATCATGTTATACATGTGCACAACAAGATTTGATATCAAGGAGGAGCAGCGGCTGATTCTCCAAGAGTATCTTTTAGACCATGAGATGGCCGCTTCAGCTGAAGCACTTGATGTCCAGACACATGCTTTCAAGGCTATTAGTGATGATGAGGAGGATGTCAAGATATGTCTTGATACACCGGCTGCGACATCAATTATGCAGGCAACCCCGGATGTACCGCCACTCTCAGCAGTCACCGCTGGAAAGCGGCCTGCAGTTACTTCTGACAATGAGGAAGACTCTAATGCTGATGAATTTGCGGATCCAGATAAGAACAGGGCATCACCCTCCCCTGACTTCCCTGATACGCAGCATCGTGTATCAGGTAGAATACGGAAGAAGTTGAGACTACTGGATGGGTATATAGCTTGATTACTTCACTCTTGACTCTTCAGAACCATAACCAGACACTGTACTATAGATATAATGTAAACCATTGATAATTGAAAGCTGAGCCCCTAATTCGAAGCTGAACCCATGATATTGTGACGGCTTGACACTGCGTCAACGGCTCAGTGCTGCGTCAATGGCTGCTGCGTCAATGGCTGACACCGACAAACGGCACCAACATACTAGACGAGTGGTGATGTCAAACAAACGCTTATAAAACCTCCATTTCCTGTAGATAGATTTCCTCTTCTCTTTCCCCCCCAGATTTGATATTTTCGTCGATGGCTACAATAGCTTAGATAGGAACTCCGTTCAATATTATCTTCTATTCCGAGCCCGTGACAATGTGCCTGTCTGGTATATTGGCACCATCAAGGATCATGGTTTGCCAGTGTTGGTGCAACGAATGCAGGTGGGTATGGCGAGAGAAATGGGTGGTAGTGTGGAGCATAGGGAGTTGCAGACAAGCCATTCACTGTTTTTGAGCCAACCAGAGGTGACTTAAGGATTATTCTGGAGGCTGTTGGGGCATTTACAGGGAAGTCAGGGCCCCTCAGGGGGTAATGAATCTACATTGAGTGGATGTGGTGATGTGATAGCATTACTGAAGGCCACACTCTGGCAGCCTTTCATGTGATTTAGATTTGGACTACTTCTGGCCCTTGGTCATATATTAGGAAAGTGCATTCTCCTGTTTACTTGGGGAAGGAGGCTATGGAGGTTCAGATTCAATTGATCTAGTCTTGAACATCAGTTTGACAGAAGTTTCACACCATAGCAGCAGTACTGCGGTGGACTGACACGATTCAAGATGTCGCGGGCCTCGCGACCAATCAGAGCCTGACTTTCCTGCCTATCTACAGCATACGTGTACAACTTACGGCTGCCCGAGCATATGCATGGACGGATGCAACTATATGATGATAGGATCGGGGGACTATGGCTATGCAGCCAGCATCCTTTTGACTATGGCCACCGCATACATGCATTATGCACTTTGTACTGCTTTTGTCTCTTTGAACTTCTTTCGCAACGACCTTGTCACCTTCCCCTTTGCGACTAGTTGACGGCCGCCAGATTGTTTATAAAAAGGCCGTACAATAGATAGATATCGAGAATCAGAGTTCTTCCTCTATTTACTCCGAATAGTGCCTATGACATCCTTCCGAGCATAGTAGTTGACACCCACTCATCACCCTGCTCACCCACTGATCACCCCAACACTCACCCTCAACTCTAGAGGCATCACCTCAATCACCTGCACCTAACTAATGCTCACCCGGCCATCACCCTTAGAGCGGCAACGAGAAAAGGGCAGAATTGACGGTTGGCCGCACTTAACATGTGGCTTAACTGCGGATGATAGTTCGGTGGGTGTCTCCCGGGTGAGTTAAAGGGTGATGCCGCTTGTCGGTCGCGCGACCAGGGGTGAGTTAGAGTGAGTGCGCTATAGATGAGGGTGAGCCATCACCCAATGTCGCCCAGCGCCGCGCAATCTCAATCCTTTGGAATCCTTCTAATCCAATGGCGTGCTAAGCCACTGATCATTGGCTGTCCTTTTCCAACTTCAAACACCGAGCTATCTTGGCATCTGCACATAGCCACAAACAAATCTTTCCTAAAAAATGATGCAACATAGGCGGCAGCAAGGCACGTAATTCACTGCGTCTGCTATGGATCTGTAAGTAGAGAAGCAGAGCAGTGAATCCAGCACTGTCTCAATATCAATGTGGGATATCAGAATGATTGGTTGAGGCAGGTTCCATGAGTGCACAGAGTAGGAAGCGCCAAAGGGAAAAAAGCAAATGGGCCATGGATTCTCATCGGTGTCTGATTTGGCTTGGCTGGGGACCTGGGATTACGGGTACGGGTACGGATCAGTCCGAGCAGGCCGCCTCTGGCTAGGCCCGATCAGCCAATCATCCGATAACTTGTCTACAATGAGTAAAGCCTTGACAAGTCATCAATGCTCTTGCAGCTGTAGTTTTTGTCAGTTCTTCCACCAGCCACTTTGCAAATACTCTATAACGCATAACGCTGTACCTCTTCACAGGCCGAGAAATATCTATGTTGAACGTGACAATCAATGATGGCGGTATATCAACATCATTCATGGAGACCTACCCAGACCAAGTGCCTCATTCAGCGCTTGTCAAGTCCTGACTGCAGCCTGGGAGAGCGGAGAGCCTTGACAGCGCTGTTAACCTGCATGATCCGCATTTTTGGGCGTGACCCAAAATCATACAATGCGGAGGCTGCTGCACTCTCATCCATTATTGATGCCAATGAGTACCACTCCCTCATATCAGGCTTTGCAAACGCCATCATTCGAGGCACTACCGATGGTGATATCCTTGATCCAGATCTCCTGACAAACTTCGCATATGCTCTCCGTCGTGCTCCTGCTACCTTGTCTGCTGAGACCGCCAAACTCGGGTCAGTGCTTGATAGTCTGCATCAGAGGCTAAATAAGGCAAGCAGTCGGACAGAACTGGAAACTCAGTACCACTTGGTTTGCACTATTTCAATTGTATTGGATGCCATGGTCGACATTAAGCTCTCTGGACTGAATCGAGAAATAATCCATGAACCTCTCCTGCAACAGCTGAGGAACCTGAAGGATAACTCGGAACCTCGTCTTTCACATGCTGCTAGTTATGCATATGAAGCTCTACGTTCCGTACCTGATGATGAGGGTCCTTACCAGGCACTACTGCGCCATACCAGCATGCTCATTCAGGCAACGGCGAAAATTGCTGGCGCCATTCCAACAATGGACCCCATGAGGATTGTTGATGCTGCTCCTGATGTGATGAAATTGCTCGCTCTCTTTAAATATTTGGTTGATGCAACTCACAGCGCCTATACCGGTTCCCAAGACATACAAAAAGTGGTTGGAGACATGCGAAACCTATCAAAGAGCAACGGGTGGTACATAGCTCTTCGGTACACCAGCCTGTTAATCGCGGACCGACAATTCCCGATGTTGAAAGATTTCATTGAACAGCAGCGGTATGACAATGAAGATCATTTCTGGTGCGGCTTGTATGTACGGCTTGAACAAGCATGGGAAATTGGAGATTCAACAGCTAAGACTCAAATCATTGATCTACTAGATCAAATCATTCCCCAAGGGAAATTGCAATCTTCATATGTCAAAATTTGGATTCGACTGATTGCCGAAACACTCAGTCAGGCTCACTGGAAAGATCTTGCCTCGGAGAGACAGCACTTTATTAGGCGATGGAAAAACAAGAACGGCCAGAGCAGATTACAACGCTTCAATGTGCAATATCTATGCATGGAGACTCTTCCGACAGACCTGTTAGACAGAGCATGGTCAGAGTGCAAAGAAGCCCATAAATTCTATGCTGATCTTCAGATCCGTGAATATTACAACCAGGGAGGACGCCTCGAAATTAGACGCCTTTCTGGAAAGCCACTGGACATGGCCCAATGTTACATCAATCTCTCCATCACCGAGCACGCACGGGAGAATGACAAACAATTATCTGATAGAGCAGCACGGTCTTCTGATTTTACCCTTTTCAGCCGCATGAAAGTTCCGACATCAAATACAGACAAGAATGTGACATTGCCTAAGTTGTTTGAAAAGTGGAATTGCCCTGATGGCACCGAAGCTCGACCCAAGCGGATCTTGATACGGGGACGTGCAGGAGTGGGGAAAACAACACTGTGCAAGAAGATTATCCATGACTTCCTGCATGCTCAGCTATGGGCAGAATACTTTGACCGCATCATCTGGATACCTTTGCGTAGTTTTAAAGGGACAAAAAGTTTGAATGAACTGCTTCATGAAGAATATTTCGCGTTGCAAGGAGAACGAGCTTGTCTAGTTTCAGCTCTGCATGAGGCTATATTTGACCCGACTGACCAGAAGACTCTGTTACTCCTTGACGGCCTAGATGAAATCTCTGGGGAACGGCATGTTTCTGGAATCGACCTAATAGAAAAGCTTAAGGACCTTTTAAATCAACAAAACGTCATCATTACATCTCGACCATACGCAGTGACCTCGCCCGATCTGAATTCATTTGATTTGGAATTGGAAACAATTGGATTTCGCCCGGCCCAAGTGCAAGATTATTTGGCTAAAGTTGTGCAAGATCAAACGTCAGTGGAAGAAATCCGGGCCTTTATCAAAAGCCATTGGGTGATGCAGGGACTTGTGCAGATTCCGATTCAGCTAGACGCACTATGTTACAGTTGGTACAAGGGATTGGGCCCAGGAGGTGCACCACAGACCATGACCGCACTCTACCAAGCCATTGAGGTGAAGTTGTGGAACAAGGACATCTTGCAATTAGGTAAAGGAAATGAACAAGGACCGCTCAACGGCTCTCGATCCCGAGAGTTGCGAACACGCTCGCAGGTTGAAAACCTCATGGAAACTGAGATGAAATTGCTTGAATTCCTTGCATTTACTGGCCTGGTTAATGACACAATTGAGTTCAAGCAAGCTATTCGTGATATGGTATACGAGCAGCCCAGTTTTTCTGGGATGTCTGATGACATCCTTGACAGAGTTTCATTTCTGCGTACATCAGACCCTTCAGCTGATCATGAAGTCCGTAATTACCATTTCCTCCATCTGACCTTCCAAGAATTCTTTGCAGCACAATATTTTGTACGATGCTGGGTATCCAACACATCACTATCCTATCTCGAATTCAACCCAGCAGATCAGAAAAGCGAAAAACAGACATCACCCAAAAGCTTCATTCGACAAGAGAAATATAGCGGACGCTATGACATATTATGGCGGTTTGTGGTGGGGCTACTCTATGATAAGGGCGAAGAGGAATTATGTCAATTTCTTGAACTGCTAGAGAGTGAACCACGAGACCTGTTGGGGCCAGCGCATCAACGGCTCCTCATGCATTGCTTCAGTGAAGTGCCTCATTCAAAAAGCAAATCCCGACTGGAGAATCACCGAGTTCATATGGAACATCAATGCCGACTGTGGTCCTTTTACGAGTATGAACTCCATAAAGAGATGCATATGTGTCGTGAAGCAGAGTTTCCTGAGAAATCTTTGAACAGAATGCTTGCACATGAGCCAGTTGATGTGAAGACTGCTATCTTGCGAGCCTTGCTTAGCCGACCACATATTTCGTCAAATCTACTGGACCTGATAGTTAGTTTTCTAAGGGAAAGTGACGGTAATTCTGAAATCAGAGAGGCTGCCATTGAAGTTTTAGGCCGGCAGTCACCCCTACCAGAGAACGTCTTTCAGGCTCTGGTATCCCGATTGGACGATGGTGATTCT